AATAAAGCCTCCACTCGGGCTTGAACTCAGGAAACTAAGAAAGAAAACTTAACTAATCTTAACTAAAAAGATGTAGCCGACGCTATCAAGATTCTAACGGCGAAGCTGTCAAGGGCCTAAGGTATGGCCAAGGGTAAAAATAGCTTAAGAGGGAGAGTAGCCTAAAAGGCGAACACATCATGCTCAGAATATTTGGCTCTGTAACACAGTAGAACTTCACAGTTAAATACTTCTCCTCATTTGCATTTGACCGCGATTCTGAAAACACGTTCTAGCCGGAAGTTGTGAGCTGAAATTTAGGGAAGACAGGAAAGTTACTTTTAACTAAAAATTAACTGTTAGATAAATTAAGATAAACCCTACTATGTAATAACCTGTAATCAATTAAAAAATAACTTTTTTGTAACTTTAAGTTTTGTGTCAGTTTAATCTTCAGTGTTTTATAAAATTTTAAAAACAACAGAGAAAAAATTATTTTTGAAATAAATATTGAGAGAAGAGCATTTTTTAAATTTTTATATATGCTTTTTTTATTTATAAGATTATGCATATTTTTATCAATATCAACAAATTTGTTTTATAATAATATTCTTTGGTAGGTTATTTATAAAGAGGTACTGAATAAAGATCATGAAGTTCATTTGCTTATGAGCAAAGGTGCAGAAATGCTGTCAAAGGTCACTCGAAAAGCTGAAGCTGCTCAGTTACAAAATAAAATGGACAGTACAAAGCGGCAGTGGGAAAAAGTTCGAAAGGCAGCAAATGACAGGTGATTATGAGATTTTTCATATCCGTCACAAAATTTCAATATATGTGTTGTTAACATTTGCATTTACCATTACATTTGATTAAAACATTTCCTTTTATAAAGCCTCATAATTTTTTACCCTTCTTTTATAAATTTTTCTTATGTTTGCACAAATGTTAAAGCTTAAGTAATTGTAATAAATTGATTAATAATTTTAAATGAAAAAAGATATTAATAATTTTGTTCAAGTATCAGGTTTTTAACGAAAGTTTTCCGCCACCGCTAATATCCTCTGCATAAACAGTTCACATTGCCGTGTTTAATCATAATGATTTTTCGCATTTGAAAGAAAGAAACTTGCCTTAGAACACTGTGTTACTCATCGCTTGTGATGTCACTCACACTCGTCACTCGTAATGATAAATTGATTTACTTCAACAACACAGGCCGAAAAGGGAATTGGTGAGCACATTGGAAATGTTGCAAAGTGCAATTTAAACTAATAAAAAGATCATGCTTTGTATCTGGTGGCATTGCCATGATCTGGAAAAAGGTAAAACCAGTGACAGTAAGATGTACAGCGAGATGGTAGTTCATGTGGAAGCTGCTATCAACAAAAAACATTGAACTGAATTTTGGCACAAAAAGGTAATGTTCCATTAATCTGCATTCACCGGCTGGACTCTGTATGAATTGAATGGGATCTTTTGCCACACCCACTGTATAGCCCCGACATTGCTCCTTCAGACTTCTACATTATTTCCCACCTGCAGCTGCATCTTGCTGGTGCTATCTTCCATTCAGCACAGGACGTCAAAAACGAGGTTCATCTGTTTTTGGACTCACGGCCACCAAGTTTCTAATCCAAAGGGTTTAAAAAACTGCCAAAACATTGGCAGAAAATTATAGATTTGAGTGGTGATTACTACCCACACTAAACAAACTGCTTTCATGTCTCCCCCAACTTTATTAAGAATATTTTTTGGCGGAAAACTTTCTTTACAGCCAGGCATTTCTTTATTAATGCATTGTTACTGAATGTCACTCATTAATGAAATTAATAAACCAAAATTTTTTTTATGGCTTACAGAATTCAAAATTTTCTCTTAAAAATGGGAATGTTCTTTTGTGGTGGAGAACATTTTTATTTATGAATTAATTCTAAAACTTCCAGATAAATACTAAAATATGTATTAATATATTTTTAAATTTAATATTCAGTCTGAAATGGATCTAAAAAGTTTTTTCTATGTAATATTTTTCTTCTTTCCATTAAAATTCTGCATGTGAACCAAATGCCTATTTATTAATATGGTAAAATTCACTTCAAAGCTTTTGCAGTGATCACAAGTTTATGTAATTAAAGGATAAAATATGTTAATAATATTCATTTACTTGTTTTTAGACATGCAAATTCAGTACTTTGTTCAATTACTCTCAAATTAAAAATTAATTTTTACAACAATCTTATTTCATAATAAATTCACTTGTGTCAGCCATTTATGTTTATTATTATCATAAAAGCTGTTGTAAAAGTTCATTTAAATTACAATTGCTAATCTATTTCATGTAACATATGTAAAATTTATTAAACTTACTTTTAGGCACACAAAATTGCAGAAATGCTCAGAAAATTGTAAGAAATTCCACAACACATTAAATTCCTTTTTACCATGGCTCAATAAATGTGAAGATAAAATAAATGCTTTGCAGCCCATTAGCTATCATAGATCTCAACTGGATAGGCAGGTTAAAGAAATTCAAGTAAGTTATTGAAACTTTCTACAATTCAGTAACCTCAATTACCATTTCAGTGAGAAAAAGAAAAAAGAAATGCATTTTTAATGGAAAATCCTCATTATGAGATATTTTCTTTCAAAATAATATTCTGTCATCTCCCTTTATTTTTTTTTAAATATGGATTATAAATATTTTAGTTAAGATAGTAATTAGAAATTTAATCTAGATTTTTAAATTATACTCACTGGCTATTATAAGATTCCAAATTGCCCCTGTTCTAGTTATTACTGAATGATAATGCCAAATTTATTATTTAAATTGCTAAAATTAAAGTTGTATGATATGATGAGCTGTTGTATAAAAATAGGTCTTAAAAATGATAGTTAAATTACTGATTAATGTGTATAAGGATTATTGATAAAATGTATTGTTATTTTTATATCTAATTGTTCATATGTTAATTATGATTCTCTGCTTAAAGAATGTCACTTGACAGATACTACATATAAAAATCAGTATTTTACCGAAGTTCAAACATAAATCTTGCTTGTTTTATGCCTTTTTTTTAATATTCAAAATGTCTGTAAGTAGTACAAAAGTAATTGTGAATAATACAATCTACTTTTATATTCTCATAAAAAATTTATAAAAATTTGATCAGCTAATCGTAAAATAGCCATAATGTAAATTTAATCTCTGTTGCATATAGGTTTTCATGTTTTATAGAAAGTGTTTAAACATAAAGAAAAGTTTTACAGAAAATTGTGCGATAGCATGATAGGTCAGAAATAATTAATGACAAATTTCATAGACTTTTATTTTATTATTTTAAAATACTATGCTAGTAATTTAAAAATAATTTGGTTAATTAAATGGTTTATTTTATGCCATTTGTTAAAAAATAAGCAGTAAGAGAAAATTTTAGTTGTTATGTAACAGAAATCTTAGCATTATTTTATAACGTTTGTTAGTAAAAGTGTTTATATATTTATTTAAAAATGTGCAAATTGTATTTACATTCAATAATAATAAATAAATAAAGAAATAAAAATTGCAGTTACTGACAATTTTAAAAAATCTTAAAAATATCAACAGATTTAACTGCAAAAAACAAATTTTTTAAAAATCTGCAAAAAATAAAAATATTATGTACCTTAGAGAAATGTCCTTTTCCCCCAATATTTTTAATTGCTAAGCTCCTTAGTAATTTTTAATTAATAATTACTATTGTTAATAATTTATATAGTATTATCTCATTTTTATAAAGTGAGAGGGATTTATTTTTAAAACAGCTTTGGGTAACTTGAAAAAGAAAAGAGCATATTTAAGTTTTTTGGAAAACTGAATTTTTACTTAATGTAATTATATATATGTATCTGTGAGATAAAAATATATAAATCAAAATTATAAATTTTAATTTCTCATTTTAATTTGGGTACTCTGCTTTAAAAATAGTAATAACATTTTCTATACTCTACCCTTTTTTGAATAGCATTTTTTGCTTAGCAGTACAATCTAATTTTGGGAATGTTTCACTAAATTTAGATGCAAAATTCAAAGTTCATAGCATATTTTTCATTCTTGCATCTTTGAAAAAGAGCAGGTTTAGTTTAGCCAATGCAATAGCTGAAGTGTAATAAAGATTAGCACAAAGATCCTTATTTCCTGTATATTGAAAATGGAAGTAGATGAAACATGAGACTAAGGACCTTGAATCACTTGTTAATATATTATGAGAAATGATTTTTTTTACTTGCAGCTTAAGTGATCATTAATTTTAAAGCAAATATAAATTATAAATTTAAGTACTAGAAAACCAGAGCAAAATGACATGTTTTCCTTTTTCTTTCTTGATACTGCTTTTAAAGAACTTAAAATTTCATATAAAAAATTTAGCATTTTTAAACTCTCAATTTAATTTTGTAGACCAATTTTCAATCAACCAGATGTCATTTTTCACGGTCTCGTTTCTATCAGACTTGAATTAGATGTGATGATTTGGCAATGACACAGATAGATGTTGAAATATACATAGTAAATCAGAAATTAAGAAACTTGGAAGTCGTATAGATGCAATAAGACACAGTTGTAGCAGATTTAAATCATATTTCTTTTGTGTTTTGTGACTAGAAATACTTGGCACATTAATTGTGCCCTTTCCAAAACAGTTACATTTTTTGTATTGTTTGTGATAAGAAGCGAGCATCACGACAGGACTCCAGATAGGCCAAAGATGGGAGGCAGCAATCTATCTACGCCAAGGTACAGAAAGCAAGTGCATAGTTATCATAGTTATCCATTCTGGAGCCTTATTAGAAGAAAGTTTTTGGTCTAAGTTCCAAAATAGCTGTGCCATTATCGTTATGTAAAAGTCATATGGTATGATTAATCTAGAAATGATGCAACACAGAAAAAGTTATTACTGTTTTTGAATAGAGAGGGGAAGTATACAATTTAAAATGAAGAATTTAGGGATTGTTGCTTGTGTAAGTTATGATTTTGATTTACATACTTTTAATTGCTATATATATATATATATATATATATATATATCATATAGGAAGATATATATATATATATATATATATATTAATAAAATAACAGAAAACATTTATATATATATATATACCATAAAATTAGCACTTTTAAATATTTATGTATATATACTATATACACGTTTTCTGTTCTTTTAAAATGGACACTGTAGTTGCTAATTTAATGATAGTATGCTTGTTATTTTAGAGTAACTGAAAATAACAATAATTAGACTATCAAGCGTGTAAGACTTTTTTTTCCCTCTTCAGGCTATCAAAAATGAGCTGTCCAAACATTCTCAGGAATTTGAGAACACATGTAATTATGGTGAAGCTTTAATTTCATGCTGTGATGTTGATACTGAAATAATCAAAGATGAAATTTCTGATTTGAAGAAACGCTGGGACCGAGTAAATCATGGTCTGTTATTTTAAGCTTTATTTTAGTCACTAATATACATTCTTTTGAAATGTTTTTCATTCTATTTTATTTACGTCATGATAATTTTTAGCAGAGTACTAGTTTAATAATTATTGGAAAGAGGGCTAAAAGTAAACAGAATTTCAAGAACCAAATGCAGAAAAGGCAATATTCTGTCTACTATGTATATTTTAAAAGCATAATTTGAAATTAACTTATTGGCTTGTTGTAAGTTGTTAATGTGACTTATCATGATCAAATATTTTACTTTAGTATGTGCCTGTATAAATGCATATATTTTTATTCATAAATTTCACATACAATTTTCAGTTTTACTTATTTAATATTTCTTCCCTAAACATAGATGTTATGGAAAGAACTCAAGCTCTGGATGATGTTTCTCACAAACTGACTGTATATCAAGATAAAGCTCGAGATGTGAATCATTCATTGCATCGACTTGAAGACAGATTACTTTCACATGATGCTTTGGGAGATAGTTCAAGAGATCCTAAGTTGTTAGCTAGAATGAAGGTGCCAATTTATTTTCAAATTATTTTTGATATTTATTGAAAAATTAATTTATATGTATTGTATCTATTGAATCTAGCATATTTGAAGATGTATTTTTTTTCAGCACTAAAACCAAATTCATAAATTGTTTGCATCAATGTTATCATATCAGTTTAACTTTCAAAATTTAACTCTAAAATTTAACTCTCAGTGAAAACAGCATAGAAAATTAAATTTGGAAAAAATGCTAAAGTTAATAATCTGCATTGTAACACATTCTGCTGGCAAACGAAATTTATCTTCCAATATTTTTGCAATTTGTGTAAATATTATTACATAATATTTTCTTTGTACATGCACTGTTTTAGTCTCACAATAGATATAATGTCATGAAATACTTTTGCTTCATATAAATATAAATAAAATATTAACTATTTGATATAGGCCTTGGTAACAGAAGCAGGAGAAGTTAAGCGGCAACTGAACAACTTGAAAGATTATGTCAATGTACTGGTTTCTGAAGCTTCTCCTTCAGTTGACACATCTCATATCACTGATGAAGTTGATGATCTTGAAAAACGACATAGGTTGCTTACAGAAAAACTAGAGGATAGATGCTCTGATCTTGAATCTGCATCAGAAATTGTTGCACATTTCAATGTAAGCCATCATAAATTTTTTTTTCACATATAAAAAGTTTGATTATAAGACATATTTAAATTTGTTACATTATTCTATTTATTTAGCATGCTGACATAATATGATAAAGATTATAGTTAAATTTTGGCTTAACAATTTTTTTATATTCCTTTTTTAATTTATAAAATGTTATGACATCAAGATTTTAGTTTTTAGTTATTTGAGAATGTTGTTAAAAACTTTTCACAAATCAGGTTATGCATAGTCAATTATATATATATTAGTCTGGTAATATTTAAGTGTAACATAGTGTAAATAAAGAGATATTTCCATGGCTTGTGACATGAATTGCTGTAGTTAGAATTTGTTATTTATGAAGTATTAAAAATCTCCAAGTTAAAATGTTTTTCACGTAAAATTTTAGCATTGTGAATATGAGATTTCTTTTCAGTAATCTGTTCAGCCATACAATTTTGCTTCTCCAAATTTAATCAGCAAATAAATACACTCCTAAATTATCACAAATTACTCATGTCATCATTTCTTTAAATCATATTCCTTTACTCAGTAAATCCAATGTGTCTCCATTTAGCACAGAAAATTCTATGTGTTAAAATATTAAAAAAAATTTTCTTGAATTTTCAGCTAAATATTTTCCATATTTGTTTTGCAGTTTTCTTTTCAAACCTGTGAATCTAAACTTATGAGCAGCTGAATGGTCAGTTGCAGTAACTTAGTGATAGTTTGGTGCAGTGTAATATGTATTTGGAGAATATTCTTTGTATAGCAATATGCTACATAGAGAATTGATTGATACAGGCTGAAAATTTCTCAAAATTTTCCAGAAAAAGTGCAGTTGGCAGTGGTCCTTTCAAAGAGGACACAGACCTCTAGACAGTGCAGATAAAATGACACATAACATGTCAGTTTGACCCTTCTTTTTCAAGAGAATTGTTTCAGGTAGCCTGAAGTTCAATGTAAGCAAAGGCACAGCAGTAATCTGTGCACTGGTTAAATTTTGTAATCACAGTTTTTGAAATTGCAGTTGACAAGCAAAAAAAAAAAAGTTGTATATATTTGAAGAAAGAGTTATATATATTCGTTGCCAAAAAATAATTGAAAGTCTTAAAATTTTAGCAGAAGTTTTGTGATGTAAAAGGATGACATTGCAACCAAATTTGATATTTCATCAAATATTATATTTATGATAATAAAAATGATAACTGAGATTAAACAGGAAGAAGCAATGAAAATGACAACAAGAAAGTTTAAAAAAAGCATAAATATTATTTTTGGTGTGTAGAGGAGTATATTAGACAGTGAGTTATGTAAAATTGTGATCAAGGAGTACTTACAAGCAGAATAACTTGTAAGTACTACCTGAGCACAGGGTAAAGCTGCTCATTTTGCTAAAAAGTATGGTCATTGTTGTGAATTTAAATCTATAATGGATGACTTGAGAATTTTTTTTATGCATCATAGTCGTATTTTATGGCGAAAATGCATATACTCGAAGTTTTTGTGAGAGCAAGTCAAGAAATTTCCTTCTGTCATGTAAAATCTATTAGACAGGAGTGTCCTAATATTTATTTTACAAAGTGGTAACATACAGGATAGAAAATTGCCGAGAGTTTAAAAATAAACTAGACTTAGATGTACTATTAGCAGAAACAGAAATTAAAATCCTCCATCATTAATTACTGAAGCGAAACAAAGTCTTGTTAAACACTAGATAAGCAGTTATTAAATGTGGCCAATGCAAGCCAATTAAATACCAGTTACACATGTTATTTAATAAGTATTCTGGTGAAAGCTAATGAAATTAAAAATAAATAAATAAATAAAAGAATTAACATAAAGATAACTCATTATTTAAATAAAACAAGCTGAAGATTTTCTAATGATTGCACAACGTGTAATGAGATTCGTTTTCTTCTGGTATTCAAGCTTAATATTTTTACAAAGCTTTCTGGTATTTCTCAAAAGTGAAGTTTGTTTCCTGTACAAGCTAACAAGAAAACTTCAATAATTAGTTAAAAGCAGTCATTCTATGGGTTTTAAATATGAAAATTCTTACTTTTCATCAATAGCAACAAGGCTCCTGCTCTGAAATACACAACTATCAAGTTTTTACTTATAAACATTACTTCCCAACTACAATTCTATAATTAGGAGATTAATAAGAATTTGAAGTATTTGCAAGAATTTGTTTGAAAATTTGTGGACGCTATCACATTTTTTTAATTACTCATTATAAGAGATATATTCTAACTCCCTGAAGTACTGGGTTCTGCTATTTATGTACAGTAGAAAGACGGTAATCCAAACTTGTCGAGACTTCTGCGATTCCGGATTAGGGGTTTTTCCGGATTATAGATCATCAGTTTAAATGTGGTAAGATTGCATGAGAAATTATACAATTAAAAATATGAAATCGTAATTTATGAAGTAAAGAACAATTATGATCTAAAGGGTATCAAAATTTACAAAAAAAAAAAGCTTAATATTTATTTTTTTACTTTATTAAACATTTCTTTCAATTTAAGTTGTTTAAGATGCTTCCACAAAAAATTCAAAAAGTTCCTTTTTCTGTGTCATATATGTGAGACTTTCCAATCCCATACTTCTCGCTAATTTGAGATGGATAGGCCTTTATCCATTTTTTTGCAGCAATTCTACTTTTTGTTTGATGGACATCAAAACATGCTTTTGCTTTGTGGATCCTTTGGCAGCTCCAGAATTGGAAACTCTTTTTGATATAATTGAAAGTTCAAGCTTAATTTTTATAAAATTGTTCTAACAATCTGCAAAAAATAATAAGCTGGATCCAATTAGAAGATTAAGGAACAGCGCAATCTGCAACATTAACTGAAATGCCTTAGATAATTTTAGCCTAGCTTATACCATCCGTTATACATTAAATGCACATGGTAAACACATTTTGCGCATGTGTAAATGCATTATGCATACGCATAAAGTTTGTAGCTTTGAGGTCCGGATTATAGATCATTCCGGATCATGGACATCCGGGTTACAGACTTTGTACTGTATTAATGTTAATAAGACTGTGTACTTCTAATACAGATACACATGTAGAAATTTCTTGATCTCTTTTTCTTTTACTGGCATTTTTATAGTGTCGGAAAGGACTTTTGAAAATATATCAATCATCTTTTTCTTTTAATTTTTATCAAGAAAATGGAGGTGAATGCTTCAAAAGTAGAGACTTGCATTGTAATCTATTGAATTTTCCATTGCAAAGGAAGCTGACTTGTAAATAAATCTTTATGTTAATATTTAATGAATATAATAATAATAATAATATCTTGTAAGATTTAAAATATTCTGATGATAATGCAAATATATCATAACTTAAGCTATGAATTAACTGAAAATACATATGATGTAATATAAAATGTGATGTAACAAGTGTGTATTGCAAGTGTTTTGTTGTTTTTTCTGTAGTCTTCTACACTCTCGTCATGCATTGCAGTTGATTTCATTAATTTGTAATCTGAGTTTTCATAATATTTTTTCCTGAACCAAAACTTCATTTCAACTTTTTCAGAACAAAATGAAAGATGCTCATCATGATTTAAATCATCTGGAAGAAGAACTTGATAATATGGCACCAATAGCTCGAGATATTGGCACAGTAACAACACAAATAAATCAAATTAAGGTAACATTATGCATTAAAAATCTTGTTAGATGGTCTTTTGAAATGATTTAAAAAAAGAGCATGTTTGATTATTTTAAAATAGTGTTACATAATTTTTTCTTTAATATTTTGCTTTTCAGAACTATTTGCACAGGTTGAAAAGAGCTAGAGATGATTGTGAAGAAGTTGAGCACCAGTGTCAGGACATTATCACTCATGGATACACTCCTGATCCAAAAGGATGCAGAAATCAGGTATATGTTCTAAAATATAGCTTCCCAATATTTTTTTTTAGTTATTATAAAATACAAAATGTAACCTTCACTTCATGTAATTTTGTTAATGTAACTAAATTTATAAAGTAAATAAGGTATATGTTATAAAATATAACTTTCCAGTAGTTTCTCCAGTTATTACAAAATGCAAAATTTAACTCTCACTTAATGTAAAATTTGTAAACGTAACTAAATTTCTAAAGTATATCAGGTATATGTTCTAAAATATAGCTTGTCAATATTTTTTTCCGATTATTACAAATACAGAATATAACCTTCGCTTAATGTAAATTTGTAAATGTAACTAAATTTCTAAAGTAAATCAGGTAAACGTTCTAAAGTATAGCTTCCCAGTAGTTTTTCCACTTATTACAAAATGCAAATGTAGCCCTCACTTGATATAAATTTGTAATAGGTACATTTCTTAAGTAATTCAGGTATGTGTTCTAAAATATAGCTGCCCAATATTTTTTCCAGTTAATAATTAATTAATTAATAATAATTACCTCCACTTAATGTAAATCTGTAGACATGACTAAATTTCTAAAGTAATAAAAATAACTGATTTGATTTAAGAACAGAAGTCATCACTAAATATGTAGTATGAGAGAGAAATAACCCTTTTCAAAATATTCAGATTTTGTTTAAATATATTTTGCATATATGCTGTATATTTTTGCATTATTAAATTTGAATTATTTAGAGAAATATCTGTTGTAAAAGGAAACTGCATTTCATAAAAAATATAAGCTGGCCTCTTAAAACTCCTTTAAAATCAAATATTTTCTCATTGCAAAAAATTAACTTTCTGCACATGCCATTATTCATCATAATAGTATCCATTACTTTATAATAATAATCATAATTTTTGTTATCAAAATAGCTTCTTTAGAATTCATGATTTTATTTGCATTGTGTTGAAATTTCCATTGTTTGCTTTTAAAGCAACTGTTCAATTTAGTTGCATTTTGAGTTAGAAAATACTTTATTCTTAAATATCCGAAATTAATTTAATTGCTTTAAAAATATTTTATTTTGAAATATCTGAAAATAATTTAACTGCTTACTTTATGATAGTTGGATGGTCTTCATCGTCAGCTCATAAGATTGGAAGAGCGTGCAAAGTCTAGAGATAACAATTTAGAAGCAATGCTAAGTCGTCTGGAAAAGTTTTATGAAGACTATAGTGACATTGCTAAAGATTTGGATGAGACTGTTGATGAAGAACGTTCCTTTAAGCCTGTTGGTGGTGAAGTTGATGCTATTCGATCTCAACAAGAAGAGTTTTCAGTAAGAAAATATATTAAGATAAAATAACATGCCAAACAAACATTAACTTAGAATTCAAACAACAAAATCTTATCTAATCACTGTGTCTTACTTGTTCATTTGTGCTTTGCCAGCTGAGGATGATGGTTCGGTAAAACCATCGAAACTAGTCCTGTGAAAATTTGCAAATATAACACTTTCTTGTTTGAATTCTAAATAAAGAAAATATATGTTTAAAAGAGTTTTCAGTGTAATTATTGTGCATTACCTCTAAGAGTTTTTTTGAAATTAAAGTACCTGATTTGTGCAAAATAAGTTAAATAAACATTTAGTTTTCTTATCTAAATCAAAGGATACATTATTAAACAGTTTATACTATTGGTATTAATTCCAGCTGTACCACAGAAATCGCCTTGAACCATTAGGAAAACACATTGAGCATATTAACAAAATTGGACAAGGTTTAATACAGTCAGCTTCTCCGGGTGTCAATACTTCGATTTTGGAGCAAGATTTGGATACCTTGAATGACAAGTGGAATAGTTTAAAGCAAAGGGTAAGTTTAAAGATTATGAAAAACTAATAAATGTAACACATGAAAATTATCCAATATTAAAATGCAAATTTTCATTATGCAGATGCTACAGTTGGAAACTTGATTTTTTTTTAATATATAACTTAGTGATGAACTGTTTATCTTTTGTGTATGTAAAATATTCAGTGTATTATTTTTTCCTTAATAAATCAGATCAAATAAATCAGAATAAGAATGATTTACTGTAGAATTTCTGACCACTATTGTATTTTTCAACATTTCTTAGAATATGCTGTTAGTATTGAGAGTTACTCTGTAAATTAAAATGCTGCCTATTTTGATTTATCTGCATCTCTATTGTTTTCACTTAAAAATACATTTATGTTTTGTAAATTAAAAAAAATTAATAATTAATCCACAAATTACAAAATATGAATATTCACATATATTTTCTTTAATGAACTAAAAGTTGTATATTTCTCACAGAATTCTAATAATTACAGTAGTATGGTAATAACAGTAGTGCAGTTGGCATTTAAAATATGCAGATTTATGGTTATATTTATATGGGGTCATATTTTAATAAAATATACACAGAAATTTTTAAATATATAGCAGTTTGAACAATAAACAAATCATATAACCTACAAATAAGGGTGGAGGGTCAGTTTAAGTAGTTAAGTATATTATGAATGTATTAGAAATAATATGTACACTATTATGTTTTAATATTTACTGTCATTAAGTAAGCATAAATGTAGCAAAACATTTAGATTTGTTGAGAGGAATGTGAATTAAAGATAAATAATATTTGCATGGAATTTACTATGGTATTTCAATAATTTCAGAGTCACATCCTGTTGTTAGTATTGCAGTAAGCTCAAATGTTTATATTTTTAAAATACTCATGTCTGATCACAAATAGCATCATTCAGTGTTTCAAATAGATATTAGCACAGAGACACCAGCAGGTTTCATAATAGAGCATTCTAAGTGACAGAAGTGTAAGCAAAAGTAAAGATAAATCATAAACCATGTAAAATTAATTGAAGTAATTTCTATTACCATGTAATAATTTCAAAGCTCTATCCTCTTACTAGTATTGCAGTGACTTCAGGTGTTAGAATTATTTTTTGTAAGATGCTGTTTATGTGGTAAGAGTATCTTCAATGATTTTCAGTCTATTCAGCATAATATTGCAAACCTTGAATAACACAAAAAGTTCCGTACTTGAGTGTTAATTGGGCTAGAACTGCTTCAGAAAAGCATAGCAAAAATTATATTTCAAGGAAAAGCTGAACTTTATGTATATTCTCGAGATTTTCAGGACTGCAGCTCTAAATATGAATATTGTACTGCATACCATAAAAATTATGAGTTGGTTAGGACATCTGAATAGAATTTAATGACTAGGAACAGAATTTACTGACTACTGCAAAATTTTTTTGTTGTTTATCCAATTTATTTTGTATTAATTAAAACTCTCATAACACTCACTGATTTATAATTAGGGCAACATTATTTATATCCACAAATAAAAATAATTCGTCAGATAATCTTTTCATTTTTAATTTCACTTGAGGGTATAATATCTGTAGGATTTTTTATTCTGTAAAACAATACCGATCTTAATGTTAAACGAAAAAATTTATCCTGCAAACCAAACCTATATCAATCAATCACTGTAGTACACTGCTGCAGATGTATCTTTTCATTCTTTATATTTTGTCTCCCCCATTTCCTTGAGTTTTCTGCAGGAATGCAGTATATAATAAGTACATTCAACATACAAAATATGAGATGATTTATGATTTCCTCCATGTTTTTGAAAATGCATAGTACCATAATTATAAAAAATGCAGCAAAAATATGCATATCATTATGCAAAAACTTTTGCTGAAAAGCTTTTGCTTTTTAAAAAGTGCTGAATGTGTGCAAACCTAGTGATGTATCAGACTTTGACCTCAGCAAATGGCATAATTCTGCATAACACAGGCAGCTATTCTTCTTGAACTTGTACCATGTACATTTCTTGTTTGCCAGATGCTTCTGATTCATATTTCACTGAAAATCTCAGTTATATTGTCATAATCAAACTTGCATCTAGCGAATTCTCAAATGACATAAGCTTTATATTCACTTGTGAATATGATGCTTGCATTATGTTTCCATCTTGCTATTAAATTTATATAATCTGTGATAGTGACTGTTATGAACGCAAATTTGGAGATATGCTTTACAGACTACTATGCACCTTTTGTAATTTGTCATGACTGCTGTTCTCTAAATTGGGTAATTCAATGTAAACTATGTGTGATACATTAAAATTTAAATATTTTGTACCGCAGTAATACTTCTGAAATAGAGCCGATAGATACAGAAAATGTATTTGACCTAATAAATTTTATAATGTATTATTAGTATATATTTTCTCCAATAACTAATATTTTTTGGGGGGAGAAGATAAGTAAATTTAATATCTGTTAACATGGAAATTATTTTAGATATTTAAAGTATTCATTTAAATTGCAAAGTTAATAATTTTTATATTAATAGCTTTTAAGCAGATTTTTGAAAAATGTTATAACTCATATGAATGTTTTTTTTTTTGCCAAAAAAAAAAAAAAAAAAAAAAAAAAAAAAAGCTTCAGATATCTATTATTATTATTAAATACATTATAAACAGTATGTAAAATGTTAAAAAGACAGAAAATCTGAACTTACGTACTTATAAATTGTTACCTGCTGTGTTCTAATGCAATTGTTAATTTTTATGCCATTTTATTCATTTGTAAAAGTTTGCTTTAAAATTATTTTTATGCAATTGCATTTTTTAGATGAATGAGCGTGAACGAAAATTAGATATTGCGTTCCTTCAATCTGGAAAATTCCAAGAAGCTCTTGATGGAGTTCTGAAATGGCTGGAGGACACAGAGGAAATGGTTGCTAATCAAAAACCTCCATCAGCTGATTACAAAGTTGTTAAAGCTCAGCTCCAAGAACAGAAGGTATGGTTTTTTATGTTTTCTTTTTACATTTTGTCTTTATTAATTATTACTAGTTTGTCATTTCAGTATTTTGTAAACAACTAAGCAACTTTTATCATTTTTAAATGGTTGAAACATTCAGATAAATTTTGACACTATCAATATTTTTACATAATTTCAACCTCCCCCTTCTTTACAATCCATAATTATTGACACTATATTTATTGCCCTATGTTGAAGAAAACTTTATTATTACCTTTTGCTTTTTTAGGTACTTGCATATTAGCATTACCACTTTGGTGCAGTATGGTAATTTTTATGGAAGGAAAAAAAAATTTTACATCCATACTTATTTAATGTTTTAAGTATTTATCCTGAAAATCAGTCAATAAAGCTACTTACAAGTGGCTTTTTATTTCTCATTTTCTGGTAGAAATTTTATATTGATCACTTGGAGAATTGGTTCAAAGGAATTGTTTCTTGCAGTAATTTTTACATAAAATACTACTTCCCTGCAGATATTTTATCACAATTACATCTATTGCACCAAATCATACAAACACATATTTTAAAATAGGCAAAAAATATGACAGTTTGTGATTAAAAAACATTGGAACACTGGAGAAGAATGTATGGGAAAATGATGATGTTGCTTATGAAAATTGAATAATTGTTATGTGTATTATTGTATGAATAATTAGTAGCACATAGTTTCCAGAATTTAGTTACTCAATTTATTATGCTAATTTTCCTTTCTTTAAAACAGCAGTAGGGAGGATTATTAATTAACACATTCACTCAGTATTAAATAATATCATTACATTTTCAGATTCCATACAAAATGTATCTTAATATATTCTGGAAAGATTATTTATTAAAGTTTTGCTTGTTTGTAGAGAAATTATATATATATATATGTGTGTGTGTGTAACTATAAATAGCTTAAATTATCTTCATCTAGTTCTTAAACAAGTTGCTACTGGATCGTCAGAACAGTATGTCATCTCTTATGCAAATGGGGACAGAAATTATGAAGAATGCTGAACCCATGGAGCGCATGCAAATCGAATCTCAGCTTGGTGATTTGATGCAGAGATTTGAGGAACTTTCTAACGCTGCTCAAGAGCGAACAGATGCATTAGAAAGAACAATTCCTGTTGCAAAAGACTTCCAAGATCGCATAATTCCCTTAGACGAATGGTTAGAACAAACAGAAAAGAAATTATCTGCAATGGCTACAATACCAACTGACCAAGAAAAAATTCGCCAACGTATGATGGAACATGAGGTAATTCCCTTTCTAACATTCCTTTTTAATAATGAGTGAGTAAATTTACATGTTATAATGTACTTTCCTATTTTAGTGTAACTCATTTGTGTGTATTTAAATACCTATTTAAAATTTTAGGCTCTTCATGATGATATAATGGACCACAAAGAAGCTTTTGAAGAATTGACCGAAGTTGCTCAGACATTAATGGGTCTTGTTGGCGATGATGAGGCTCAGATGGTGGTGGAAAAACTCCAGGAAGCTACAAATCATTTTGCAAAAGTAGTGGAAGATAGTGAACATATTGGGCAACTCTTAGCTGAAGCATTCCAAGGCATGGGTTCATTCAATGTAAATTATGAAGACTTAATGGCCTGGATAGATGAAATGGCATCCCGATTTTCACGGTTCCATACTCTGAGCGTATACGTTGAAAAACTGCAGGAACAATTAGATGAATTAGTTGTAAGTAGTTTCATAATAAAATTCAACTTAATATAATAAATTTAAATATTAGTTAACCCATATTATTGTTTCCAATCCCAAAATATTACTATTATTTAAAATTTCTTTTATGTATGTTATCACATTATCATATGATTTGCATAACAGTCTATATTTATTAAATCTTATAGTAAGCTTGTTGCATAATCTTAATTTTAGTATATTTTTTTAATATTATTGGACGAGGTAAAGTAACAAGAATCAGTATAGTATTCATAAATTGCAGGACTATTTTTAAAGGTTTAAATATAGAACAGTTTTCTTCAGTTGCAGAACTACTGAAGCATGTTGCTCTTCTTTAACTCCTGCACTAATCGTTCAGCCATGCTATTTTAACTCCGATATTTTATTTTATATTTAAAATGAAATTAATTGTGGAATGCCCAGTTGTGAGAGATGGTCGTAGGGCATGCATATATGATGCCTGTCTGGAGAAGGTTAAAAATAAGTTTAATGGCAAAAAAAGTAAGGTAATTCATATCAGGATGTGTTTTGAAATAATTCTTTGTTATTTTTACATTTGATTTAAATAATGTAAAAATAACAAAGAATAAGTGGCCAAAATAAAAATGATTCAGCTTGCAATGTACATTTGCATCGCCCATCCTCTAAGTTCGTTCTCCAATGATGCATGATTGGAATGCTTGGCTGTGAGAGATGCTCATGATAATGCCTGTCCAGGGGGAGGAAGGGTTAAATTTCTTCTTCATCCTTACTCCACTTGCCATGCTTCATTTCGCATTTCTTGTAACACATTCTCATGTTGGTTCGAGATCCTTCTCTTCATATTGATTGTTAATTTTCCTTTTATTGCTCGTGCAGGAAATTATACTTTTCTTTCTAAATACAGTTTATATACTTTATTCAATAAGAAGTCATAAGCAATCAGTATCAAATTTTTTAGATATTCCATTGTGCTAATTTTCTGTACAATATTGTTATTATTATTTAGCTGCTACAACAAACTAAATGCTGATCTTTTTTGGAAAAAGTACTTTTCCGTGTAACATTTTATATAGATATGCATTTATTCTTTTGTAGGAACTGAGTGAAGAAATTGCTGATCATCAAAAGCAGGTTGATGATGTTGCAAGTGCTGGTCAAGATATAATGAAACATGCTTCAGGTATTTTTATGAGAAATTTCTTTTGTTTTCTGTAGAATTCTCTTTATATTATAAGAGATATTTGGAAATCTTGTCAGAGAAGATGCTTATAGTTAAGATTTAAATTCTTCAATGCAAATGCAATTTTGTGTATTAATATATATTGCATTTTCTTGGTAGGAAGATGTTGTTAAAAAGTACTGGAGAGCCTGTAAACTAATGGCTTAAGTGTCTAATATTTGTCATTTGTAAAATAAAATATGAATGTATATTGCCATGGCTGTATTTATATTGTTCATTGCATCTTTGAGAGTAGCCATCATATCATCATCATTTAACAATTTAGAAGTTAAACTTATCTTCATCATTCTATGATTTTACTATCATTAATTAATTTTAGTAGTATTCATTTCAATATTATTTATTAAAATGTAGTTCATTATTATAAACAAAATATGATCATTGAGATTTTTATATTTTATGAAAAATATTTTTACACTGATCTGCCTTGGTGGGGATCAAGCAAATATCATAACTTAAATCTAGATATGTTCTGCTTTTTGAATTTGGGGATTCGTTTTTTTTTCAAAGTAAATATTGCTGTAATTTGCCATAAATATAATTCAAGGTAACAAGCAATAAGTGGTTTGTTTCTTCCTCTGCCTTATTAAAGCTGTCAGCAGTTTAGTTTCATATAAGATAATTGAATGAAGATAATTAAATGATAATCAAATAAAGCCATTTCTAATAAACAGTTTATGTTTGTTTTGGATTTAAAAAAAAAACTTTTTTATTCTTCATAAGAATATATTTCAACATGTCTTTTATGTAGCATCATCAAACGATTCTAACAAAATGTAAATAATTCTATGATGAAATATCAGACAATTAATTTGTAGGTGATGATGTTATACGAATGAAAGAAAAGCTTGACAATCTTAGCCTAAAATTCACGGATCTCACAAGTCGTGCAGCTGACAAATTACGCCAAGCACAGGACTCCCTGCCTTTAGTGCAGAACTACCATGCTTCTCATGAACGTGTCACTTCGTGGATGGATGCTACTGAGAGGCAATTAAAAAATTTAGAAAATGTGGGACTGTCTAGTCAAGAAACTATTATACAAGTAAGTCTTGTAATATCTTTATTTAAATATCAGTTTCATGTACTCACGTTTGTGATTTATTATATAATGTGAATTTTGAATTTCAAGCATATACTTTTTTATGAGTAAGATTATTTATTATGTAGACTTGAATTGCATTATCATCATTATTTATATGAAGGAAAAGAAAGTAGTTTTATAGATATATTTTACTTATCTAAGAGTATTAAATTATTAAAAATATAAGATAAGTTTAAAAAATTTAACAGAAGAATGTAATCTTGCATAGATATTTCATGTAAGAGATGTCTTATAGATATTCTGTGTATATTTCTTTAAATTAATTTTTTTGCTTGTTTAAGAGACTTGAAGGAGAAATCCAAGAATATCGACCTTTAGTAGATACTCTGAACCATCTTGGACCACAGTTATGTCAGATGTCACCAGGACAAGGAGCTGCAGATATTGAAAATCAAGTCACTCGTGTAAACCGCAGATTTGATGTGATATGTGAGCAAGTACAACGAAAAGCAGAGAGAATTGATTTATCTAAACAAAGAAATGTTGAAGTTAGTAGCTGGAGAGTTTCATCATTTATCATTTTATTTTGCATGCATAAAATATGTTCTGTTAAATGTTTGCTTATGTGAAAGATGTACGTCAGTTTAATTAATGTAATAATATTTTGAAGTAGAGTCTAAATGATTAAGGGAAAAATTTGAATTTTACTTAATTATTTATATTTTTTAATTTAATGTTTTAATCAATGCATTTATATTTATCATATTTTATATATCACAGCAGTTCAATCCTAACTAGTTTGATTTACTGGTTTAATAGTCATCACAATATATATTTATATCCTTTGGGATCATTATGGGAATTTATAACTGTTTTATGAGGGCTGTCTAAAAAGTTTCCAACCTAACAAAGAAAAAAAGTTATTTTTTCCTCAACATTACCTTTATTTTTTGATATAATCCCCTTGTAAGTCTATACATTTCTTCCACCGAACCTGCCCAAATAATATGTAGAATCTTTCTTTGCAAAGTAGTTATTGACAAAGTTCATATCCTCCTCATTTGATGAAAGCAGTGTCTTGGTGGATGTGGCTGTTTTCCCGCAATTTCTGCTTTCAACTTGTTAAGTAACATTGCATAATATGCTATGGTAATGGTTTTTCTCTTTTCAAGATAATCTATTAACACAATCCCATGGCTGTCCCAGAAAGTTGTTGCCATCACTTTCCCAGTAGAAGGAACAGTTTTTGCCTTTTTCGGAGCCGATTCTCCCTTTGCAGTGCACTGTTTCGACTGTGTTTTTGTTTCTGGGCTATAATGATGGATCCAGGTTTCATCTACAGTGATTAATAATAAACACACTCTGATTTATTGCACCAACAGAACAGTGCAAATGTCCACTTGGACATGTTTTTGGTCCAAAGTGAGCAAACGTGGTGCCCAACGTGCAGCCAGCTTGTGCATATCTAAATCTCAGTACATGGCAAACACATTCTTTGGACATATTCATAGCCTCTGCTATCTCTGTAGCCTTGATTTGATGGCCATCCAGCACCTTTTGTGAATTTTAGTGACATTTTCATCAGTGGTTGCAGTTTTTGACCGTCCTGAACATACATAAGCAACCTGTATGGCCACGTTTAAATTCAGTTACACAAAATTTCAGTAGTAAATGATGGTGCAGAGTCCCAGTACACTGTGTCCAACTCTTTAATCTGAGTAAAACAACTGTCTAATGACAGCATGCTACTCAGTTTTTTCCATTTTTGCAAAACTGTTCACATCAACTCACAAAAGTAATTGTCAAACAAAACATTTGTTTTCAAAATAGCTGAAATTTTGATTGGTAGTTATCAAGTGATGCCCAAACAAGTCTTCCCATTTTGATTGATTTGAGCTGCCATCTGCATATCAAGATCGGAAACTTTTCAGATAGCCCTCGTATATTGTTTATGTTTTTGTTCATTGCAGAACAATTTCTGTTTCTTAATTATTTTGTAACGATATTTGACATTTTATGTATGAAAATATAATTTGATAACATCTCAAGATGTGAAATTTATTAGTTATTTACTGTAAGTTGTTTGCAACCTTGAACAAAAGTAATATTTAATTTTATGTAAAATTAGACAAAGCAGCATCCTTGTGTTTGGCTTAGATTTTAGTTATGACTATCAATTTTGAAGGCAAAACAGATACTTGTCCCTCATCATCAAGCAAAGAAATCTGCAAGGAGCTGTACCTGCCTCCCCTAGAAATCACATCTTGTCTAAAATCTATACCAGGCACTTTGCTTATTTTGTTTTGCTTTGGCATATTTCTCTTTAGCCTTTTTAATTTTATGTCATTGAAATTTTATTTTATCATAAAGTTAAAAAGTCATTTAAATAATAAATGTATTTTAGAAACATTTATATTGTGAACAATCATTAATTAACCAACATCTTAGACTATATGTCTAAATTAATGTTTATTAATTGCGATTAGTATTGTAGATAAACAAGGTAACATAAATGTGATGTTTAAGCATGACATTTCATTTCTTCCTTAGTGCTGTATATTTATTTCCTTATAGTAAATACTTAAAATGTTCTTGTTAGGTCATTGGTGATATTGAAGATTTGCTTGATTGGTTTCATGAAGTTGAGAAACAGCTTCTACAAGCAGAGCCTCTGTCTGCTGATCCAGATGCATTAGCTGTTCTTCTTAAAGAACAAAAGGTTTGGATTTAGAAAAGAGTAATCTTACACCTGTATTTATTTTCTGTCTTGTGATGAAATGTAATTTACTTGAATTTGGTATTTTATTGCAGGCTCTAAATGAAGAAGTAAGCAGTCAGAAGGGTCGGGTTCGAGATATATTATCGGCAGCGAAGAAATTGATGAGAGAATCAAGTGGTAGTGACCTTGCAGAAGTAAGAGATAAGGCTGATGAACTTAAAGATGTCACAAATTCAGTGTCATCTCTATGTGCTGATCGCCTGGCTGCTCTTGAGCAAGCATTACCTTTAGCGGAGCATTTCTTTGAAACGCATATGGACATATGTCAATGGCTGGATGAAATTGAAACAGAAGCTGACTTACTAGAAACACCTGGTTTAAATGCAAGTCAAATAAAGAAACAACAAGACAGAAATAAGGTTTTTTTTTTTTTTTTTCTATTTTACTTTTTAATCTTTTTTAATTTTATGTTTATTTAAGAGCTGGACTATATTTTGTCTGTTTTCATACTTGTCAATGGAATTTAAAGAAATGTGTATGCACATCACAAAAATTATATCTGGTTGTAACAAAAGTTTTCTGCCAAAAAACACTTCTAATAAAGTTAACAAAAATATATGAAAGCAGTACTTTTAGTGCAGGTAGTAATTACCAACCAAATCAATGGTTTTCTGCCAACGTGTTGGTAATTTTTCAAAGCCTTCAGCTCAGAAACTTGTTGGCCATGAATCCAAAAAACAGATCAACTTCATTTCGGGCATCGTGTGCAGAATGGAAGATAGCACCAGCAAGATGTAGCTGCAGGTGTGAAAAAAGGTTGAAGTCCGAAGAAGCGATATCAGGGCTACATGTTGGGTGTGGCAAAAGATCCCATTTGAGTGCAGACAGAGTTCAGCCAGTGAATGCAGCGACATGTGGTCTTGCATTATCTTGATGGAATATTACCTTTTTGCACCGGAACTCAATTCGGCATTTTTCCTTGATAGCGCCGTTAACACGGACAAGCATCTCGTTGTACACCTTAGGTTGAAGGTTTTACCTTTTTCTTAATTCTCGTTATGGATAATACCAAGGTAGTCCCACCAGATAGAAAGCATGATCCTTAGCAAGCTCTCAAGTGGTTGCACACTGATCTTCTTCCACAAGTACTCGCAGGTGGGCCTCATCAACATCAGTAGCCTGGCACGAACACTCTACTTCTTGAATGTCATAGTCCTTGTTTTTGAACTTTCGGTACTAAACCTTCACAGGTCAACATTTGTACCTTAAGCTGTATACATGATTTAATGACATTCTCTAACTGACTTTTTGCAACAGAACTGGAAGTAAATGATGCTTCTAATCTGGCAGTGTGATAGTTCCATTTCAGACATCTTGTACTTAATAATAACAAGATTTTTTTTTACAAATTTCACAATATAGTGTTCTAAAGCAAGTTTCTTTCTTTTAAATCCCCAAATTCGTTGGACAAAATATGATTAAACACACCTACGTGAACTGTTTGTGCAGGTTATATTTGCAGTGTCGGGAAACTTTTGGTCAAACCCGATATTTACTGATACATTAAAAAGAATATTTTATTTTAAAATTTTAAATGCTATGAAGCTGTAATGAGTAAAAACTTTAAAAGTCATTTTATTGTTTGTAATTTGTGCACAAAAAACCATCACTTGATGTAATTATAGACATCCTTCTTATATAAGAGTTTCACTCTTACATGATAAGAAAGTTGAGGTAACCCTTGTTCAGCAAGGCAACATGGTTTTAATTCTAACATGTTAATGAATATCCATAAACCCTCTTATAACACTTTATGCATGCACTTACTTCAATAACACGATTTTTATTCTAAATATTTACAAAATTAAGTTGCATACTATGCCATTGTGTGTAGTAAACAATAGCAATGTATTTATTTCTATTCACCAAAATAAATCAAGAATACCTGCATTCTTTCACATCAATGAAATTGAGTCTTGCCCTTGATTTACACAGTACAGTACAAAGTCTTTAATACGGACTCGTCGGGACTTCGGCGATCCCGAATTATAGATCATCAGTTTCAATCTGGTAAGATGGCATGCAGAAATTATAAAATTAAAAATATGAAACCATAATTTATGAAATAAAGAGCAATTATAATCTAAAGGGTAACTTAATATTTATTTGTTTACTTTATTAAACATTTCTTTCAATGTAAGTTGTTTAAGTTGCTTTGCTTTATGTGCTAATACTTTCTCTTTAATTCTATAAACAGACATAATTTCTTGTTCAGTTACAAAGTTCCGCTGTTCAAGTCCTGTAATTGCTGTGCCGAGAATACCAACTAACGTATCAATCGAAATTTTTTTTCGTTTTCATTAACCTCTCTGTCACTTTCTTCATGCCTTTATCCATTTTTTTCAGCAATTCCACTTTTTGTTTGATGGACATTGAAACATGCTTGCACTTTGTAGATCCTTTGGCAGCTCCAGAATCGGAAACTCTTTTTGACATAATTGAAAGTTCAAGCTTATTTTTTATAAAATTTCTCTAACAGTCTGCAAAAGATAATAAGCCAGTTCCAATTAGAAGATTAAGGAACAATGCAATCTGCAACATTAACAGAAATAGACAATTAGATAATTTTAGCCTAGCTTATACCGTCCGTTATACATTAAATGCGCATGCGTAAATGTATTATGCGCATGCGTAAATGCTACACATGTGCAGAAAGTTTGGAGCTTTGAAGTCTGGATTATGGACGTCCGGATTAAAGACTTTGTACTATATATATCTTATGCTCTAAATGTTTAGTACATTGCATAGATTATGTAATTGTGTTTGGAAGAATATTAAAAAAAATTAAGGAATGTTTTATTTATTAGCTTTGTCGTTTTTTAAAGTAATTATTGCAAAATTTTATTTAAGCCACAATCTATGTCTGAAAAGAAACAAACAATAAAGCAAACAAAGCAAAACAAAATAAAACATTTCTTTGGTGATGAAAATACAAAGTTTGAATCCTTTGTTAAAAGGAGAAAATACATTTGAAATTCCAAAAAATCTAAATTTAAATGGGGCAACAGAGTGAATCATTAAAACAATACCTTGTTTTTAAAATTTTGGAATGCACTTTTCTATATTATATTGATTTTTAGTCTCTTGAATTATATTATTTCGCACACCACTGTATTTTCTAGGAACTTACCGTGCTACAGAAGGGATTCCTATAATTAATTAAAACATCCTAAAAGGACTAATTTAGAAGTCAAACAACAAAAATCAGCGTTATATTTTCAAATTTTCAATTTCTGTGAAAATTTGAAAATATAACACTGATTTTTGTTGTTTGACTTCTAAATTAGTACTTGTTCGGCATGTAATGGTATCATAATCCTAAAAGGAATTACGTTAATGAATATAATCACAACAGCAATAACTGTAATTTATTTATCAATTAAGAGTATATTAGGAAAACATGTTATTTTAAAAAGCTGTGATCAAAGCTGAGGATCAAATCATCAAGTTGATAAAAAGCAATGTCTGTAATTTATGCTTAATGTCTGAACATTTTACTTAATAATAATTGAAAATCAATTATTATGACATTTATTAATGTCTAATTTTTTCACTATTTTTTTTACAAGATATTTAGAAAAATGAATATTTCTTAATGTCCCATTTTTGTCATGCATTTTATTGTAAAACTAGCTGAAATTCCTTTGCTTTTATTATGTGTAATTATAGTTGGGCCTCAATTTGAAACCAAATCAGAGAATCTGAAAAATTTTTTATTCTTCTGAAAAGAAGGGATCTCGTTTTTGTTTAACATAAAATTCTTGCTTTTATAGAAATTACTGCCTCCCTCTTCTCTCAAAAAAGAGGAATTTCACCGTCAATTATAAATTAGATATAAAGGTTTAAGAAATCTTATTAATTTTATTATTAAAAATTTGCTATTAAAATATTTATCTCTAAAATGTTTTAAAAATGCAGTATTTGATTTGAAAACTCTGATTTATAAACCACAAATGTCTATATCTTGCACACCATTTCTTAAATGCGATAGTCATGTCCTTCCCCTATTTTAACCTCTTAACAGTTGCATAATTTTCATGAAAACAGTAAAAAAAATATGTTTAAGAAAATTATGTAAAAATCAAGTCTATGAACAATATATAGATTCATTTTTAATTTTTGGAATTTTTTTAAGCTTGAAATCAAGAACATATGCAAAATAAAAATGATTTCTAGATATAAGAAATGGATTATTTTTAATCTTTTTGGATCATTTCTTTTGAAAACTCCAACCTGGAAATATCATGGATAAAGAAATAAAAAGTTTTCTGGGTATAAGAAATGAATAATTTTTAATCTTTTTGGAGCATTTCTTTTGAACACTCCAGCCCGGAAATATCATGGGCACATGAAATAAAGGACTAAACCTTACCCCGTAATTTTTACAGGAGCGAGAAGGAAGGATTAATTCATATTAATTGATTGTATGTAAAATTTACATTAAGCAGAGTTTTTGTATGTATATAATAATTTAATCAGAAATATTTTCCCTATTAAAATTTTAGGTTCTGATGCAGTCTGTAACAGAGCATAAAGCTTTGCTTGACAAACTGAATAAGACAGGAGCCGCGCTGAAAAAACTGTGTAAGCCTGATGAGGGTGCTAAAGTGCAAGATATCATGGATTCGGATAATAGCCGATACAATGCACTTAAAGATATCCTACGTGATAGACAGAATGCTTTAGAAGAAGCTATGCAGGCCACATCACAGGTTTTTTTATTTCTGATATTATTTTTTTATTTCAATTTGCATCTTAAATTTCAGAATTGTGAAATAATTGTCCATTTCTTTATATCTATCAGAATTCTTATAATGCATGAATGCTACTAATTTGCAACCATTTTTGGTTGTAAACAAATAAAATTTTGATTTAAAAAAAATTGAGCACAACAAATTTAAGACCAGTTTTTCTTATATGTGTATACAAATAAACGTTTTAGCAAAAATATGCTACATTTATAATATATTTTAACTGAATATTTTTTTTTTAATTGAAATCATTTAAATAACTTCATGTGCATCAGTTTCAAAATTTGATTCTGTACATGCTTCCATATAATGTAGCATATTTCCTTCAGAGGATTAAGACGTAATATTTAATCTAAAAAACATTTAGAATAAAACAAAACATTTTCTGCTTGTGCTTCCATTTTTGCTTACATTTTATGTTTAACTCAGTTGCGAATCTTTCTATAATTTGTTTTGTTTTAGATAAATCCCTGCTCTAGAAGATAAACATCCTTCTGTTTTCTAAAATGAATTTTCATTTAAGTGTTTAGCTTATGTAAAAAATTTATTTGTTCGCAATTTGTCAGATGCAAAAAACTTAAATGCATCTCGTAGCTGGGTAAATTTACAGCTTCATGCAATAAGTAAACTTAAATGATAATAAATGTTTTATAATTATATTAAAAAAGTCTCGTTTTAGGCAATACTAGTAGTAATTATTTAACACTAAAATTATCTAATTATGTAAAATATATTGTAATAAAATTGAGTTTAAAATCTGGTTTCTTGCTAGTTTTATAACTCTTTAGAATTGCTGTTATACTTGAAGCCCATGTCATAATCTTTCTGAAAAGATCCTTTTATCCCTTTTAGAATATGTACAATGATGTGCTTATTTTCTCAAGCGAAATATGTAGGGAGAGAATTAATAATTCTCATAATTCATATAATGTGTACATTATATTAAAAGAGTGCGAGTTAAGCAAGTAAAAATACTTGCATAAAATAAATAAATTAATGACACAAATTAGGTATGCATAAAATAGAGCTTAGAAGAACTTGACTTGTATAAAATTGTTTTTATCCGAATAAGATTGGTGTCATGCATTTCATTGATGGGTGGGTCTCTTATCCAAGCTAAATACAAAAAACAAGCTAAGGTATTGACTGTGGCAAGATCCAGGTACAGAATCAAATTTTAAAATGTTTAATAAAATGATTTATGTAATAACATAAAAATGCAAAAATATATGAATAAAGTAATTATTAACCGATGCATGTTAAGCATTCAATGCTTTCGCATAATTCCAAAGCATTCATATATATATCTGTTACTGTGAAAAAATCGAAATTGGAGAATGTTGACATTCTCTGGTGAAAGTCAATGCATATCAAAGATCGAATGTTTGGTTATATTTTTATACATTCAGACCATTATTGTGTACTTGACAAGCACAGATATGCTGTGGTGAGGTTGAAACGAGAAGCCGTGAAAGCAGACTGACAAGTAAACCTTCTCTCCTTTGTTACTGGTTTCCCAGAAAACCATATATTTTCTGAAAGCTTATGTCACAAGCAGAAAAACTGTGAAATCTTAGGTGCAGACAGACAAGCGTTTAAAGGTACTATAGGACCCACACAATATCAGAAAAGTGTTGGAATATCAAAAGTCGCTAAAATGCTCGTTTCACGTATTTATATGAGCTAATAATAAGGTAAGAAGGTGGGGATCTCAGTATGAAGAACAAAACAACTCATTGAAAAGAAACATAATACGTTGGGATGTTGAAAATGTAACTTGTTATTGACTTCAAACAAAATCTATTACAAGAGATCATCAATGCGCAGTTCTTCAAATAAACAGGTTTGTTTTAAGTTCAATAGTTTATTTACCTGTGCTATTACTTAAGCCTTCTTTTATTTTGAAGTATATGTTTTAATAATAAAGTGTGATGTAAAAAAGTAGCAAAAATATTTTTATTCAACATTCACATCACTGCATGGTGAATATCAACATTTGCCTCTGCAAGTGAGATAGATATAAGGATATTAGGAAAAATTTTGGGGCATACACCAAGTGACTATGTGAATGTTGACATTCACCAGAGAAAGTAGACATTCTCCAGATTTTGGTCTTTCATGGCAATATATAATTTTTAGTATTTCAAATCTAAACTCAGTTATAGGATTTTGTTTAATTAAGCAATATTTTTCGTGGCTTACCGAGAAAAGTTAAAAGTTTTCCTAATTATTATTTTATGCAAACTATTAAACATAGTGAACGCTTCTAATTTTGAGGTTTTCCTTATTTATACAATTAATTATTAACAATGCTTTTATTTAGTTTTCAGATAAATTGGATGGCATGCTGAATTCTTTGAGCAGTACAGCTGACCAGCTTCAAAATGCTGAGCCAGTATCGGCACATCCAGAGAAAATAGAAGAGCAGTTAAATGAAAATCAGGCAGTACTGCAAGATCTAGATAAACGGTCGAATGCATTAGAAGCTGTTAAGAGAGCTGCTGATGATGTCATAGTTAAAGCTGGTGGTGCTAAAGATCCAGCTGTTAAAGGTATGAATCTGAGTCCCCCCCCCAATTGTATTTTTCCTTCGTTGTAGCACATCTCTTTTATTTTTATTAATTTATTTTTTAAATTTCTGTATCTAAACTAATTGACAAATCTCCTAATGAATAAAAATCAATTACATTAGCTTTTATAAATTAACAAAAAAGGAGTGAGGGGGAAAAAAGTTTTAAACAAGTTCTACATTTGCAGCACTGTAAAGTAGTGTGTTAAATGCTTAATATGTCAATATATGCATCAAATTTCATAGTATTTATTACTATTAAAGGATTTACAGTAAATTGTATTTGAAGTTTAGATTTATAGTAAATTTTTTTTTTCTTTGTGTTAAAAGTTTTTTATTAGTATAGTGTAGTTAGTTTTCAGTCACAAAGTTGTAGAAAAATTATTCGGAAAGAATATGTCATTTTCAAAAATTATACATACTTTTCTGTTATCGGGACCGGCTTCGGAAATGTATTCATGTATATGTGGATATATGTGTTCATGTAAGCATGCATATATATACATATGTTATGTGAGTATACACACATATACATTTATGCACATAGACACATACACATGTGCATACATGCATGGATACATACATTCCTGAATCTGGTCCCGATAACAAAAGAGTACCAATTATACTTAATGTGAATAGATGTTAAATCTTTTTCTTCCCTTGTAATAGACATTAAACAGAAGCTTGATAAACTGAATCAGCTATGGGATAATATTCAGAAGTTGGCTCGTAATCGAAATCGTTCATTGGAAGATGCATTAGCAGCTGCTGAAAGGTTTTGGGATGAGCTTACTATGGTTATGAAAGCTCTGAAAGAGCTTCAGGACAGTCTGAATGCACAAGAGCCTCCTGCTGTTGAACCTAGTGCTATACAGCATCAGCAAGAAGCTTTGCAAGTAAGATGAATTTTTATCCTTCATAGAATTTTGTGCAGTTGAAATCGCAGATATCATATTACTTTTCGATTTTATTTATTTGCTAAAAGCAAATTAGTTTTAATTTAAAAAATATATGTTATATTAAGATATAGGTCTGGAAAATTTTATTATCAAACACATAAATTAAAAATTTGAATAATTAAAAAATTGTTTTAACTTATATGATAAAAAAAACTGCATTTATTCTATGAAGTCTTTAACTGTGACTGAAATGTTAACAACTAAGTACAGTATTGTAAACTGATTTTGGAAATTTGAAACTGAAAAATGTATTAATACTATTTTAACTTCAAAATCTTTGTCATGCAGTTTAGTCTGTTTTGAGATATAGGGAGGAAAAATATTTTTAAATTACAATTAAAAATGTGCAGTTTTTCATGAAATATTTTTTATTCAGTGATTTTATTCTTAATAACTTAAATTTTCCAAAGACAAAAACTTTATATAAAAAGTAACTGAGACTATAAAAATTGACTAATAATATGAACCACATGAAATTTAATACCTTTAATTAAAGTTACCAGTAAAGCGTGTTGCTTATATTAACATTAACATTCTTTTATTTGAATACTTTTTTGAACCAGATACAAAATTTCAATTCAAAATGACTTGGTTTTTATACTGCATGTTAACTAAATTTGTGTCAATTGGTTACTAATAAGTAATCCAAGAAATTTTAATTAATTGCTAAAATATAGAGAATTTTCAATGAATTTCTTCCCTTATATGTATGTATATATTTTTTTTCTGTATAGGAAATTAAACAAGAGATTGAACAAACAAAACCTGAAGTTGACCAGTGTCGACAAGCAGGTCAAGATTTGATGCAGCTGTGTGGTGAACCTGACAAACCTGAAGTGAAGAAACATATTGAAGATCTTGATTCTGCATGGGATAATGTCACATCTCTTTATGCCAAACGTGAACAGAATTTAGTAGATGCTATGGAGAAAGCCATGAACTTCCATGATATTCTTGGAGTAAATATAATTTATAGTTGCATAATTGATTATCATTCATTTTCCTCCTAACAGTTATTTTTTAAAAATTGGTATTTCATGTTCTGTAAAAATAATACTTTCAGATGTATAAAAATCATCTCCATAATTTTATCTTTTTGTCTTTAATCGCTCATGACGAAAAATATTGTATTTACTTAACATGTGATATTTTCATCTCTTTTCCTTGATTAAAATTAGTTTTAAACACATTTTAAGAAAGGAGAAATTGATAATAAGCAGTTATATAATACAGAAAATTTAGAAGAAAGGAATTTATAAATTTAATACACGGAAGTATTTGCATTCTCATTTTTTCATTAACTTTGTGATTTTTATTTTCATGTTTTTATAGACTTCTATTTTTTAATTTTTTTTACTTTGTGATCCCCCCCTTTTTTTTAAGTTTACATTCATTGTTTTGTTTTTGTGAGTTGTATGAATTTAATTAATTATGAAACAAGATATATAATTATTTTGTTCTCATTTAATATATCAATACATCTTTAATATATAACATCATTTAAGTTTTTACAAAATATTAATTTGCATGTATTTATATAGAATCTTCTGGAGTTCTTGGATTATGCAGAGGAAACTTTCTCTGGTCTTGGTCCTGTTGGATCAGATATTGAAGCCGTAAAAGGCCAGATTCAACAACTGCAGGTAACTGAATGTAAATTTTTGGAACTGGAAAGCTGTTTGTCTGTAATTAAAAAAATTATTTTGATGATCAGAGAATCATTGTTCATCCACAGGCTTTAGTGAAAAACTATGACATACTATTTAACTGAGAATGATGGATTATGAAATGTTAGAATTTTGATAATATCCTCTTTTAGAAATTTCACTTATAGATTCTTTTATGAACTTGAAATATGAAGGAAATAATTTATTTCTGTAAATCCAATCATCTGAATTTAAAGCTGACATAAAAAATGCCTGTTAATCAATCTTTCTATTCTGTATAAATTTTTCTTCATGCATATGCAATCTGTGTAAATGCTTTTTGTGTCTTAACTAAGAAAGTTTTCTATGAATTGCATGAAAATATGATTTCTGTTGTCAGTTTTAATAATAACTGCTAATTAAATATTGGAGTTAACTGCCCAAATAAAGAATACTGTATACTTGCTTGAGTATTATATTACATGTATATCTTTTAGCATATCTAAGCATATTATTCTAAATTTGTTGTACAATTTTTAGGCATTTCATTTCTGAGAATAGTAAGAAATTATTTCTAATGGAGGGGGGGGTTAATAATGTTGATATCTTGGAATTGAATTAAGCCTTATTTGAATATTTTAGCATCAGTTTTTTAATTATAATCCCATAATTGTGAATTAGTAGTAGATCTGTGAATCATTCCAGAAATTGAAAATAATTTCATGACATCATCATTATCACTTGACCTTTCAAAGCTAAAGAACGATCCAAAAAAAGATGTCAGATCAGACTGAAAGGAAATAATTGGTAGAACTGAAATTTGACTAGTTCACATGTAACAGTTTTTATTATAGATGAAACTGTTGGAAATAAAAATGTACTTTATATAAGAACAGTACTTTATGTATGGTATCCTCAAACACCACTTGCATCTCCCAAACCATTCAGCAAAAATTTTGCATTGCAAGTGATCATTTGGTTTTATTTCCTGAGTTTGAATGAAGTTCAGATGCATTCATGGGCTGATCTCATATAGGGAAGAGATGCATAGAACTTTTCAGAATGCCCGACTGCTGAGAATGATTCGAATAGTTTTTTCTTTTTTATTCAAATAAACTGACTGGCTAGCGAGAGCATGCTAGTGGTGATGTATGTCAAACCAGTGTCCTCAAGATCCTTTTTCAACCTGCAAATTGTATTCTTATTAAGAGCAAGTTTATATTGAAGGCTCGCATAAAGCTTCTTAATAGTGCTTAAATAACACTCGCTATACTTGCTAAGAGTTTTCACATTCAAAACTGAGTGTTCCTTTGTTATAGCCCTACATATCAACTAAACTGGAACAATCACTGACAAAGGAAGCTCTAAAGAACTTTGTTACGAATTAACCACAAGCTGTTTTGTGCAAACCAAACTCAGCATTCTTAAATCAGAACATTTGGCCATATGCCATTCTCTCTCTCTCTCTTTCTTTTTTTTTAAATTCTATTAAGTATATGAAATAAAGTGCTTATATTGGCTCCAGATATCCATTAATTGAATACTTATATCCATGCTTTATAATGTTTTAAAGAACAAAATATAACTTCCCTTTTGTATTCAGGAAAAAACTATTAAAATTTGTGCTATTTGTTTCTATTTTTTCCTATAATGGTGGATAAATATTTTATTGGCCGACAATGGTTTTGATCAATTTGTATATATTTATATATGCCTATATCATAATTTTACATGAATAACATTACCATGAGAAACTGTATTTGTTTCCACTAGCTAAAGAAACAACTCATTCGTGATAAATAGTTTATGAGGCTGCTGTTTATGATAAACAGATTTATTTTATATTTATTTTTTGTGTTTTCAAATTTCAGGGCTTTAAACAAGAGGTGGATCCACATATGGTGGAAATTGAATCTTTGAACCGCCAAGCCCATGAACTAATGGAGAGAACATCTCCAGCTCAGGCCAAGGCTATAAGAGAACCACTTGCAGAAATAAACAAGCGATGGGATGATTTACTAAAGGGAATTGTAGGAAGACAGGTATTGCAATTTACTTTATGATTGTAGTATTTATTATTTGCTATCAATATCTGTATTTGCTTTCATTCTATATATATTTCTACATCTTTAGTTACTGATACAGTAAAATATCTCATAACCGGCATTATCGAAACAAGGACACTGTTAAAGGTCCAAATTTAAATCCAAACTTTAGATTTGTAAGATAAAAAAATATGTAAAGGGCTAATCTGAAGACTTAAATGTGGAAAATGTTTGTGTTATGTTTCTGCCACCTATCATGGCAAGCCTCATCCAACCAATGAACCAGACAATAGTCCAGAATGTAAAGATGAAATACTGATTCTTTTTTAATGCATTAATGTGTTTTCTGAAACAGTTGAAAAGGAAAGATGCCAGATTTGGTGAGTTTCTTGCTTCAAAAGATGTAAACAACATTACTTTATGTCTCTGTTTGTTTAAGTCGTGACCTATGATCATGTTCATAGATAATGAGTCAAATGAGGAAAATTTTCTTGAGTACAAAATGCATCCATTGTCCACGGTCAACAACTTGGATTTAATTATATGTTCAGATGAAGTAGCTCTGGGTAGATGTAGACAGTTCTATTTCCATAAAATTCTCTCAAGATGATGATGAAATAATTGGAAATGTACTGGGAAAGGTGAAAGATGAGAAGAAAAAGAGAGAAGATGAAGAGCAACATGACATGGACAGAAGCTGACAAAGAATTACAAACTTTCATGCTGAGAAATAGTCATCTATGTCAGTACGTGATGTTTTGAAGTTTCATTATATATGCAGCAGTTTTTTAAAACTGTGCCAACAATCTTGTATACAGGCAGATAGTTAAAATTATGTACCACCACATTAAGAAATTTGTAACTTTCACGTGATTGTATGTGTGGTAATTTTACAGTGTTGTTTGTATTTGTTTTGTGAAATATAAAATCATGTATATATATGTTTTAATTTTAATTAATCTGAGTGATTTCTGTATTATTTATTTAATTGTGGCCAGTAGATCAAGAAAGATGACAAACGGACATTGTATGCTGCATTTTCTACATCTGGCGCCATAAAACATGAACAAATAAATTCTAAAATATATATTCCATCATCCAAAAAATCCAGAACTTTTGAGGTCCCATTGCTGCTGGTTAAGAGATTCTACTGTATTATCGATTGTTACTGTTTATACATATATGTATATTTACATTTGTATCTTTGACCGTATTCATTTAACTGCATATTTAATTATACATATCTATCAACATGTAAATATGTTTGTAACATCTAAACATAAATATTTCATGTAAATCTAGAGAGAGCTGGAAAATGCCTTATTGAGACTAGGGCAGTTTCAGCATGCGCTGGATGAATTTATGGTATGGATGACAAAGACGGAAAAAACGCTAGATGACCTGACACCTGTTTTTGGAGATCCACAAGTTATTGAAGTGGAATTGGCAAAGCACAAGGTAATAACAGTTAATATTCAATGATTTGCAAAAATTTAATATAATAAATGGTTATTTTTTATGCAAATATGTTTTCTTTCATCTGTTATTACTTTATTTGAGATTATTATTTTACAAAAGTATTTATTTATAAAAGACTAATGCATCCATTTCATGCAAAAAATACAATACACTCATCATAGATTTTTGTTCATTATAAGGTGAAGTGCAACTTTCATGAATAAATACATACTGCTGTATCAGATGCCATTATTCAAATTAAATGCTTCGTTTCATACCATTATTGAAAATAGTGAATAGTCATATATAAAATAGTCAAATAGTCATATATAAACTATATACAAAGTTTCCTGAATAGTCATATATAAACTAATACAAAATGGACTTAGAGATTTGAGATAATTTAAAGCATTAAAGGGGGAAAACAGTTTTCAAAAGGTTTTTAACAATATTTTGGAAAAAATTAAGGTGAAAATCTAAATTGATTCTTGTTGAATAGTTTAATTTTTCATAAAAAAGCATTTTCATCTTACTTTTCCTCCCCCCCTTTTTTTTTTTTTTTTTTTTTTTTTTTTTTTTTGTAACATTTGGAGAATTTTCTACGTAACAGTTTTTTTGAATGTAGCGTTTTGCTGATTCTATCACATTGCTATTATTGAAATGACAGCTCTATAAAATCAATAAAAATGTAATTTTACAACTAAAGTATAAATTCATTAATCACAAGGACCTAAGTTCTCAGATTAATATTGTATCTGTTTAAACACAATTATACATTTGTAAAACTTTTATGCCCCCAAAGATGCGATAAAAATGTAGATGCTTATTCAAAACTAATTAAAACAAATTTGTAAAACTTTCTATGTTTTAATGCTGTAAATAGACCTGCATTTGTTTTTTCTCCTTTTAGGTTCTGATGAATGATATTCAGGCGCATCAAACCAGTGTAGATACTCTGAATTCTGCCGGAAGGCAATTAATTGAAGCAAACCGTGGAAGTGAGGATGCCAGTGTTACTCAAAGTAAATTAAATAAGTTAAACAAAAGATGGCAGCTTTTGCAAGATAAGGCTGCTCAACGTCAGCAAGAACTTGAAGAAGCTTTACATGAAGTAAGTAAATTAAACTAAATTGGCTTGATCTTAATAAATGTATGCAGTTAAACTTTGGTTCATGAATTCTATTTGTTCCTGAAGGCAGAAATCAACTTTAACAAAATATTGATAAAGTGAAACATTTTTACTCAGAGGAAGTAATGTAAAGATGCTGTTTTGATGTTTGAATGAAGGATTGTTAATTCCTTCTCTACAGCCTAAGTCTCTCTAAATTAGAGGACTTTGGTTGCTAGTAGAGGTGGTTAGAAACATCTAGTTCAGAAGGCCTTGGTCAACCCTGGGCTGTCTCATGGTGGATAGATAGTGATGAATTTGTTCATGAACTAAAGGATTTGTGGTATGAGGTTCCACCTTAATCAGTAGCTGCAAATCCTAGCTATTGTACTTTTTCATAATTATCATAATAGTAATTATGAAAAAAATTATCATATTAATTTTCAATTAATATGCTATCATTTTTAATGTTTCTTTCTTTCTTTCTTTCTTTTTTTTTTTTTTTTTTTAAAAGCATTTGTTGGGCATTCAATGCCTTATCTTTCATTTATAAGTATTTTCAATAGTTATAAAATGTTTTGAAATATTTTAATAGTTTAAACAGAGCATGTGGATATGTACATTTTGACTGCATTTTCACAATGGACAGTTTTTCCCATAAGAATACAATTATGATGCATTTACTGTAGAAGATACGTAGGTTTTAATAACTCAGTCCCACTTTTAATATATAGTATTGTATGTTTATAATATATAGTACTGTTATATTTTAAGATGCATGTACACTGCACACACACACACAAAAAGGGGGAGAGTTCTATATCTTCCGTTTGGGCTGATTGACGAAATTCAGCTTGTGTTTTTCATGTCTCGAAAGCACGACCTAGGATATTTGTTAGATTTATATATAGCATTGTTCTAATATAGGTATTTTGACACAAAATGGAACTTTTTCTGAAATGACATGTCAATTTTTTCCATGTTTGGATTCTATGACTCAAATTATGCCAAACTGACAAGTTTTGTAAAAAACACACAAATAGTTTTTAAAAAATTTGCTCCTTAATGTTAATTGAATTTCATATATATTTATTAATATCTCCTTTTTATTAAACTTACTGGATTCCTTCTTCAAGGATTCAAAATTTAGGCTTAATCCAAATATAATTCGCACATGTTTTATTATTTACTTTAAAAATTTGTATTTTAAAATATTTTTTAGAAATTTTTCGAAAGATATTTTGAACTATAACCTATAAAAACTTTAACATCATCTTAAAGTAGGTGTATTTCTTTCTAACTATTAGAGTTTATATTTAAAATTTTTCAAAATATATGTGAATTTATGTATTGGTACATTTTGAAATTTGGCATATTTCTTATAAGCGATAATAACGCCAAATGTGGTTTATGCACTCTGTTAAAATTATTTGAAAGTAGGAATTGATGCCTTTTTTTTCTGTTTGTGTACAATGAAAAAAAAGAAAGGAAAATAGGTTGCTATAAATTAAGAAGTTCACCAAGGGAATTATTCTTGCCGCAAATTGAAGAAAATGTGCTAAGATAAATTTCTCACCAAAAATTTCAAACTTTAATATCTAGGTATAATTTGAGTCGTAGAATCGAAATATGGAAAAAAAATTGGTATGTCATATCAGAAAAAGTCCGATTTTGTATCAAAATACCTATATTAGAACAATGCTATATATATAAATCTAATACATATCCTAGGTCGTGCTTTCGAAACATGAAAACTGCAATTTGAATTTTGTCAGTCCGCCCAATAGAATGGGAGGTATAGAACTGCCCCCCCTTTTTTTTTCACAGTGTATATTTAAATTATATTTTCAAGAAAACCCTGAACATTATAATTTTTGAAAACTCGGTGAGAATTATGTACTTTTTAAATCTCTGTTTTAATTTTTCCGTTTTCCCAGTGCATCTTTACCGTTGTTCTCAGAAATTTACAACTGTTGTTTATAGTCATAAAATATACGTTTTAGTTTTTCAATTTTGATAGGTCATAAATGATTTGGAATATGTCTTATTTAGATCGTTTTATTGAATTTGTTTGCAAAGATAATTAATTATGGTCTCTTAAATAGCAGATGAGATTTTTGATTCACTAAAGTACTTTTTTGTGTAAAAAAATTCTCTCTTGTCTTTTTCTGAACTTTTAAGTCAGTTATTTACAATTAATTAGAAAGACTGTGTAAATTATGATGACTACTATGTTTGTCTTCAAAAACAGTGCTAATGTAATTTCTTTCACAGAAGCAAGGAAAGGGATAAACTTCCTCTTCCTAATCCTGTTTTATTTTTGTTTTTTCAATGCTTCAAGAGTAAACTTATTACCAACTTTAAATAAATTCTAATTTTAAAATTCATATTCACATGGAATACATCCGAAAATCCTTGTGAACAATATTTTGTCATCTACTAACTTTTTTCCTTGATGAATTTCCCATAGGCATGTATTCCTGCATTAAAAATGCTGGATTTAGTGTATGTTATAATAGGAAAAGCTTTTTATGTAAATAATTAAGGTAATAATATAATTAATTACCTTCAGTTAGTTCTAATTTGAGATTGAATTTTAAATAAATTTAGCGTCAAAATATTCATAAATTAATATCTGTTGAATTATTTAAAATATTTTCCTGAGTATGTACTTTTTGCATTCTAGGCACAACTATTTAATCAAGAAATTCAAGATCTTTTAATGTGGTTAAGTGATATTGACAGCCAATTAGTATCTTCAAAACCAGTTGGTGGTTTACCAGAAACTGCCAGAGAGCAGTTAAATAGATTCATGGTATGTTCAAGGATTATTTGTTTCCTGTTGTGTAAAATAAATATTAATGTATTACTAAACGAACATTATAAAAAGTTTTTTTTTTTTTTTTGTAAACAAGTGTTCTATGGAATTCATAGCATATTGAAGTCAATGTATATATTATTTCATAATTTCTTTTAGGAACTGTATAACGATCTTGATAGTAATAAACATAAAATTGATTCCACTCTTCAACAAGGACAAGAGTATTTGAAAAGATCAAATGAAGGAGCTGCAGGCAGTCTTCAGCACAATCTGAAAACCCTCAAACAACGCTGGGAAAATGTTTTAAATCGGGCAAATGATCGAAAAGTGTGTATATTAAACGTTTATATTTTGCATGTTTCTAAATGATAATTACATTTTCTTAAGTGCTGTAACTATTTAACTATTTTATTATTTAGATTGATTTAATATCCTCCTCCCTTTAAATATTTCTAATTTTTCTCCGAAATCCTATGGTTTTCATTTTGAATTTCCTATTTAATTTTTAGTCCAAAGAGGCAATTTGCCCAGAAGGACTAGTAATTTCGTTTTGGCATTTTGCCTTGATTTACTACAAGCATTATTTAACTTTTCAAATTGTTGCCACCAAATATTATCGCCCTGTATTATATTTAAAGAAATTAAGTATTGAAGTATCTGCGTAAATGTATGTATGTTTCTTGCATTGTGTTAAAACAATGGAGAGCCATCCAATTTTGAATAATGTAATCCTCCTGCGAATAAGGGCATCTGGAAGACAATTTGAATTTTCAGATGCCCATATTCATTTGAAATTTGGAATATGTTTCATTATTAATTTTATATTTTGTGAAACTTAACGAATTTTTGATTAACAAACTCAAGGATTTCAAAGTGAGCAATGGCAACATTGTACAGAAAAGAAAAAAATTTTGTAATCTCTAGCGTGCGAGACTGTGTATCGGAAATTTTAAAGGATATGCTCATTTTAAAATTATTTTGTGGTACTGCTGTTGAACTGAATTTTATGGTTTAAGTGTGAAGAACGTGATATTTAATAAATAAAGGTAACGCACAAAATGTTAAAGAAAATGCCCCTTTGGACACTATTTAAAATCTGAAATCTTTCAGATTTTTTTAAAAATATTATTTAATTTTTGTATATATTAGTATTATTTTCTTTTGATCTTATTAGGTGAATATTTATATAAAATTTCATTCTCTGTGTTATTATTCTCATAGTTACTTTTAATATTTTATATGTCAGTTTCTGCTTGTTCCTTTTCATTCGTATTTCAACTTTCATTATTATTATTATCATTCCTGAGACATTCATTGAATATGCTGGAAGTTTCTGACAAATGCTAACATTATTTCATGTCTGTAGCTAGAGTACTAAAAATAAGACTAAAGCTTTCTCATATCAGTCCTAGACTAATACTTTCAGTTATAATAATGTAATAAATAATGTAAAATTTATAATAATGTAAAGAAATAATGTAATGTCTGAAATAATGTAAAGAATTTTATGAAAATTGTTTCAGTGTTATAAGTTGGAGAACTCTATGAAAGCAAAACCAACATTTTACATATTCTCCTAGAACAAAAATTCCACTCTGCAATATATTCATCATGTTTTAATAAATTGACTACAAAACATTCTATACATTTACATTGCAATGAAATTCACAGAAATATTATTTTATATTTATCTTTTGATTTTCTTTTTCTAGATAAAGCTAGAAATTGCTTTAAGAGAAGCCACAGAATTCCACGAAGCTTTGCAAGACTTCGTTGAATGGCTAACAAATGCTGAAAAATTTTTATCGAGCTTGAAACCTGTTAGTAGGGTAATGGATGTAGTATTAGAACAAATAGAAGATCATAAGGTAAGTTTTCAGCACTCCCAATGAATGCTTCTCTAACATTTTGTTGAACTTTTATAGAGATTAGGTTGTTTTGTGTATATATACATTCTATGTATAATTACGTGCCCGTATAAATAAGTTTGTGTAATGACATGTTTATTTCATACAAATACTTTCAAAGAAGTTTGATTACCTTGCCATTCTTAAATTTAAATTTTCATTCATATTAAATAATCAGCAAAATGTTATTTATTTATGCAATATATATTTAATTTTTTCAAAAAGGATAATATATCTTAACTAGTGAAATGAAATACTTCATTTAAATTATTTTCAAGTCTTAGAAAAGTGTTTCCTTCCTCAGTCATATTTAAACTGCTGTTGAGTAATTTAAAGTAAGTATTGTATTTGACGTGTGTACATATGTATGTATGTGTACATATGTATTTGATACATATACAGCACAAAATCTGAAATCTGGAATGATCTGCTATATAAACCTCTGGACCACAAAGGGGAACTGGTGAAATGCAGATACTAAAGTAGCCTTTTTAAAATCATGCTGAGTTCTAAAGAGTGGCAAGACCATTCAGGAAATTTTGAATTTTAAATTGTGGAGAATTGTGAGGTCGTTGCTGATCATTGTAAGGTAAGAGAAAGTGTCTGTAGATTTAAAAATGCTTGGTTTATGGCCAGTTACCATGTTTCATGATGATGCAGGGCCAACGTCAGAAACAGTGTGATCAATGCAGTCACACTGAGCAACAGATTTTAAGGGTAACAAAATTTTTAGACAACAGAGAAACAAGCAGCAGCAAAATTAAGGGATGGCATTTTTAAAAAAAATTGGGAGAGGCAATGAGCAACCAAACTTAGGACCTGCAAGAATTGCACCAAACAAACAAACAAAAAAAAAAAAAAAAAAAAAACTGCCTAGTTCTTGTGATGATGACCCCTCGGGCAGTGATCACTGGTAAAATCGGTAAAGCTACTGGCTAGGATGATCTGTACTTGGGTAGTTCCAACCACAGGGGTATAAGATCAGTCTTCACAGGACTAGAACCATCATTTGTGTGGCCATAGGTTCAGCTTTGGCGGGGACCATATGGTACTGTCTTATCTGCCTCTTTAACTGTGAGGTTGCTATATGGGGAGATTTCTAAGGTTGTCCTTGGTTAACACTTTGGGATGGACTGCGTCGCATTTTCTCCTCTTTGTTAGTGCATGTGCAGCTGTCCTCCTCTGTGTACAATTAACCCAGACTTTGTGAACATATATGTCTCCCTGGGCTGACCGGAGGGGTTAGTCCTCCTTGGATCACTTCAAGGGGTTGAGGTGTTTAACTGTGTAAGGCAGTTTTGAGCTAGCCAGGTCTAAGTGCCCTTCCTCCTAGTATACTGTGATAATGACAGCCACGAATGTGAACATTTTAAGCTATCGCAAGCAACAGCTCAAATTAATAAAATATATGAATAAATGTAGTGAGGTAATAATGAATGAAAATGATATAAGAGAAGTTTCTCATTACAATGCCCCAATTATCTATGAAAATATTACAACTAATTGTGAAGAAAGTGACTGAGAGATTGTTGAGAATTAAAAGATTTTTGATTGTCACTTGAGTGGGAATTTTCTGAATGGCAATTGTGAGACTTTGTAGGGTTTCCCTTAGTTCAGTTAACCAAGCCAGTGCACATTACTATTCTGTCCTTGCTGTTGTTACACTGAGTTGCTGACACGCCTTTTTGGTCATTCAATAAGTATGTCGCTGGGTAGGTTTTTGAGTCAGCCTAAGTACCCTTAAACTAAATTGTTAGTCCAGCACTGCTATTTATCTTTAAATTTACTGTTAAATTATTCGTAAGTTCCACTGCAAGTTATCAGTGTTAGTGTAAGCACAAAGTACGTGCATTTGTGTTATAAGAGTTTGACAAATAATAAAGGGTCTGTTTTACCCTTCTTCTGTGCTGGTATTCATGCCTGTGTGAGAAGTCACCAGGTTTCTTAGATGACCAGAAAAGCATATCAAAATACTTTTTTTCATTCATCTTTCTTCACTCTTTGACTTATTAAGGTTTTTTTAACAATCATATTCATGTTTAGTAAAGTACAAGATTCAGAATAGGATTTTGATTTAGATTTGGCTACTTGATACAGAATAATTTCCCAGTTGCAATTGTGATGCATATGTGTATTAATGAAATTTTTAAATTAAGTTTAAAATAAGTGATCATAAATTTTCACCTGGCAGCTCTAAATAGTATATATTTATTTATATATTTTTATCTTTGTATAGGCATTTCAAAAGGAGGTTGGTTCGCATAGAGAGGTTATGCTAAATTTAGACAAGAAAGGAACACATCTCAAATATTTTAGTCAAAAGCAAGATGTGATTTTAATTAAGAACTTATTAATAAGTGTTCAGCATCGGTGGGAACGTGTCGTTTCAAAAGCTGCTGAAAGAACTAGAGCTTTAGATCATGGCTATAAGGAAGCTAAGGAGGTATGCTATTTTTGTATTTATCATATAAATTTTATTATTTATTTTGTATCTTCTATTGCATTATCTTAAATTCTTTTCTGCATAATTTTTGGCAAAAGTGTATATAGAAGATAAAGTATTTAAATGAAAAATATGTTTTTCTGCCTTTGATAATTAAACTTGGTATTTTTCAAAAGAAATTTTTTTAGTTAGAATTGAACCTGTCTGAATTTTATCTTAAATGTTAAATAACTGATTTTTAATTTTTTTTTCCCTTGGAAGATACTTATTTAATGAGACCTCTTTTCAATAAATAAAGAAATAAAAATATTTGATCTATTAAAATAATTGCACATAATGTATTATTAGACATAAAATATTAATTAATAAAAAATTTTTATTTATGAAATTTAGTTTTCCTATTTTTAAATGGTGATGCAGTGCATAAATGTAAAAAAGAAAGGGAAATTTAAAAGCTCATACTTTAATAGATTATAATTTTTAAGTAAATGTGGTTTTTATTATACTGTGTTTCCATTTAGTTGTGTTTTGTTTGTTTATTTATTTATTTTTATTCCTTAATTTTTAGTTTCATGATGCATGGTCTGATCTTAGTCATTGGTTAGATGATGCTGAAAAGCAGCTTGATGTTCTTACGCATGTTGGTAATGATCCTGAAAAAATAAAGCAAATGCTTTCAAAGCACAAAGAATTCCAAAGGGCTCTGGGTGCAAAACAACCACTTTTTGATGGAACTATGAAACTGGGACGAAATCTTAAGGACAAATGTCCAAAATCGGATGTTGGTGTTTTGCAAGGAATGATGGATGAACTAAAAAATAAATGGAACAATGTGTGTGCCAAATCAGTTGACAAGTATGTTTGATTATTGCCTTTTTTTTTTTTTTTTTTTTTTTTTTTTTTGGGGGGGGGGAAGGAAGGATTAGCTTCTTATTCTTTTTCTCAATACCTTTCAATATACACATATAAGATACAGTGACCTATTTTCAAATTCTGCTTACATATACTGTACCAGAAGAAGAGAAAGAAAATTCAAGATAAGTTAATACTTAAAGTTTAATTTGAACAATGGATTGCATAAAGATGACTATAAATATATTTTCCACAATTTAAAATATAAAAAAAATCAATTGAAATTTTTTAAAATGTGATCGTAGGCAAAAATGTGTGTCCCTTTCAAGTTTTATGTTATACAACCTTTTTGTAACCTATTTTTTTAAATAAAGTTTAAATATTTTAAATAGGAATTATTAGTGTGTTATATTCATGATAAAAATTAATTACAGAAGGTCTAGGAATCAGTTTTTCTTACGTTAAATATGTATATATAATTTTAGTTGTTTTGGGGTAAGAATTGTGATTAATAGATACTGTGCAAAATTTTTCATTCATTAGGCAAAGAAAACTTGAAGAAGCATTATTATTTTCTGGACAGTTCAAGGACGCAGTTCAGGCCCTCATTGATTGGTTGGAAAAATCAAAGAAAGCCCTGTCAGAAAATCAACCTCTTCATGGAGATTTGGACACCGTTATGGCTTTGGTTGATCAGCATAAGGTGAATATTTATGAAAAATCTATATGCTTTAGTATATATTCTTCTGGCTTATATATGTGCAATTTCTACTAATATATAAGTTTTATTGTTGCTAGTTTTATTAATAAGCATAATACTTTCATTATAAATTATTTTTGGTAGAGATTAAATTATATATATTTTTTTCTTTTGAAGTAATAAATTCAATTATAGTGCAAACTAGTTATGTTACTATTAAATTTAATATTTTAGTGAACCTGAAAGCATTTCTAGTTTTATGTTAACCAGATGTAAAATGGTATAGTAAATCTAAATTTATGGTTGACATAGTCAAGTTTTTAAACAATTTTTGTTATGTAATTTAAGCAATGTGAGATGTTATTTAAATTTTAAATTAACCTGATATTTATTTTCTATTGGAAATATATTTTAACAAAATCGTATTAAGAAATTCTGATTTTATGATAGATTAAACCATTAGCTTCTATTTATTATACGAGGGCTATCCAGAAAGTAGATTACGTTTTGGAATAAAAAAATAAACAAAGTATAGGAAACAAATTTTATTATATACAGATGAAAGCCACACTCAAATACTACTTTTCTACATAGTCACCATACAAATTAAGGCATTTATCGTAGCGATGTACGAGCTTGGAAATTCCTTCGTCGAAAAATTCGGCCGCCTGCGCCTTCAACCACTTCGTTACCTCTTCTCTGCAGCTGTGCGTCGTCATCAAAAACGCTGCATAGGCCAGCCACTTCTTCATTGCTGGGAATAGGTGGAAGTCGCTCGGTGCCAGATCGGGACTGTACGGCGGATGAGGAAACAACTCCCACTTAAATGATTCAAGAACTTTATGAGTGACATTTGCCGTGTGGGGCCGGGCGTTGTCGTGAATCAACAAGATCTTAGAGCTCAACATTCATCTGCACTTGTTTTGAATTGCTGCTCTTCTGAGTTTATGGAGAGTTTTGGCATACCTTTGAGAGTTTATTGTAGTGCCTCTTTCCAGGAAGTCCACCAAATTTACAACCTTTTCTGTCCCAAAAAACAGTCGCCATCATCTTCCTTGCCGACATTGTTTGCATGCATTTCTTGGGTTTTTGGGGAGAACTTGTGTGCCCCCACTGCATTGATTGCAATTTCGTTTCACAGTTCACATGTTTCACCCATGTTTCGTCACCAGTAGCGATGCGATCGAGTAAAGAGTCACCATCCTTATGGTAAGCGTCCAAAAAGTTCAACGCTGCAGCCATTCGCTGATTTTTGTGGTCCTCTGTCAAGATTTTTGGAATCCATCTTGCACAAAACTTGTGGAAAACTCAAAGAAAGTTCCGTTATTGTGAAATTTCGATTTTCACGGACTTTAGCATCGACTTTTTCGAGAAGTTCGGCGGTCACTATGCTGGGTCTCCCACTTCGATCTTCGTCGTGAACATTGGTTCGGCCATTTTGAAATCTTATGACCCACTGACGCACTCCACCTTCAGTGATAATGTTGTCCCCATACACTTCACGAAGCTGCCGATAGATTTCTATCGGTTTACAGTTTTTTGCAGTCAGAAACCTTATTACTGAGTGCACCTCGCAGCTCGCGGGATTTTCAATTAACGCAGACATTTCAAACCGTCACAGTATCTGAACGGAGCACAGCACGAACCTCTCACTAGCACGGCTAGATGCAGACTGAGCTGCGCAACGCTCTGACCCCAAGATGGCCGCGCTAGCCCCGCCCCTAGCGGACACAGACGGAAACGTAATCTACTTCCTGGATGGCCCTCGTATAATCATTATTAAATGATACTTTTAACATCTTTTTTATTTTTGAATTTAGAGTAATTGGTTTTACAATGTATTTGTATGAAATGAAGTTAACTGATATTATTTAGTTAATATAGCTTGTGTGACTAATATTTGATTATAACTAATTATAACTAACTAGCATCCAGCATGAAATATTTCAAAAGATTGTTATTAGTAAAATAATTCTCAGCATTTTGTATTGAGGATTAATGGATACTCGTGTTGTTGAATATTTAAAAATGATCCTATCAAATATTATATTTCAATCTAGACATTCCAAGATGAATTAAAGAGCAGAGCAAATAATCTAGAATCTGTACGACGTACAGCAAGAGAGCTGCTAGAAACAGCTAACGATGAAGATGCCGAACATATCCGTCAGCAACTTACACAATTGGACAGAATGTGGATAGAAGTTGCAAATTTGGCTGAAGAAAAGCAAAGAAAATTAGAAGAAGCTCTTCAAGAGGCTAGTTGATTCTTTTCTCTTTTAAAACTGTATCACTTGTATGTATATAAATATGCATTGCTTAGCATTATGAACTATTATTTAGTTTTGATCTGTTATATGACCTAGTCATTTCACTTAGAGTAATTTATATGAAAATATACAGGTTAAATTTAGATCTGAAATTAAAATTGAAGCATGTGATCCATTCGATTGATTATAATTATGCTGATTTTCAGTCACTGATGATAGCTTTGTGAGTGAGAGATATAAAATTAACCCATATATATATATATATATTTGCATAAGCATAAAGAGTTAATAACATTTTTAATAAATGTAATTCTTTATATGATAATCAAAAATAAACATAAAAATGAATATTATATATTACTATAAATGTTTTATATTACATTGTAATTTTTTTTTTTTCCACTGTTTGTCATTACTGAAAATTTTCCTATGCACTGTAATAAATTAGATGAAATGTATTTACAAAAATCGGTTAATGGTACTGAAATATTTAATGTATATATTAGGTCAGCAAATCTATTACATTTATAGTTGGTAGCACTGAAAAAGTTCAAATTTTGTTAACAGCAGTGCGATGTAAAGTTTGAATTTTCAGCAGTGTATGACTTCAAATGGTGAATTACATAAATGAGTAATATATCAAAGTTCAAATAAGTTGAACTCTTATTGCTTTTCTGCCTGATATATCTATTATCGAGACAGCAAATCTTGATGTTTGGTTAGGTTATTTAATTATGGCAAAGCCTCGAGCGCTATCTGCCTAAGCGGAGGGATGCCTTCATGGAGGACTTAAGGGAAACTGGCTTGTATACACATTACACATGGGGAAAACCACAAAAACACCCATGTAGCCAAGCCAGCCCGCTCGCGGGATTCGAACCTTGGACCGAACTAACAGTGTTCAGCAACTTTACCGTTCGGCCCCTGGTGGGCCGAATCTTGATTTATCAAAGTACATAGTCTCCAGGCTGATGTCTACGTGGCTGGAAAAGTGAAACACTTTGTTCAGTCAGAGTAATTTTTGGAATAAAAGAAAGCTACCAAAAAATGTTCACATGCATTAAAGTAGAGTTACTAAAGTTAAAGTAATAAGAAAAATTGTAGCAAAAAAATAAAATAAAACAATGATTATTCGAATTACGGCAGAACTTAATGTTCTCCTGAACTCGTCATTTCTATAACAACTGCCTATCGGGAGCTTAAACTGTCTGTACAGTAAATAATATTCATGGACAATTATCAATAGCAAAGTCAATGATATTGGTGCCCATGGTCAGATGCTGTGTTCAGTTCTGTCAAGAGCCCCAAACTTAAACAGCATTCTAAGCAATGTGCATATGGTTATCTGTGAATTCACCTTGACCATTTTTCATATTTCTGGAAGAGTTTATGAGTGGCAGAGCTCTTTTGGAGACATGTGATCCAGATTATCTTATATCTGTAGCAAAACATTGATGTAACAGCTTGTGAAAAGCACATAAAGTTTTTTGGATGGTCGCAACATTGTAGAGGGCTATCTGTGGGTTAAATGAATTCAGTTGTCCAAACTTTGTATCACAAATATTCCAGTATATCATAATGCTAATGTGTCACTTCATAGCATGAAATAGTAATGGTTTGAAACACATAAAAGTGTCTTGAACATCTTTCACATCCTGCACTGCAGAGTGTGCTAGAGGATAAAGTACAGTGGCAAACATTTTCCTCCTCCACCATCATGAAACTACTGTTTTGTAAGAACAGTAACTTAAAAGACCTTTAACGATTGGATAACATTTTCAATAAGAAATCATTACAGTATTGCTCCTAAAAAAGGGCCTTTACCATATGAATAAAATATTACACTCTAGATGTAAATATTTTACTTTTATTGCCTGACCCCTGTACCAGAACAACAACTGAAGTATTATACGACACAGAAGTTGAAAAAAGAGACTTAACAAACAGATTAATTACAATGAATTTATGTGCAATCATTTATTTTTAAACAATTTAGTCAAAATATGTAAATTAATCATCCATCATTAAAATATACCAATATTATAATTGTAATCCTCAAAAATTTAAAAAAGAGGAACATGGGGAAAAAAAAAATTGTTTAAGCTGCTCAAATAAAATGCATCTATGTTCAAAAATATTTAAATTTTTATAGTTTTTAATTTTTTACCAATATCTTTTATATTTTCATAAAGAGTAAACTGACTAAATTTATCAGTCTTTGTTTTTGATTACAGGCTGAACGACTGCACAAAGCTGTACATATGTTATTGGAATGGTTATCAGATGCTGAAATGAAGCTGAGATTTGCTGGTCCTCTCCCAGATGATGAAGAGACCACCAAACAACAGATTGCTGATCACCAGGCATTCATGAAGGAGATGATAGAGCAGGAAATAAATAAAGATGCAACTATTGCTCATGCTCAGGAAATTTTGAAAAAATGTCACCCTGATGGAGTATCTGTAATTCGCCATTGGATTACTATTATACAATCACGATGGGAAGAAGTAAGAATATAAAATTTTCTTAGATGTTACACAATAATTTTTTTTTAATTCTAATATTTGCTCAATTTAGTTGCCTATTTTCTAGAAGTAACTGATGTTCTGTGAAACTACCAAGAGTAAATACTTTGCTGCCTTAATCACTGCACAGAATAAAATTTACATAATGTTGTGATGTACAGGGTGGTTATAAAAAAACGTCTCTGATATATGAATCCCTAGTGACTTATCCACTCCAACCAACCAAAATTAAGTTTCAGAAATTATTATTTGAAGGTATGTGCTTGAGACTGTAATGACTTAAAATAATACAACTCTCGCTGTTATGTTTATGGTGAAAAAATTTTGAAGTTTTCGAATGGTAACAGCCACCTTTTTTCCGATGTAAAGTAAAGAATGCATTGAAATACTTACATTTAAGGGGAAGATAAAGTTATTTCATTAAATATCATATTTAATATCTCATGTACGAAAAATTATGTAAAAAATTGCATATTTCACGAAAAAAATTATTTTTGCATATACAGTAAAAGCCCGACTATATGGTATTCAGCTAATAGGAAAGATCAAGTAACCAGAATATTTTAGGAAATTCTTTCCACAAATATTTAGTAAATGAAAAATGTGTGTTAGAAATGACAGATTTAATAGTATAGTGAACTCAATAATGCCAATGCATTATCAGGTTCATTACTACTATTAACACATACACATTGTTGCCAAAAAGTGTGATTCTGTACTAGTAACGATACATGACTTTGAAAATGGATGAGCAGTAATGTGACAAATTATGATAAAATTTGTTTTTTATGTATTGTACCAATAATTAAAATACATTTGCTGGAGTGACTGGACTTTTCTAATGTTAATTCTATTTTTTATATGCTTAACTATTTAGAATTTTCACATATGTGGAATTCGGCATTTCCTAAGTTTTCTGCATAGTCTGGCTTTTACTATATCTGTAATTTTCTTGCTTACATTTTATGCTAAATTTTTATTTTTCCTAAATTTTGTGGGTTTTTTTTTTTTTTTTTTAATTTTTATTTATATAAACCAAACACTAAATGTGTCTCTAAAAGCAAAGCTTCTGGAAATTTAAAAATGCAAATTTTGTGTGATTATTTGCTTAAACTGTAATTTTGAACAACTATGTGAAATTTAGAAGCAAACAAGAAAGATAAAAAATCATTTGAAGACCTCATGCGCATTTTAAGATTTTTGTTATGCATTTGTTTGATATCTTTTCTATTTTGATTTTTTTTTTTTTTTAATAAAAAATGTTACAACTGAAATGAATGTTTTCTTCAGTAATATTTGAGCGATCTCTTTATAATCTGAAAAATGCTTGTATTGAAGTTTGTCATTTAAAAATATGACGTCATAAAAATGTCTTTTAAAATGTAAATAAATAATTAATAATTTGTCATTTAAAATAATTTTTGGATGAAATATTCAACTTTTTCTTTTATAGGTATCTTTGTGGGCAAAACAAAGGGAACAACGCCTTAACGATCATTTACGATCACTGCGAGATATTCTTGATCTGTTAGAAGAGCTATTAAAATGGTTGATTGGTGCTGAAGCAACGCTAACAGCTCTTGAAGCTGAACCCTTACCTGATGAAATACCTGTGCTGGAACAATTAATTGTTGATCATCAGGTACTTAATATTTTGATGTTAAGCTGTTAAAGCATAATTCATGATTTTAGAGAGGTAAAGCATGATAACCATTTGTATTAAAAATGTAAACTCTGAACCATATTTTTTAACAAACGTGACTAAATATAAATAATGCAGAAGCAAGGTAAAGAGATATTAGTATTTCAGTCAAAATTAAAAAAAAAATTGTTCATTAGTGATTTAAACTGCATATATTTAGGTTATGCAGAAAATAAGTTTCAATGGATTATCAAGAAGAATATTATTGCCAAGAAGTCAAGAAATTATTGCTAATCAAACTAATTGCGAATTATTGCAAACCAGATGCTGATTGTTTCTTTAAATCATCTATCGACCATCTTTAAAGTATTGGCCATCAAGGGAAAATTTCCGATTTTGAGAAAATAAGAATCTCTTAATGTGAATCCAGACTGTAAGAGGGGATAATCAAATTGCTTCTATTCAGAGTAATACGAATTTTTGCTGAAGTGGTTGTAGCTAGATAAGTGTCCCCAATGGCCAAAACATTTTCTAGTTAAACATTTGTCTAGAATTGATGAACTCATTGGGCATTTAGCCGTCACTGAGAATATTGCCAGGGAATACCAAAAGGTGTCGATTAAATTTAACTTATGAAAAAGAACATGTTCTGTCTTAATTTTGAAGAAAACATACTGGAGGATGAATCTGATTCTTCTCTTAGAAAACATATACTTCATTTTCACCTTTCTTGCTATTTTATCCAGTATTATTATTATACCTTATCTGCCATTATATTCATAGACAGTTTAAATTCAGAGAGTTGTAAGTAACAACCAAGTCTTACTCCTGGTGATAATATTGATGAATATTAAAAAATAATCAAAAATTTAATGTTAGTAATAATTTCTGAAATCAAACATTTTTTTCAAAAATGTAATCAAATTTTGAAAATATAGATCAGTAGGAAGGTTTAAAATAACACGTTGTCAAGTCAAAACTACGAATCTACTTTTTTGGAGCTTTTTTTTTGGCCCAAAGGCACTTTTTAAACCTTTTTTGATATTTATTTATCCTAAAGGGATATATATATATTCTGTTTTAATGAGCTTAAGGAAACTGTAGTGTAAAAGTCATAATTCAAATTTTTCCAACATTTAACAATTTTTGAAAATCTTTAAATATATATATATATATATTTTTTTTTTTTTTTTTGAAAAAATAGCGCATTAGTGATTTTGGTATGGTGCTAGTATATATATGAAGTCATAATGTGTGGAAAAAGTATTTTTGATAAGGTTAATAGTAAAACTTTGACTTAAATAATATGTGGACGTGATATATTTTGAGTTTTTATACTGATGTGTTGTATTCCTATCCTCTTCTAAAAAGTTCCATATCATCCTTCTCTATAAACTTCAATAGTTTGTCAGTGAAATTTAATTGGTTTAAAGTTCTCAAGTTTGCATGTCACATCACTATAAATGGCTGTATCACTTTTCAGATTGTTGCCACCAAATAATATTGCTCTGTATTATATTTAAAGAAATTAAATAATGAAGAATTGCCTCACAACTTCAGTATCAAAACTGCCTGATTTTTTAACCCAAAAAATAATTTAATTTTCGTCTTTAAAAATCTGTGGAACGTATGTCTTTTTCATCTTCAAAAATTTATGGAATCTATATATGATTTTTAATTTGATCCCTGCGGAACAGATTGTGTGTGTATTCCCAGACATCAGTGATTACAGAGCATTAAACATGCATCTGTGATAATTAGTATACTTGGAAACTAAATAAATTGGCTTTAGAAAAAATAATAACAATTTACCTCTTTCTAGGAATTTATGGATGACATGACAAAACGCCAACCTGACGTTGAACGTGTCACCAAAGCATTCCAAACTAAACGGCAGCCAGTGCAACAACAAGGTCATCCTGGCAAGGAGAAAAGTCGGGAAAGACATGAATCGGCCCAAGATCGCAAATCTGGTAGAGGAACACCATCTTTACCCAAAACACCAGTGTATGTATTTCATATAAATCAATTTTTAAATTGTAAAATTTCTTTTATTCTGTTAACAAAAGTGGCAAAAATAGAAGCTTAGCATAACATTTTAATTCTTATAATGATTAATATTTTTTGGGTGGGGTGCATAGAAATTTTAAAAATGAGCTTTTCAAAAGGATAATTTTAACCTGATTATAATAATACTCAAAAAAGAAAATTTTCAAATATATAAAACTGCAAAGTATAAAATAATTTATTCAGAAAATTATTTCAAGCTGTGGTCTTTCCATGTTAAATGCTGTACTGTCATCTGTTGTGCTGAAAACTTGAGGAAACAGAATTCAGTCTTTGTGAAGAGTAAAATTTTTTGAAAAATTGGAAAACTTTTAGTTGGTACTTAAGCTGTGAAAATCAAGATAATACAGCATTATATCTTTTTAGGCTTGCTTTTGATTTTATTATGAGTTCATAATGCAAGCTAGGAAACAAAAAGAAGCTATTTACAAATATTTCCTGAGAAAAATCCATTATCCATAATTTAAACTAATATTTGTCTATTCATGTTGTAGCACATGTTGCTTTCTCACCTAAACACTAAAGTACCAGATTATAATTATGAAGAATAACTTAAATGCATTGTAGCTGCTTAATGTAAATTCAGAAAATGTATTTTCACATCCAAAACAGGCAATATATACCATATATTGTATCGTAAATTCCATTTTATTTTTTCAATAATTATTAAGCTTACTTCCTTGCAGAAAAATATAGCTGTGCTATCATTATAATAAATATTTCGCTTTATTTAAAATAACCTGCTGATATATTTGAAGTATGCAATTTATTTCTTTGAATGATTTTTAAAATTTTATTTAATATTATCATATAATTATCATTTGATGTGTTCAGATGAGGAGAAAGAAGTATTATCTTTTTCATATATTTTTAATATATGGTGTGTATGTGTGAATGACTGAGATGAATTCTTTTTTGTAAAAAGTGGTTGAAATATAAAATTCTATTTTTTTTTTTCAGCCGTCAAACCATTGAACCTGAAATAAAGAATCCAAGAGCTAGAGAGCTTGTAGACAGATGGAGAAATGTGTGGCTGTTAGCTATGGAACGACAACGTCGGTTGCAAGATAAACTCAACTACCTCAAAGAAGTATGCATTTATCAAAAGTATTTTAATATCATCTTTTGTTACATAGAAAGACTGCTACCAGTAAAATATTATAGTATTGAAACACACTCTTGAAATAGCCAATTCTTACACTTTTATTTATTGAACCTTTGGATAGATATCAAGATCTTGTATTATGTTGATTATTAATTGATATGTTAACTGCATCAATGACTGTAAATGCCATGTTTCCTCATAACTGCTTTTAGAAATGGCAACATAGTGAAACATTTTAAATTAACTTTTTCAAACAATACTTGTCCTCTGTACCTACCACTTGTAAAGTTGAGACCATTCAAAGCCAGAGAATATTTAGAAGTGCTTGTAAAATTTTGTTCTTTACTTGTATCTACATGTGAATGTATAGAATTTTCTAAGCTTTTAAGAATTTTGATTTTCTCATTATTGCTTCTTAGAATATTTTTTCTCCCCTGAATCTAATTCATTCATTAAAAAAATTTGTCAAAGTTTCACTTTTGTGCTATCATTTTGGCAAAGAAATTAGAGTTCTTTATTATGCAGAAAAATATATTTTACACATTAATGCCTTTTTATAGTCATTAAAATTAGTTAGTTTTCATGTATTAATTTTTGGATGTTGGTTCAAGAATGCAAAATCAAAGAATATTATTTGAAGAAATGAAATTAGCTCATCTGTCAAAGATTTGATTTTCAAGTAAGATAAGCTAAACTGCTTTATTCAGCAATCATTCAGGCAAGCTCAGCTGAACTTTATAATGCATGCTAGACAAATTCATGAGCACCATACTTTAAAATTTGTACATTTTAAAATTCTTTTGAAATAAGAGTAAAGTATTTATTGTCAAAAGTAACTAACTGAGAATATGTGTATCATTAGTTTTTTAGTGTTTAAATATATAATAAGTTTGTTTAATGCAACAAGAGAAAATTTTATTTTCATTAATTCTGTGAGTCATGTTTTTAATGATATATTCAGCAGTCCTAAAATACAGGTATTTTGTCATGTTGTCAAATTTTGCTGCTTCATTAATTGTAACAGTTGCATAACTTTGTGAAAAATATACATAGTAGCTATGTGTGAAAAATGTATACAAGAAATAAGTAGAATATTTAGGTTTATTAGCAAGTAAAGGTGCACTAAAAATACAAATCTTTTAGAGGATTAAATAAAAATTAAGTATTAATAAGCCTTTATGTTTGAATTTTATTCAGCTGTATCATTTCTTTTGTTTTTTTAAATTATTATAAATCAATAAGACAGAAGTATATTTCTGTAACATGTCTAGGTAAGTGAGTTGAATGTATACTTATTATCTAAACTGCATTTATTTTTTCATTTAATTTTTTTAACGCATGTTTGATTTTGATTCCTTTTAGCTCGAAAGAATCAAGAACTTTGACTTCGACGAATGGCGCAAAAAGGTAAATTTTTTTACAAGACTACAAATGCTGTAGATTGTTATTGCACGTTGTTTATAATTTATAATTCAGTTTATAATTTCATTCATAATTTTTAATTTAATTTATAATTCAGTTTATAATTTATAAAATTACATGGCAAATTCTGTGTTACAGTTCTTAGCCTGGATGAACAACAAAAAATCTCGTGTTATGGATCTATTCCGAAAAATTGATAAAGATAATGATGGCAGAGTTACTTATGAAGAATTCATTGATGGTATTTTAAAATCCAGTAAGTGGTAAAGAAATTTTTTTAATCAAATTTGTGTATGTATATATATATAAGGGAGGGAAAGAGAGCTAGAACAAATAATTTACAGGAATTAAGTATAAGAATCATTTGTTAACAAAAAGAGAATTAAATCCTTAAATATCTAAGTTATTACATTAATAATAACTAATATAAGTTTTATTGTAGAATCTTTTAGCAACTTAATTTATTGTCATTGTTACAATATGCAAAGGTAGATACTTGAAATTAAAAATGATTATTGCTGAAATATCATAGCAAATGTTAGAAATAAAGAAAATTTAGCATTTTGATTGGAGTTAGTGTGACATGTGTGTGCTTATAAAACTGTGTGTTATGTCTTTATCTAGTATTTAGCTTAGTATTTCAAACTACTACTGTGAACAAACAGAAATTTGAGTACATTTCTCTTTTTATAAGTGTTTATTTATTTATTATTTTAAAGCTTAGGAACTTGATTACGATTAATTCAAGAAAATAGTATTTTAAAATTCATATGTATATTGCTTGAAAAAGAAGAAATTAACTAAATAAGAAATTAATTCGTTTATTCAAATAATAATAATAAATGTGGTTTTTTACAAATGCATTTTCAATGTGGTAAACAATGACTGTAAATGAAAATAATATTCGTAACAAATTTTTTATTTATGAGGAATGAGTTTTGTTTGTTCTTCACGATTTAAATAGTTTTTTTATTTTAGTTAAAACAAATTTATAGCATTTTTCATATTTTATATTATTATATGAAAATCTACATTTCTTTATGTATCTTCGTATTATCAGAGTTCCCAACCAGCCGTTTGGAAATGGAACGGGTAGCTGAAATCTTTGATCGCAATGGTGACGGTTTTATTGATCACAAAGAATACATCGACACACTCCGACCAGATAGAGAGGTTTTTATTCTTCTTTTGTTACTTAATATATGAATTGTATTTAATGTAATATGTTTATATGTATGTAAAATGTTAAGTAACGAACTCAAGTAAGAACTCAAATAACAAAAACTAGAAAATTTTCAATTCATTATGCATACTGTGAAACTTTTATAATAGTTCCAATAAGTTTAAAAGTAAGGTTAAAATGCAAGATAGAACATATGAAGTTTCTTAAAATATGCTGTACTAAGTACAAATCAAAATTTTAAAAGCATAAATCTTTTTAATGAGGAAAAATTAGGAAAAAAAAAAAAAGTGTCACAAAGTAAAAGGTTTCAATATCTGGTAAAAAAAGTCATTTGGAATATATTGCCTATGTGTATAGTTGTGAGAAAAACAAGAACAAATCACTAAGTTAATAATATTCAATTATTATAACCTCAAATGTATAACCTCATTGTATAATTTAAATAACTGAAATACATATAAGAAGGATCAGAGAATTAAAATAAGCTATTTTAAATGCATATTAGATGATTGATTTTAATTTGTTGACAGTAAAAACTTGTTGATTATTATCTGGTGTGAAGATAATTATATTTTGCACTTGACATTAATATTATGTACACATTTTTAAACTAATAAATTTATAGTTGATTATTTCTTTGTATCTTAAACCAGTAAGTAAACAAAAACATATATAAATATTAAGTGATATCAGTCATGAATATTTCAAATACAAAACATTCTTAAGGAAAAAAATTGTAGTTATTATCAATATCTTATGCTCTAATTAAGAAATTTTAATAAATGTGAAATTATGTTTAATTAATCTGTAAATTATGAGATACCTTCCGTATCATATATTTTAACCAAAGATAAAAAGACTTTTACCTGATTGTGTTATATTTATCATTCGCTAATTTATTCATTTAAATAATTAATGTTTTAAAAAGCAGTATATTTAAAAAATCATGCAGCAGGTTAATTTTAAACTATTGGCTCAGCATTACATTGACGTGAATATATTTTAGTACTATAATTTACATTCCATTAATAATTTTTCTGGAAAGTAATTCGATCCTGAAGAATCTTCAATGCTAATAAGATTCCTTAGATGAAACTGTTGCTTACTTCTCCCTTAATATTAAAATTGGTAAATGTTAAACATATGCATGTAGCATTTAGTTCAGCTATTTACGAATAGCAAGAAATAAATAAAAAGTTAATCATTATTTCCAAACTCTGGCAATTATTTTTGGTACATTGATTACTTGTTCGTTGATTTAATATAAGAAATTATTTCTCTGCAGTAATTTTTTTATAATTTACAGAAGGGTCCAATAACAGAAGCTGAAAAAATTCAAGATGAAGTTCAGCGGCAGGTTGCCCAGTGTACTTGTGTTCACAGATTCAAAGTTTACCAAGTTGGGGAAGGAAAATATAGGGTATATTACTTTTCTGTTTTATAATTATGTACACAGTTGAAATTCTTTTAATTTTTAGTACACCAAGGATGCAGAAATTATTTTTAATTATTTCAGTAGGTTTAACTTTTAGCTTCGAGTAAAAATATTTCAACGTATTACTTTGTTTTATAGTAGTTATAGTCTATATTATAAAGTCACTCCACTTATAGTGCTAAATTTCCAGTGATAATTGAATATGTACCATTTTAATGTTTAAATTTTATTGCACATAGTATTAGGCCTGAAACAGTATTATTAATAGGAACCACAGAAACAGTCTGGAAAACTGGCGTAATGAACTTGGTATAATACTAAGAAAATGTGAAAATATACATGAGATAGAGAATTTATGCAACTAAAATTGACTTTACTAAATTTAATTGTCAAAGACAGTAGACTACTGTATAGGTTTTACTTAAAATATGATAAGCTACATCATATGCACAAAATAATTACATATTTGGAAAACTTACAAAAATGGAAAATATTTGTAATTATTGGTGAGTTATTTAAACTCTTCAGTAGTGAAGTAGTTTTTTCTTTTTTGGAAGACACCAATATAAAATTTAATTGAGAACTATTAATCAAAATTAATTATTAGCAAAAAAAGATTGGTGTAGATTTTGGATAAAATTATAGCAATTTCAAAAATGATCAGACATAGGTCCCTCCTGGAGGGGGAAAAAAATTCTTATACTTTATTTAAATGAAATACTTCATTAAAATTTGATATGAGATAGGAGGCTTATAATTATGATGATGTAATATATTATATCTATGCTAATTATTCTGCTGATTTGTAATGTGTTGTACATGTATATGAATGTTAAAAATCATGTAATAGAACATAAATGAGTATTCTACATGTTCAAGTGCTAGACAGGTAGGTGCTATGCAGCTGCATTAATTTTTTTAATGGATTGGAAATTCATTTCAATGGATTGGAAAGCAAAAAATTATGCATATGGTAGCGTCATTTCAAGATAAGATTCCTTTATTACCAAAGCATAAAATGCTAGGCACAAATACGTTTGTGTGTGACTAATATTTTTTAAGATTCTGTTCTAAATCTTCCATTTAATTTAATTAAAAATTTTCATATTTTGTCCAAAATTAGAAGTATAATATACAGTACAAAGTCCGAAATCCAGACGTCCATTATCCGGAATGATCTAAAATCCGGACCTCAAAACCACCAACGTTTTTCCGGTAGGCTTTTACTGTATGCGCATTTGATTCCCCCCCTCTGCCCATAATAAATCTGGAGAGCCTGATTCTTAATTTCACTTTGACACTAACTAAAATTACCTTGTTATTGAAGAAACAATGATTTTAGCATACATTTGTACGATCAGTAATTTGGCACCGTTGCTACATATCTGCTTTTTGGCACACATTCCAAACCGAAGCATTCTACATAGATACATCGTTGATTTGATACCAACCTGGTGAATCATTGTTTATTATAGTTTCCACATGTTTATCAAAACATGACAATTTGAGTAATGACTCATGTAGCGATGCCTAAATTATTTTTTTTTTTTTTTTTTTTTTTTTTTTTTGTGTGTGTGTTAGTAATTGAATAATAAAAAAGTACTTTTTATGTTGACATTATGCTTCGTGATGATTACAGATTTAAGTTAAATGCACTAAAAAATATTGTGGAAGAAAGATTTAACAAAAATTTCTTTCCATATGCTAAAAATAGATTTTGTTGATGATATTCCTATACCCAAAGATTGCATTTAGGGCTATTTGAATTAAGAATAAACGATTTGTTATTCGCATAAGCCCGGATGGCCGCACCAAATCGCAGAATTTAGGACCCACAAAGACTGCATCAGGCGATAAGATATCTAGCGCCGGCCCTCAATAAGGTTTAAGTATATGTGGGAATTTATAGAAATAGACATAAGTATAATAAATAACTAATACAATTCAGGCTTATTGTCTCAGTGCACCACAGAAGCAAGATAAAATTTAACGGAACAACTTGTCATTAGTTGCCAAGCTCATAATGCATAGCCAAATATGTATAGTAAAGGATAGCTAAATTTGATGATGATAGCCACTAATTTTAAAGGTTTTTGGATATCGCAAAACAAAGTTGAAATTTTCCAATTAACGGATTTAGTAAAGAAATGTGGAGAAGCAGTAATAAATGAAGATGATATAAAAGAAGTTTTTCATTGTGATGACAATGCTTTTCAATCATCAATCAATTAATGAATGGCAAAATCTGTACTACGGTTCTGAATCCAGAAATTACCGCTACCATTAGTGAAGAAAGTGACAGAGAAGTTACTGAAAACAAGAAAATTTCGATTGAGAAGTTAGAATTTCCGGAACATAGTTACTTCAACATTGTAACTAAACAAGAGTTTATGTCTGTCTACAGAACTAAAGAGAAAGTATTAGCACAAAATACGAAGCAACTTAAACAACTTACATTGAAAGAAATGTTAATAAAGTAAACAAATAAATATTAAGCCCCTTTTTTTATACCCTTTAGATCATAAATACTTCATTATTTCATAAATCACAATTTCATATTTTAATATTATAATTTCTACATGCCATCTTACTAGATTTCAACTGATTATCTAATATCTGGAAAAATTCCAAATTGAAGTACTGATGTGTCCGTATTTCAGACTTTGTACTGTATATATATATATATATATATATTTATATATGATAAGTCTTTTCATTGTAGGCTTAATATTGACAGTAATGCATTATTTTTTCAGTTTGGAGAGTCTCAGAAATTACGTTTAGTCAGAATATTACGTAGCACAGTGATGGTACGAGTTGGAGGAGGATGGGTTGCGTTAGATGAATTCCTCGTGAAAAATGATCCTTGTAGAGGTACAACTTCCTTTAATATACACATTAAAAATATTTTATACATCAGAAACAACTGTAATTCATGTTGTTTAAAGTTTTGTGTGAATGTAATTTTAAGCTACTTATTAGCATTTATATGATATGGCTGTTTGATGCAGTGCTGTTGTAATTAATTAAAACACAAGTTTTTAGTTTGCTTATAACAAATACTGTATGCTCTTAAATTTGCATCACTTTTTTTAGTTTGTTAGTTTATGATTTGTTTTTGCATGATGCATGTTTTTAGTTGCTTGCATTTCCTTTGTTCTGTTACATAGCTAAGGGACGAACAAATCTAGAACTGCGAGAGCAATTCATACTAGCAGAAGGTGTGAGTCAGTCTCTCCAACCATTTAAACCCAAAGCCAGTCCAAATTCTTCACAATCCTCACAAAGTGGAGGTTCATCATTTAATCGCTCTGGAATGTCATTACCTGCCACAGGTCCCATAACAAAGGTTTGTTTCTTAACCCTATAATTCTTTGATAAATGTTTCACTTGTTCAGTGTTAAGTTTCAATTAAATTATATCACCTTAATATACATACCTATTTCAGTATATCTTTACAGTGTTACGCATCATACAATGACAGATCATTAAAGTTTGGCAATAAGTACTTTTGTCATTTAAACATAGGATTAAATGTTACATTTTTCCTGAAGAAAATATATTGTTTTGGGAATGTCTTTTCTAAAATTTTTGCACATATTTAATTTTTTAGCATGAATCGAGCATTTTAATTTTTATGTTCAATGATTCTTAGATATGTTGTCTGGATTTTTTTCCTGTTTTTTTCCTTTCATATCCTGTCTTTTCTTTCACTGCTGTCTAACATGCTTAAATCTGATTAACACACTGCAAAGTATGCCATTCAGATTTTTGTGATCACATGCCACTTCTAATTTAAATAACTCTTTTTAGAATAATAAGATGGTTTAATTATGATATTTATCAAAACACTTGGTTGATGTTATAATTTAAAAAATAAAAACTGAAAATATATTTGCAGGAAATATGATATTTTATTACTTGTATTTAAATCTTAGAATTTGCTAAATTAAAGTTAAAATTTAAGGGTTAAGTAATTTAAGGGAACAAGTATGATTACCTAATGCAAACTTATTTATTTGTTCTTTTTTGAATTTGGGATTTGTGTTCTATAATTTGAAATTTAAGTGCTTTTTTAGTTTGGCAATATATGTCAAACAATGATAAAGAATGTTATAAAATCCCTAGAATTAAAACCAAAGGGAAGGTCATTAAAGATAAAGCAGTGAATTTTAATGATAGGCGAAGAAACAGCCTGAAAGTTAAACTTGTGGAGAATCAAGCAATTTTATAACTGATAAAAGGATAAACTGCACTGCAATTTATTCATACAAATGCAAGAGAATTGATTTAGATGATCTAATATAAATTAGCAATACCATAATACATTATACTTTGTAGAATATTCTTCTCTAGAAATACTAACAGTGTCTTAAGAACATATTTGATTTATCAAATATAAAAATTTTTTGAAGCAATAAATCAACCAAATGTTCTGAAAAATATCTAACATTTTCTCTGAACCTTCTGTGAATTGCTTGCTTTTTCTAAGCAACTTCTTTTTTCTTAACTACTATGGTGAAGAGAAGCTATACGCTCTTTTTCAGCTCCTTGTCTTCTTCTGCGATGTCTTCCTGTTAAAACCCCTGAGCCTTCTTTTTATAATCCAGTCCCTTTGGATGAGGGTTCTCGCATTCCAGTCTTCCATTGGGTAAACTTTCAAGCTTGCTCTCTTTCTTGAAATGAAGTTTAATATATGTAAAATATCCTATTTGTGTCTTGCTTAAGTAGCACTTAAGCAAGACACAGTTATACTTAACTGAGTGTACAGAAAAGAATTCTTAATTAAGCTGAAAGCCAAGAACATTTATTATAACTATAAAATGTCTGTAAAATAAAAAATTCATTTCAAATAATAATTAATTAAGAAAGTTATAATTGAGGAGAAATAATGCATCTAAAAAAAAGGAATGTATTCAATTCTTAATATACACACAGAAGTCGACAACGCATGGCATTAAAAATAAATAGGTAATATGTGAAAGACATTCGGTAAGTAAAGTAAACTTTTGTATTGGTAATTAATTCTTCTTTGTTAATTAATCTCTTATGCATAATTTTTTAAGTTTTTGCGGTGCATAGTATTAAAGTTAATATGATAATGTATGAGAAAAAGCATTAAACCCTGTGGCATTAATCTTTTGATGAAGGAAAGATAGTAACTGGAGGGAAAATAATCAGTATTCATCAAAGTTTTCAGAATGTATGTCGAGAATCTACCCGTTTAGCTACTGTTCTTAAGAGATCAGCAATTTTGTTTAAACATGGTCAAGAGTCTGAAAGAGAAGCAATGCTTAGGTCATCCATTTGAAGTGACCATTGCTGTGAAATTGAAGGTTTAATATTGGATAATATTTATAAAGGTTCTTCAGCTTATTGTTTTCAGCACTAAATTACAAATTTTCTTGATATATCTGTAGGAATCTTACTGCATGCATCTGAAAAATGCCTAAGGTTTGCTTGTGCTCAATTCTGAAAATGTAGGCACATAAAATGACGAAGAATTGAGTTGAATCAGTCATAATAAATCTTAGTGAACTGGCTTTTTATAGCTTTTGGTATGTAACCGTTAGACTTGAATCCACTGCAAAGAAGCTCCAAGGACACTAATTTGACAATCGTGAAAAGAGGAAAGAAATTATTGAATGTTATATTTTAAAGAACTATGACAAAACTTTTTCTCGGAACTTGCTAAGATACATTAAGTGCATTAATTTTCATAGAAACTGGGCAGTGAAATAATAAGTTCTTCAAAAAATTATTAGTTACTGTTGTTTGTTACATATTATGAGTGAGTTTATTGAACATTCCTTTATAAATTTTTTTTCAATATCTTTCAGTTGGAATGGAACAAAATTTGATGAATGCATAAGAAAGTAATTTGAGTACAATAACAAAAGAAAATATTCAGAAATGCAAAATTACTTTTATGCCCCCATTTATATTGTTCCCATTTTTAACTTTCCCTTATTAGGCTTTCTGAAACATGAAAAATCAACTGTGTTGTGACCTAGACCTTATAACTGGACTTGATAGTTGGATATGCTAACTGCTTGCATTATAAGAGTGTTCACAAGGGAATTCAATAACTACAAATATAAAAATATATATTTTATATAAAAAATCTTTGCAAATATCTAGCTCATGATTATTAAAAAGTGATGACACTTCTTGCAACCATGCAAGCCTGACATGAGTTTTATGCTTTTTTGAAGTTGCCTCACGACTATGTGAAAAATCATAAAGCAGAACTCCCCCCCCCCAAATGATTTGTAGTTTGGTTTAAGTTTGGGGTAAAACTGCATTGATTTTGAGGACGGTTAGGCAGATATTGCTCTTCTTCAAGACTTCCCAATTATTATTTTTTTTAATAATTTATACTAACATTCTAGCAAACTGGAAATTAGTAGCTTAACCAATATTACAGAGAATAATAATAATAAAAAAAAAAAAAAAAAAAAAAAAAAAAAAAAAGAAAGAAAGAAAGAAAGAAAGAAATAAATAAAAAAATTTAATTTTTGAAAATGTTTAATTAAGACTATAATATATATTGTGAAAAATTAAATTCATAAGAGGAAAAAAGATAATAAAAACATTTATTGCAAATAACTTGAAATCGAGCACTACAATTGTTAAATACAACTGTGTAGAGCTATTAAACTTCCTATCAGCTACATCTTAATCTCGGAAATTAGATTCAAAACCCTTCTTTAAATGTATGTTCAGCAGAAATTTTTACTTTCAGCTTGTTTCTAGTATTGCATATCAACAGTTTCTCATGTAAAAAGTTTTTTTGCTTTTTAATCAGCCAGATTTGTATATGTATTATGTCTTGCATGTATCTAATTAGTCTGTCGTGCAAAAATGAACAGTTATATTTATTAATGTTTGGCTTATGTAGGTAAGAGAAAAAAGTGAACGAAGTGTGCCTATGCGACAACAAAGAGGACATGATTCTGGTAGTGACTTCAGTGCCACAAGTTACAGTGATGCTGACAGTAGTTTTGGGTCAAAGTCAGCTCGTTCACGAGCAACCCCAAACCGCTTGACTCCTGGAAGTAAGTATATTCCCTTTCAGTGCATGAAAAATTCACATAAACTTGCAGAAGTCTTTGAAAAAATACTTGCTTAAGTCTTGCATGCATTCACATAAACTTTCAAAAGTCTAAATTAAATTGTTCAGACTTCTATAATCATGATTGTGTAAATACATGTTTTAAGATATGTGCTTAATAATGATATTAATACATTTTAAAAATTTCTGTTGGCCTACTGGTGGTTAAATTTTCAGAACACTAATAATTTCATTAATTTATTCCAGTTGCAGAATAAGATGGCCACATCTTTGTTCTCAAAGACCCTTACCTACCCTTTGATATATTTCTTAAGGTTAAGAATTAGTTAATATTTACACTCATACAGTTTTTGATATTTTGACTTTTAAAAGGACATTTAACTTGTAATATAATGCATTAAACGTCTTCCTTAAATATACATTTATGGTAATGTATAATTTCACTATTTGAAAACATACCTTATAGCCTCTTCATCTTAAATGTTTATTCTGTCATTTTTGAAGATATTGCACTGAACCGATCTAACTGTGATTAGATTAGTTCATATATATACCAGATATTCCTTAAGTGCTTGGTGATAATCTAATAAATCCAATTTAATTCTATCACATGTGTGGATTTGGATGAATTTCAACTGATTATATAAACTGCTGATACAGTTTAAGCTGTGTGTATATATGTATACAGATGAGCAAAAACATGACCATTCTCCTAATTTTTCAATTAACTCATTTGGATGACATGCAGAACACATAATTAAGTAGGAATGGTGTTTAACTACTGCTGGAGAAGTTAAGAAATCATTTTTGCACTTAGTTTTGTTGAGGAATGGGAACGGCTGCTGTTCTGAGCAAATTTGATAGAGGGCAGATTATAATGTCCTGAAGACTTGGAATGAATATCTCTGAAACTGCACGATAGGTAGGTTGTTCACAATCTGCCATAGTTAATATTTAGATAAAGTGGGAAAATGACAGTGAAACCAGCAGTCGATGCCAAAATGTTGAATGTCCAAGCATCATCTAAGAAAAAGGACTTCGGAGACTGTCTCGCTTGGTACAGCAAAATCAGGCCAGACAGCGACTCAGCTGGCAGCCTAATACAATGCAGCTCCAAGTGTATGAGACTGCACAGCAGAGGTCTCACTCATGTGCCTCTGTTGACAAATCGTCATTGTCAAGTATGCCTATAGTGGGCCCCAGAACATCAGGACTGGACCATGGATAAATGGAAGACAGTTGCCTGGTCGAATGAATTGTGATTTCCTGATCACATCTATGGTCATGTCAGGGTCTTTTATTCCCCCATACAGCAGATCACATGCAGGATGTGGTGGGGATATTATGGTTTGGCGATGTTCTCATGGGTGGCACTGGGACTCTTAGTCGTGGTAGAACAACACCATGAAAGCTGTTTGCTATCTGAACATAACTGCAGATAGTTGCACCCTTACATGATATCCTGTCTTCCCAAATGGAAATGGAATCCCCATGTCACAAAGCTTGAATTGTGTTGGAGTGGTTCAAGGAGCATAAGGATAAATTCCAATTAATGCCCTTGCCACCTAACTCACCAACCAGATTTTAACTGAGAGTGTTAACTGTGGCATGTTATGGAGTGGCAACTCAAAGTTGAAACACCACCATGTTGGAATATTTTGACTTTGCATGATGGCTGCTTAGACACCATCTTTGGTACAACCTGTTTGTTATCTACCAGGAAATTGTGGCATCCATGCCAAGATGAGTTGCAGCTGTTCTATAGGCCAAAGGTCGCACAATGCGTTATTGAGTTGGTGAGTTTCTAGGAAGGAAGAGTTTATACAATATTAAATCAAAAATAACTTTTCTCTTTTTTGAAATATGAATTCCATTGTTATTCGGTGCAAAAATTTGGCAAATTATCAACGCTTTGTCAATTAATTTTAAGCCCACTTTGTATGTAGCATTTTTAATTAGAAGATTAAGGAATTTCTAAACTTTTTCAAAAATTTACATTGGTAAATATTAAAATGACATTTTAAAACTATATTTAAGAAATAATGTTAAAATGAAACATTTTTATTTTCCAATGTCATATTTTTAAGTGACAGTACTTTCCAATTTGGCTACTTAGAAATATTTTGATGCTGGAAAATAAACAAGATAATATTTAAAGCACAGTTTCCAAAACACTTCTTAGCAAAACCAAAAAAGCTACTGTAATTATTTTAAAATTAATTTCCTTTGTGTTCTTTTTATATTTTTGTGAATTTTTTCCTCACATAATAATATCAGATTATGTCAGTTTTCTCTGTAAAATTCATTTTACACTTCTGAAAATTTTTTTTAAGGTCTTTTGGATTTTACTCTTACAGAGTTAGTTAGGATATTTTTGTTTCAGATTTTACATTTTGCACATTAGAAGGTTTGTGATGGATTTGAAGATTTATAGACATGTAATTCCAAAAGATTTTGGCAGAATTAAAAAAAAAAAAAAAAAAAAACCCACCTTCTTCTGTGAATTATTTCCTTACTATATGTTATGTTTTATATCAAAAACAATTATCAATTTTATTAATAGCTATTTTTCTAATCAATGGGATCTTGACTATGCCGATGAGTTACAGGTGCTTATTTGGCTATCGACCCCTTGTTCACTCATGAAAATCTTTGAAATTCATTGACCCTGTTGGGAATCTGTGGTCTAAATTAAATTCTAAATAAATCTATGCCTAAATTAGAAATATACTAATTTTTAGTTATGAAATATTATGTGTTGATTAGTGTATTCAATGTATAAAATTTCAAACAATTCAATTTTAATTTGTTAGCTGTTAACAATCGTGCTGGGAGCCGACCATCTAGCAGACCTCCTAGCCGGCCTTCGAGTCGCCCCCCAAGTAGAGCTGCCAGTGATCTTTCTGCCGATAATGTAGACAGCTACCGAGCACGCAAAATGGGATCCACAGGAGCTCGCCAGAGAACCCCGAGTGCCTCTTCCCAGACATCGGGCCGAGGATCTGGAACCAGAATTCCTACTGTGCGAAGGACACCATCATTTACCAACTCTAATAGTAAGCCAGAACCAGTAAAAAAAGAAAGAGAGAGGTGGAAATGAGAGATCTTCATAATAAACTGGCTTGGTCTATTTTTTAACGTTTTATGTACATAAATTTGATGTGGAATAACATCTGCTATGCTAACAGGGTTGTCGTAATTCAACTGTAGTGGTTCTGTAACTGCCTTACTAAAATTTATCACTACACTAGACTTCAGAGGTTTAGCAGAGAAAAAAGGTCATTTGAGATTTCCATGCATTAGTAGTTTTTTTTTCTTTCTTATGTCTTCTGTGATAACAAGATTTCTTCCAACAAATACTGGTATTATTCTAAGTATTTCTCTCACATCACATATTTAAATTTGATTATTGAATAAATCTTTCTCTAACATTCCACTTATGTGTATGATGAATATCAACAAAGATTTGGAGGGGGGATTATTTATTCACATATTCTTCAATTAAACTTTCTTCCAAGTTTGTTTATACAGGTTGAAATATGACAAATGGATCTGTATTCAAAATCTAAAAAATACTATATATATATAAAGCTTTCCAATTTAAATTCATGTCTTTATATATTGTTCTGTGATGAGATCTAATGTAAAGAATGAATTGGGGAAAATGGATGCCTTTCATTTTCATGATGTTAATTGACCTAGAGAAAGAAAAACAAAAAGTTTCTCTGTGTGAATATGAATTCTGTCATAAGTGCCAAGTGGACTTAATTATATCTGAAGACATGTTCCTTAACATTTTGCAGCATATATTGTAATTAATATGTTGCTACTAATGAAGACTGCAGGACTGCTTTCAAGGATTGTGTTATAAAATATTAACAAATTGTCAAAATGTGAACATACTGTATGAATGTAGGAGAGAAAAAGTTTACTATTGTAATTATAAGTACTTGTTAAAGTTTTATTTTTTGATGACCATTCCTTGATATATGTGAACTTTTTCTATTAAAATGTTCTAATTAGTGCTAGCTTAATATTACTAGTAGCCGAAACACAGGCAATTTCGTTTCATTTCATAATTTATATTGATTTAAGTTTTCGTATCGCCTCACTCGTTAACATTTTTGTTTGCTTGTTTTTGTTCATTAAAAACAGTTTGTAAAAATAGGTGTTTTTTTATTTTTATCTTCTGATTAAAGTATTCTGTAGGATGTGATTGCATTCTGGATTTGATTTTATGCAGAATGAATCAGTTTTTGATTGATACTTGTGTTTGTACATAATAAAAATAATTTGCATCATTTGCTGTAAAAATCTTAAACTAAAATTTTGTAAATAAAGCTAATTAAAAGTTTTGAAAGGAAAATATTTTGGATTGTATAAAGTCCAAAAAATGTGCTAGTATTTAAACTCTTCAGTTAAGCAAATTTAGAAATAACCTCAAGATAAAAATTATCTTGTGTTTTTAGTGCAGTTAATCATTTTCCTTCAGAGAGGAGAAGAATTCTTGCCTTTGAGATACACGTTTTCCTTCATGATCTTAATCAAAACGATAATTTTCTGTTCAACAGCTAATTACCTCATACTTAAATCAATTTACAACATTTTTAGTTCTAGTGTTGCCTAATTCATACTTCTGAGTTTAAAAAAATATAATATTTCATAATGCATTTCACTCGTTTGCTCATAATACACAGTCCAATCACAGAATGCATATAGCTCTCTGCAGCAGACGTCTGATTAAAGCACCTATGATGACTTCAGTTCGTCGGCGATGATGGCTGGAATTCGCACATCAGTACTGCAGTTGAATGTCCACTGAGTGGGGACAGGTGGCTTTTTCCAATGAATCGCGTTTTATGCTCCATGGGGCAAAGGGACATTGGCGTATACAATGTGAACCGTTAGAAAGCAAACACCTTGCAACAATTGCTGGAAGGGTCCAAGCTAAAGGGGGGAGCATTATGACCTGGGGCACATTTTCGTGGTATTTCTCTGGGTGCACTCATCATTGTGAAAGGCAGGATGGATCAACAGAAATATGTGTCTCCTTACGGATCATGTCAACCCCTACATGAAAATTGTTTTTTCTCTCAGAATGTTGGACAGTACAATGCAAAGTGTCATACAGCTTGCAGTGTACGTGCGTGTTTCGAAGAGCACCAAGACGAGTTTACCTTACTCCCGGATTTAAACCCAGAAGGGAATTCGTGAGATCACGTTGATCGGGTTGTTCAAACCATGGATCCTCAACTGCATAATATAGTGCATCTGGCCACCTCACCGGAGTCAGCTTGGTTCAGCATCCCAGTGAACACTTTCAGGAACCTAACTGCTCTCTTCCTGTATGTCTTGCAGTAGTCTGCTCTGCAAAAGGAGGTTATACTGGCTTTTGACCAGGTGGTCACATTAATGTGACTGGACTGTGTATTACATAAAAATACTTGCTATTATGAACAAAAGTAGCAAAGAATAAATACATTTAAAAATATAAATTTAGACAAATCTTGAAATTTGAATTTTCTATGACACAGCAAGCTATATTCATTGTTTAGCAAAGTAAAACCTCATTTGTAATTGACAATCTTTTTAGATAATTCATGACAACTATTTTTTAAAGGTGAAAATTAAAATTATATACAATTTGTTCAACTAACAATATATTTATATATATGAAGCATTCAGAAAAGTTGCTACATGCTTTATCTTCTTTAATGTTGGTCTTAGACATATACTTCCTATTCCAGAGTTTACTTAGAACACAGAAGGGAATTTTGTAAAAACAATTTTACATCTGGGAATAAATAAAGGTACACAGAAAATATAGAATAATCTAACATTTTATATAAAATCATCTACATCAAAACCCACTTAGTAAATACTTGTTTTAATTTTAAAAATTTCATACTTTTAACATTTGTAATTTTTCATCAAAACTCAAAAGGATGTTTAGGAATGAATTTATTGCTTTAGATCACTTTTCAACACTTTTTACTTTTTAATGATAATTGATGACTTCTTTATCAAATTTAAGGTGCAATTAAAAAAAATGCTTGCTTGGTTTTTTAGTAAAGAGGTTAGCAAAACAAAAACTTTAATTAGAATTACTAAAATTTACGTCATACAACATCACAATATATGAGCAAGCAAATTAACACAGAATAGCAACAAAATCTGGATTACCCAAATTCTAAAAATTACAGATTATTATTTTTATGACTAGGAGATGTGTTAAACAAACAAAAAAGAAAACCATGACTTATTGTAAAAACTAAATAGTCATTATTTAAAGCATTTTAATCACTCCATCAGCAATTACTTCTATGCAGGTATCCAGAGCACTATGATATGCTTTTCCAAACTTTGTCATATGATAATAAGTACTTGATGTGTTTTTTACACCAGTGAAACTTCTACTAGTGTAAAAAGTTTTCCAATAATTCTAGTAGATAACAGTGTTATCTACTTGAATTATGGATGAGGAACAAATAAATACTTGAAAAGAATTTTAGCAACACAAATAATAAATATAAAAAAGCAAAGCATTAGCATAATTATACCATAGTTCTTAAAGTATTTTTTAATCGTACTTTTATAAATTTAGAAAAATAATATAGACCATTATTTATAACTTTTAAATGAAAATGTTAAAAAATTCTTTTTTCATAAATAAGAAATAATGTCAATTGTTAATTTAAGTTTGCCGAAGCTTATTCCCCTAATAATAACTGACAAATTTAAAAACATAATTTTCAAATTCATATAGCCAATTTGGTTAGTGCCTCTCTTGCCCCACCCTTGTCCCGTCTCTGTTCCTCACATTCAATTCCAGGCTGTGATCACTGAGGTCCAGGCATTTTTCATAGAAATTTCCATTTGATAGACAGAAAGATTGTTAAAAACGAGCAGTTTGGTGGTGTGTGTGTGGGGGGGAATCTTTTTATAACTTTAGTGAGTTTTATTAACTTTAGTCTGAGTATTGTTAAGCACGAATTACTAAATTAAAAATATTAAAATAATATATTTAGCAACTGTACTTTATTTTATGATTAATATTGAGTGATATAAGATATTGATACTGTAAGAGAATATTCATTTAAGAAATAATGATATAAGATATATTGACATAGGATTGATATTGAGATATTGAGATATAAGAAATATTGTTATGCAAGATAACTGATCTGAGAAGTCAGTATTGTTAATATGGCTATGACAACACCTACAGATATGAGCACATGCTTAATCAGAACTATTATGTTAGATCAGGATATCACAAAAGATCCTGATTCTTTATTGTCGGAATCTTCAATTCCTCTGACCTTTGACTAAATTTTGGACAAAATAAAATCATCTACCATTGATGATAAACATCCAATTACTCAAATAAACTTCGATATATGAAAACTTAATGGAACTCTTTATGTCTGAAAGATGTAAAACTAAAAGATGCAATACAAAACTTCTCTCGAAAGAAGTCCTCACGGTAGTTTCGGAAAAAATGCAACTACTCAAAGATATTGCAATTAATCAATGCAAAATTAACCAAGATATTCTAAATGCACCTACATATGAAGTAAATAGTTGTAATATAACATCACAAATGCATGGCAATTTAGGTCATCATGCTTGCTGTCATAATGGAGTCTTCCTAGGTCACAACCAAACACATGGATTTCTGCAAAACGTTGACAACTTAAATACTCGTTTGCAATCCATTCGCCAAGAAAACAAGACTCTCCAAACAATCTTGATCTCTCCAGAAAATGAAAACTGCAATAACTTAACAGGACAACTAGACGAGATTCTTTCCCTACACCAAATTAATATTGCAGTGAAAAGAATAACCCGAACAAGGAAAGGTGGCATAGCTGTTTCCTGTCATTCACGGGATGACATTTTAAAGATTTCAAACGCCATTGCTAATAATGAAGAGGCATCTAATTTAGTGGACTACCAAATAGCTCAAAAAAGGACTCCAAAAATAATTATCGACAATATTCCCAGCAATACCTCCACTGATATCTTAATTAGTCAACTTTCAATGACAACAGGTTGTGACAGTCAAGATCTCAAACCACTATTTAAACTTTCTGACAAATCCAGGGATCTAGTGAGATGGGTTGTCAGTTGCACCCCAAACGCCTTCAAATCTTGCCTGAAGCATTCACAAATTCTATTGGGATGGATAAGTTGTAAAATAAGAGAATTTTACGGCATAAAACGTTGCTACAATTGTCAGGACTTCGGTCATACAAACAGAGACTGTAAAGTAAGACCCTACTGTTTCTTTTGTGGTCAAAACCACTACGCAAAAGATTGTTTAGCAGAAACGCCAACTTGCATTAACTGTAAACTTAACAACAAAACAAATTACACTAAATTTGATATCAACCACACAGCTGCTTCTCCAAATTGTCCCTCTTATTTGCACCAAGTTAACAAAATCAAAAGGAGAACTGAATACGAAGAAAAAACAACTGTTTATACTGCTCAATCCTTAAATTACCAACAACAAAAAAACAATGTGTAGTTTATCAGCATGTATGCCACAAAATATTGAACAGAATATACAGGACTTCAAGACTATAAACATAGCTCACCAACAACAAAATAAGCAAATACGATGTCTGCAAATCAATCTACAAAAGGCACAATCAGTATCAGCACAAAGTGTTGAATTTGCACTCAACTACACAGCCGACATAATACTATTACAAGAACCATACACCAAAAACAGAAAATTATCTGGTTTTTCTCGTACATGGAATATTATACAAAAAGAAGACGTAATACAACCACCCCAAGCTGCAATAATATGCTGTAATCAAAATTGGACACCATACATAATAGCTGCAGAACGAGATCAAGTGGTAATTCTTCTCGAAATCGAAAAATATTTCAATAATTTTCATTTCTATTTATTCAAGCCCTACAGACGACCTCACAGCAACATTTGCTTTTCTAGAAAAGATTTTCAATTCAACAAATACTCATCATCAAATTATATGCGGAGATTTTAATGCACATAATATTACCTGGGGATATGCATCAACAAATCCAAAAGGTCGAAATTTAGAAGATTTTATCTCATCTAAAAAATCTATTCATACACAATACAATAGATGCTCCACCTACTTTTGATAATAGTTATGCAATAGGATGGCCGGACCTCACTCTCACTACACCACAAATGGCCCCTCTCATCCAAAACTGGGCAGTAGAAGAAGAACAAAGCTTATCTGATCATAAATTTATTACATTTCAACTTGAAGAGAGCACATCTGTTCCATCATCTGGTAATAAAGCGATACACTCTGCCAAAAAATAAAATTCCAATACTCTTTAATAAAATAAAAACATCCTTTCAATTCACGAGCAACAACTACAAAACACAGAGTCACCTCAGCGCGAGAAAAAGCTACCTATAAAAGGATGATATTGCAAGCCAAAATTAACTCTTGGCATAAGTACTGCACCAAAAATAAAGAAATATATGGGTTTCACCATAAAAATAGCCACAGATAAACTCTTCAAACCAATCAAATTATATCTTTCACCGACAAATTCTCAAGGATTTAATCTTCCAGATGCTACTATTAACCATATTTTAGAAGCGGTTTTTCCAGAAGATGACTATAACTTAAGACACATCTGTACATACTATAGTCAGAAATACAATGACGTTACCTTCATCTAATGAAGACGTTGAAATTACCACCACAGAGATTAAAAATATCATCAACTTTCTACCTAAAAAACGAGCACCCGGCCCTGATGGAATTGACTAGAACGTTATTAGGGTTCTAATAAATTCAAAACTACATTTTTTCAAAATTTACTCAATAAGCATTTATATGCAGGTCTATTTCCCAAAGCCTTTAAAATTGGACAAGTAATATTATTTCTAAAGAAAAAAAAAAAAGACCCTCAACTAGCCAGCTCTTATCGTCAAGTTATATAATTTAATCAAATGCTAAAAAATAAGATCATTAAGGATTACTTCAAAATTACCTCTATATACATAGGAAATATGTAATAAATCGTGATATTAAGATATGTCAAATAAAAAATAATAATAAATAAATAAATATATTTATTCAGGGAAATACCATACATTCATAAGGGCACTGAATTTTAAAATAGGCATTTACTATGCAGAAGAAGAAATTTATAAAGAAGCATTACAATTTAAGGGTAAAAGTAAATCCAAAGCGCACATCTTTCAACTGTTGCTTTAAAGAAGAATATGGAGACTACCTATGAAAATGGAGCATTTAATTCTTACATGAAGATTCTACAAAGAAGAAAGAGAAAATTATTTAACTTTCATAAGGGGAAGTTAAAAGGTAAAAGGAGAAGTAATTTACGAAGAAGGAAAGAGGAACCAAGGAAAAAGTATGTTTTTCTTAACTGTTCAATAAAGGAAGAAGGGGAAGGCTCTACATGATTCAGCCATAGAAAGGAATAAGAAAAGGAACTAATGTCACATTACAATTATAATAAATGTACCTTTGTATTTGGTAACCAGTAAAATCTACTGTTTATTACTAGTTAAGACATTTTTATTAAAGAAAAAGGGAAATTTTACAGGAAGATTTTTTATTAAAAAAATAGAGAATAAGATTTTAAGTTAGATGAAAAACACGAGGACGAGAAGAAGATGAAAATAAGAAAAGGGAATGAGATTTTAAGAAGAAATAATCATAATGATGGATTTCATATTGTCCTTTATATGAAGAATAAGGAACTTAACAGAAGTTACAGGAAGAGAAGAAGAGCTGCTGAGTGAAGAAGTTTAAGGATTTGAGTTATAGATGAATTTACTCCATAGTATAAGGATAACTAAAAATTTAGGAAATAGGGAGTAGTATTCAAGATGATATGGCTTATGAAGGACTACTTAATCGTTTATGGGAAGGCAGAAAAAGGAGGCTTCAGAGGAAAAAGATTTTACAGGAAAAAGGTTTAAAATTGCAAATAAAAGGTTTCAAAGGAAAGGCAGAAAAAGGCAGCTTCAAAGGAAAAAGGGAAAAGGTATAATATTACAAATAAAGGTTTTAAAAAGAAAAAAGGAAATTTTTCTGTAGAAGATGGAAAGAATATGTTAACAAGTATTTCATAAAGATAGATTTCTTATTCGCTATATTAAGTAAAAAGATAAAAGGATATTATGAAGAAATACATGTAAAATGGAGGAAAGAAATAAGATAGAAGAAAGGAAGATTAACGAAGATAAATGAAAGGAAATTAAAGGAAAGAGAGAAACGAAGAAAAGAAGAAAGAAGAAGAAAGAGAAAATGAGGGAATAGTTTCATAGTTTTTTACTAAGGCAATTTTGACATTTTATAAATAATTACTTACAAAGATACATTCATGAAGGACTATAATACTACTTTAAGATTTTATTTTTACTATTTTTTATATGGCACTATATGGCAATGTAAAAAACTATACTTGTTAAATGTAAATTGGATTTATTAATAAATATTATATAAAGGGCAGGACCATTGGACAGAAACTGATACCGTAAGGTAGAGGGATGGTGCCCACGTCCTCCGTTACTACTACTACTACTACTATAACCTTAGTGAAATAATTAAAAATCTATGGAATAAGATTTTACATTCCTTGTAATTTAATCATGAAATAAGCTTATTTAAACTTAATATTTTGCATTTGAGTTAACATTTTTTTTTGGGGGGGGAGCAAGATTCATTTAGGTTTGTTTTTGATAACAAAACATTTTATATGTTGCACTGTGTTCCACTATTATTTAAAAAAATGATTACGTTTGCAATTTTGTAATATATTCTATGAGAAACTTAAAAGTATGGATCAGACATAAGTGATCTTAATTTGGCATTCGTCACAGGTTTTGTTCTGAATGATCAAACTGATTAAACTTCCGTATATTTCTGAATATAATCCAAGGAAAAAAAAAAAAAAAAAGAATTCCTATAATTAACCCCTAAACTGCCGCGGGCGTATATATACGCCTTGCTCAGCCGATGCGTTAACTGCCCCAGGCGTATATATACGTCCTCCAAAACTGCTATCATTTGCTTTGACGCTGCTACACTTAAAATATTCGCAAAGTTAAGCATCGGCGGCGCATCTGGGCACATCTGGGGCAGTTAACACATCGGCTGAGCAAGGCGTATATATACGCCCGCGGCAGTTAAGGGCTCTTTATTAGTAAAAATTAATTTCGCTATGCTTGTGTTTCACTTCTTGCTTAGAACCTCTAGTATCTCAGTATTTATATTAGAAATAGAAACAAATTATAACCCATTCAAAAGATAACCATATATGTCAGTCAATCACCAAAAATATTTCTCCAAAATGGTAATTCACACTCAAAATGGCAGCCGTAAAAAAAGACAGAAATTTCAGATTATTAAAATTAAGGACCTTCTGCTGATTTTGGCCAAAATTAAGAACTTTTCAGGACCAATAATCTAAGGACCGTACGAACCCTGAACTATATCAACTATTAACCAACTCTCCATAATTTGTACTGAGGTTTCTTAAAAATTATAAGCTACAGAAAATATGGAAAAAACAGGTATTTTTTTAAAGAGGGGGTAAAAACACAAAAGGCAAGAGAAATAGTATGCAAAATGAAACCAATTTTGCCATCTGATGGAGAAATTATCACATCATGTTTTACATGGTAAGATGTATCTATGTGTTGGCAACTTAACAGTCTTTTTTGTTAAACATAATTGAGATATTTAAAAATTTTTTTTTTCATTTTAATGACGTATCTGTTAGCTTAATACTGTTTAAATTGCACAAATTCACAAACATGATGTTATATATTGATGACACATTCTGAGTGTTGCTAACACAAAATATATGTTATAGCTTACTGTTACAAACTAAACTGAATACACTTAGCATGTAGCACCACCCCGTAAAAATGTACAGGCATTCTAGCATGATTATTATAATGGTGCTCATATAGTCAAAGGGCAACAATAAATTCAGTGCTTATCATTCGTTTTTGAACCTGCAGTTTCATTAAGAATAAAATACTGCATAACTGATTTAACACAAACATTGTTATAATTAACCTAGACACTGATTTCTAAAGCTGTTAATACAAATAATATCTATAATGGTTTGAATTATCTAAAATAACAATGATGTAAGTACTCACAGACAGGTGATTCATCTTATAAATAAATAAATTAAACTTACGATATCAATGAATACAGAATTATAAATACTCTCTTTTTAATAATTTTCTGTCAATATTTTTTTCTTCTAACATATACATAGCATAGCATTCAAAATACATTTAATGTACTGTTTATACTATCAGCAAAGATTTAAGTTTATTTTTTGGCTATTATCAAGCTAACATTTTAATGAGATAAAACACATTATCATTTTGCAGCTGTGCAGTATGTTTCCTTCCTTAATCCTCAGTAAATCAAGAATAGATTGTGTATTCTCATTTCTATTAATGTACAATTCATTATTGCTTAAATTCTTCAGCTCAAATAAGATGAATTTTCTAATTCATCTGCTGTGAAATAGTCAAATGAACTTGACGCATCTGCTACCAATTCACTTTCAGTTGCAGAATATTTGAATTCGGAAACAGATGCTTTTTTATTTTCAACCTTTTTCTTATTTAGAGGACTATCGTAATCATTGTCAAAAGAAGTTGCGTGAGACGTAATTTCATTTTTGTTACAGAAAGAAATTGAAGAAGCAGGTACCTTTTTGGAAATATTCCACTTGCCATTGCTTTTCATTATTTTAAGAGGTGTAATCCTACAGATCTTTCTCACACTTAATAGTGAACTGGAATGACTGTGAGAATTGTATTTTCCTTGCTCAGTTTCCTCTACATCACAGTTCTGCAAAATTGCATTGCATTCAACACTGCTAATTCTAGAAATAAATTCAGTAGAACTGCAAAAGAAGAAAAAGAAAATTTTAAAATTCATGTTCAAATAATATATAGCATTTTACGCAACTTATAAAAATACTTGGTGTTCATATATGCACAATTTTGAGCATTATAATTTGACTATACAATAGAAACATAAAACATTTTAAAGATTGATATACCCTAATTAAAAGTTTAAATGTGCATATAATAAGTTAAAATATAAATACCTGGCACAATACTTTTTCTTTCTCCATGTACAGTAACTAGGCTATAAAAGGGGTAAAAAATGCTTGTTATTATAAACATAAAAATAATTAAATTAAAAATTATTGAAATTTATAAAAACTTACCCCTCAAAATACACTGAGGTATTGTATTTTATGCTGCTATTTTATTTATTATTGCACACAAAATTCCATTTTCAATAAAAAGCAAGTGTATTTATTTGTGCATCTCCCAGCTTAGTGTAAGGGTCTGAAAGTTTAAAAAATATTTGTGTAATTTTCCTCTTCATACAGGCTTTCAGAGCGAGCTTTTCTAAATTTTAAAATGGATTTATCCATGTAGTGGTTGTTTGACACTTGCAAAAATCGCACTAAAGCTTCCCCTTTCTACTCATTCATAATAGTAACAAGTTAAAAGTAATGCAGCATTCACAGGAATGGTTTGTGAGGCATAGAAACGAAGAAATCTACAAATGAAGAAAAAAACTAGCATAAATATATGTGGGGCACGAAAATCTTTTAAGCACTTAAAGTCTCTAAAAGTCTTAATACAGCCTGTATGTGGCCGTATTAAACAACAACGTATTAAAATAAACATTCCTATTTGAGAAGCAAGCAAACGCCATTGTGAAGAGCAGTGGTTTCAAAGCGTGACTACCGCACCTCTAGAGGATTGTGAGCATTGTGACACAATGCTGTAGCGGCTCAATTGTCGCGCCCTGAAACCACAAAGCAAATGCCACATATAGAAGGTTTTTTTATATATATACAGCAATTTTTTATTTTTTATTGTTTATGATAGAAATCATGATTTGCGATGAATAACTTTGGAAATTTAAAGTTATTTATATAATAAAAGGAAGTTATTGTGTCTCATTGAAAGCAAATTTTAAAAGGCATCTGATTTGAAGTACTAAGATCCTAAAACATGTATAATTCTGCAGTCATTTTGTGTTATTTAGAGGTAAAAGATCAGTAATCAATTGATTTTCACTCAAAAATTTCGGAAAGAAGAGGAGAAAAAAATTCGAAAATTGGTGGTTTCAGGGTGTGACTACTGCGCATCAAAAGGTTAAAGGCTGAAATTAAAGATGGATTGGAATTAGGGTCATTAACTAGAACAGAAAGATTTTTTTTAATGTGAAACGCCTCTAGAAAGTTTAATTCACCAATGGAAGATGTTTTTTGAATAATTTTGGCTGCAGAAAAATTGAAAGTGTGATTTTCGGATCAACAATGCTCGGCAATAGAGGACCTCTGCATTTCTTTTTTCATAAAATATGCCTCATGTTCCTTAACGTGAAATTTTAAGCTGTCTTAGTTTGACCAATGTAAATTAAACCACACTGGCAAGGAATCCTGTAAATACCTCAGGAATTCATATCCGGAATGGGGTCCTTAAGTACGGAATTTTATTGATAGGAGAATAGATGACCCGAAAGTTTTTGTTGATGTTGTCTAATTTTTGTTGTTTGACTTCAAATTAAATATTTGCTTGGCGTGTTATTTTACCTTAATCGAAAGAAATATTAGTTATTCTGAAAATGAGAGGAGACATTGAAAGAAATGTCTATTTAAAAAAATAATAATAAAAGAGGGGAAGGTTTAAAGTCATAAATGCTTCATAATTTCATAAACCACTAATTCATATTTTTAATTTTATAACTTCAACATGTCATCTTAATAGATTTAAACTGATAATGTCATTAGCAGGAAAACTCCCAAATTCGGAATCGCCAAAATCCTGACAAATCTGAATCTTGGTCTTTGTACTGTATGTGCAACTTTTATTGGATAAGCCCCTCACATATTTATTTAATTATATACCATACAACTGAATCAGCTACAAATTACTACTTTGGCTAACTTATTTAAGATTTACTATTTGTTATTTAGTGCCTTATAATTTTCCTTTCATTTATAATAAGAATAAATTTTGCTTTCAGGAGATTAGTGTATAAAAATCTTATGTTTCTTCATGAATGTAATTCTGAACATCACTGGGTAGTTGTTATTAAAATCGAATCAGGACGAGAGAAAATTTTCAAATAAACAAATGGTTGTACACATTTTTAAATCATAAACACAGCATATATTTGCTTTACTTGAAATTTTTAAATGCTTTCTCATTTTAACTGTAAAAATGGAGAATGTTCAACATTCTCCTTGCCACCGAGGCTACAATCACAGACAGACTTGGGGCTGAACTTAAATATGTTCAAATAGCTTTCCATGGCCAGTAAGAAATTGGATTAATTTATAGTTTGTGAAGAAGTGATGATATGACAATCTCATTTTGATAGAATGCAAAAATCTCTTAATTAAGCTCCCTTTATTAGAATTAATGAAATCATGGTTCCACGACTCCACCATACTTTCATATATGACCTTCTTATAAAAGGAATTAGGGATATTGACAAAAGTGTCAATTTCCCGCTTAGTCGCAATCTTAGCAAGGAAATCGGCTCGTTCATTCCCAACAACACCTGTATGACCACGAACAAATGAAAATGCAACCAAAATATTTTTATCTTTTAGGTTTTTCAGTTCTTTTTGAATCTCGATAATGATATTATTAGAAGAAAAAATACATTTTAAGATCTCCAAGGATGAAAGGGAATCAGTACAAACGAGATAGTCTGACACAGCACTATTTTATTCAGATTCATTTGATGGTGAAGTTTAAGTACAAAAGTTCAGCTATAAAAACGGTACATTCATCTCTAATTCTAAATTGAAAGTGCTCAAATTAGTTAAGTATATTAGCTTGTGGTTCACAATATTAGCAAAACGTATTTTAAACAAAATATTAAAAATCCAAAATACTAGCAAGGACATTGCATTAAAAAGGAAAAAAAAATAATCCCTCTTCTCAAATAAATAAATACATTAAAGATTGATAGTGAGAAAGAAAAAAAGATAAGGATGCTGAAAAGAAATTATTGAGAAGGAAGACGAAAAATAAAATGCAAAGATAAAAAATTAAGTTCATAAAGAATAGAATTTTAAAGATACTAAACTTTTCTTCCAAGCCTCATTTCTCCTGGTTGAAGTGGATAAAATCATTCAAAACAGTTCTATCTAGGGCTCTATTCCCATTTAAACAAATCAGCTGCATTAATGCTTAATTTTACTCCCATGTTTTGTGAAAGTTATAAGTTTCTCTTATAACTCCTTGAAATTAGCAAAGCAAAGAAATTAATAGTTCTAATACTGGTACTGAATTTATTGTTTATTAAGTTTTTATTTCTTTTCCGACACAGAGTGATATCACTTTTTTTACTAAGACTTTATGATACATTGGAATTCATGAATTACAAAAGAATATATAAATATACTTACCTCATCATCTAAGCTCACTTCTTCATAGTTTTCATTCAATAATTTAATATTATCATTTTCATTCTGTAATTTTTTTGTAAATGCTAAAGAACTTGCTTCAAGGGTGTTATCACAAACTGTTCTATATGGATTCTCAAAACATATTTGCAAAGATATATGTTTATTATCTACAGGACTATTGTTTTCTACACTATCATTCGAAGTCTCCAACTCAGGAAGTAACACAATTCTTTCAGTGTCAAGAACTGAAGATTTATTATAACTCTCCTCAGTAGTACTAGTGATCAATGGTTTTTCTTCCAAAACAAGAACTTGTATGTTTCCTTTCAGAATCTCATCACTTTCATATGACTTTTCATAACTATTAATTTCAGGATCAATCGGTTTTAGTTTTTTATCAGTTTCTTCATTTGTCTTATCAGTAACATGACTATCATCCACATATTTTAATACATTTCCTAAATTATCAGAAAAATCTACATCATTTTGCCCATCATTTTCAAAGGAGTCTGTCTGATGATTTCTTGTTGTAATTTCATTTTCTCTCTGAACTTCTAGAGAAACTACATTCAAAGTTGATTTTGAGAAGAGATCATGCATATTTTCTTCTCTTTCCTGTAAAAAACCAGATTCATTTACTTTTCCAAACTCTTCATAATCCTTTGCATTTACATCATTTGAAAAAGCTCCTTTCCTTTCAGGTAAAGCATAAATATTACTAGGAGATACACCTACAAAATAAAAATTCATATATTTAAATTTGAACTATGAAAAGCAATAAATATTATAAAAATAAATTTTAAACTCAAATGAAGCGATTCAGAATAAGTCTACAATATATGAACAGGATCAGTATTATAAGAAATTTCACACAATATTTAATTAGAATAGTTCATGATTTGCAACTTATGTTTACACCTTTAAATTGTAAAGAATGAGAATTAATAATAATATTCATTGTAATATATATCTAAAAATACAGACCACTAAAAAAGGGATTTTCTTCTTGACTGACCATTGCATTTTAATATGGTTTCCATATAATAAAGGCAAAAAATTTAGAAGGGTTTTTTAATTGTCTTTAAATAGAAAGAAATGATATTTTTTTAATACAGTACAAAGTCCAAAATCCAGACATCCAATATCTGGAATGATCTAAAATCCAGACTTCTAATCTCCAGGAACTTTTTATTTATTTATTTAAGAAATTTCTTTTATGCTTTAGTATTTGATATTTTTTCATAGTAAAACATGTGGAGAGTTGTGATATTGAATTTTACTTTGCCGCTGACACCAACCAACCTGGAGAATCACTATTTATTATTTTTTGCTCTCATCATCACATGACTATCTACACACTGCAGCATAAGAAAATGACTCATGCAGTGATATCTAAATATTTTTTTGATATATTAGTAATTGAATACTGAAGAGTATGGTTACTTTTTATGTTGACATTGCACTTGACAATGATTACACACTTTAGCTAAATCTGCTACAATCTTGAGTTTGTAGAAGAGATGAAATTTATCAGAAATCTCTTTCAATATGCAAAAAATAGATTTTGTAAATGATACTCATACACCAAAAAATTACATTTAGTCCTGTTTGAATTGAGAATAAGCAATTTGTTATTAAGCTCAAGACCAGTAACACAGCTGCTGCGGCCACAAAGTGCAACAAAATGTTTAGAATTTCGAAAAGCACTGAGCAAAATTAGGGGAATGGCAAAAATCTTTCGAATTCAGGGAAAACACTGGGATGCAAAATTTTTAGAAATTAGAGAGGTGTTTAGCAGCAGAATTTTGGACACGCAGAGAAGGAAACAAGCAGCAAAATATCTAGTGCCATCCCTGGATAAGCCATCAGCATATGTGAGAATTCATTTATTTGGGACTCAATTTCAAGCATGTGCAGGAAATATTTTTTATGTAGAGAGTAACTCAAAATTCCCACTGAAGTTTTAAAAATTTATAGTAACTATAACAAATAAAGCATAGAAGATGCATAACTGTTTATAAGGAATCTACTCACATTGGCCAGTAGATTCTGCTGCTACAGGACATTTTTCTTTGTAAAATGAATTGTTACAGGTATAGTATCATAGACGTCTCAACAGCAGCTAATACAACTATTACAAGGCAAAAGAATTTAATTTTTCTACAAGATACAGTTCTCACATTTTTTGTATATACACTTAACTCAACAGCAAACCTTCTGGTCATTAGATCAGATGATCCTCCTTCTCATCTTCAGTGTCCTCCATGCTGATTTGAGATAAGCAGAGGTGATTTTTCCTTATGGGTTAAATCAGAGACTGTATGGCCATGCTCCCTTTGCTACATGGTTTAGCACAAGTGCAAGAAGGGGTCATACATGCAGTTCCTTCTCATGATCAAATCTATATTGAGTGTGACAAGATACAACTGGACTTAGTGTGACAATTTGAAACAATCGAACTTTCGATATAAATATATTACCCACTCCAGATTTAGATTGTTCAGTACTATGTAATTTTCATGGCCCCCTTTATAAAAATAGGCACAAAGATTATTGCCAAGTTTAAACTACTCGCATATAGTTTCTGGCTGCAGTATTTCCATAGTTGCTTTTAATATGGCATCAAAAGACTTATCTTTCTCATGGGATTTCAGACACATGAATTCCAAAAGATACGACTATAGATGATGTTGAGCTGTACCCCTTTCTTTTTGTTTCACCATTTAACAGATCCCCATATTAGAGTATTGGTGTGGTGTGTGTGTGTATTTAATTATGGCAAAGCATACTAGGGCTATCTGCCTAAGGGGAGGGATGCCTTCGTGGAGGACTTTCTAAGGGAAACTGGCTCGTATACACGCTACACATGGGGAAAACCACAAAAACACTCATGCAGCCAGCCCGTTCACGGAATTCGAACCTCGGACCGAACTATCAGTGTTCTCCAACTTTACCGCTCGGCCGCTGGTGGGCGCTATTAGAGTATTGGATCGAGAGGTAATATATCTTTTTCCTGGAAAAATAATAATGCATGTTCATTTCTTAGTAAATTAAAGACGGTCAATATTTTTTTAAATGATGTTTAAACTAAAAAAAAAAAAAGAGTACTGTGATATTACGCTGTTCATCCAATTTATCAAATAGAAATCGAAAATGATAGTAAAAGTACCGTTTTTTATATAAATGTTTAAACTGAAAAAAGATAATTATGATATCGTGCAGTTCATCAGATTTGGCAAACAGAAGTTAAACTGAAAGAGGACTATTCATATTTCATGCAGTTTACATAATTTGGTGGCTTATTGCAGGGGCCATGAAAATCAAGTAGAATTCTTATAACAGTTGAACTTCCAATATAAATATGTGACCCACTCCTCCAGATGTTAGATTGTCCTAACTCTGGTAGCTTTTTTGAGAACATCTTCCCCATTCTCCAAGTGCCCTTTTGTCCATACCCTTGAAAAACTCCAGAACTGGGCGACAGCAGCCGGAGGAAATGCAACGTCTATGAAGTTCAACCATCAAATTCCTTGAAAATAATGTCTTCATCAAAGTAAGTTAAGGTTTAAGAAAACACTTTTTCAACAGAAATAAACAGTATTTTTGTTAGTACAGTCAAATACCGAAAATCCGCAGACCTGAAATCCGCATTGCCTCTCAAAATATAAACATTCAGTTTATAGGTTCCGGAAACCGCAACACTGAGTGCAAAATATTGAAGAAAAAATACTTACCGAACAATGACATCATAATTACTGAATAATAATGAGTCATAATGAAAATACCAAATTACTGACATCATGATAATTTTCCCCCCTTCTACTCTGCATAGAGGTAAAAAAGCAGACGATTCACTCTTCTTTAAAGTTCACGATTCACGTTGTTGTATTTTCTGAGCTTTGTTATTTCACGAGATTTTTTAGTGCTGCGTTTTTTTTTCTAATCCAGATGTTTTGTGGATAAATTAAGAATATTTAAAAATTTTGCCCTTTTTAATACAATGACAGATAAGAAACACACTCATGATTTTACTGCTTGCAATGCTGAAAAACGTAAACACGCTGCATTGATGGTAATGCAAAAAGTGCAAATTCTGCAAAAGATGGAGGCAATTTGTACTCCTTGGTTTATAGCAGAATCGTATGGAACTGCGACATGATTGTGTATGATATACGGAAAAATAAAGAAAAGCTGTTGAAATTTTACAGCAACAGTGATTCTAACAGAGGAATCTGAAACCGGAAATCTTTGCATGAGGCGAAATCGGCAAACCTCAATGCTGTGTACATATAATACAATGAATAATATAATCAATTTATATATGTAATAATAATTTAATGCATATAATAAATTATTACAATAATGTGTATAATAATTTAATTAAATGTATTTAATATGCTTTATTTATTTTGCCCTTTTAGTCTGAATATTATGCTTTATCTTTTCTGTCCTGAAATCCGCACAACCTCTGGTCCCAATCTCTGTGGATTTCTGGACTTCCTCTGTAACCTTTTTAAAACGTTGATCAAACAATTAATCCGACATTTCAAAACTTTTGTTCCACGATGACTGTCTAATTATTATTTGTTCCATTCTAGGATGACTTATTGTTTATAATACCAGTTTACGGGGGCTCTGTTATGAGCCACCTGCTTTTAATTCTGCATTCAACCAAAATTTTAATTCACATTCAGAATAGTTATAACAAAAAAGGGGGCAAAGATGTCAGATGAGAAAAATTAAGGACCATTTTCAAATTTTGACTGCAATTAAGGTCTTTTAAGGTCCAAAATCATTTAAAAAAACATGAATCTTTGAAAAAAGATAAACAATGTTTTAATAAGCTTCATATGAATGATCATATGAAGCTTATTAAAACATTGTTTATTTGGTGACAGATTTCTTTGCTTCTTTCATTTATTGCCTTCAAAGTTTATATCAGGATTTCTTCCAAAACGTAACTCTTAATTTTTCTTATTTTCCATTAGCAAACTAATTTCTTTGATCAACTATTAAATCTGAGCAACAGTATTCAGTTATTATCCCAAAAGTGCTTAACCTGCATAGTTATTTAGTATAACAGCATAGTTATTTAGTAAAACCCACTATGCAATGTTTTTTAAATAACTTGATTTGTTTATGAAGGGCAACTATACATTTAAAGAAAGTGGTGATAGAACAGTTATGCTTGCTAAGAGAAGGAAGAATAACAAGTGACTAATTGGTAGGAATGGAAAGCTGTGGGTCGATAAAACTATATCAGACATGAGACGGGCAAAACACGTTTTTAAAGAAAACCAAGATTACAAGGTGCTACAAAAAAAAAAAAAAAAAAAAAAAAAAAAAAAAAAGAGAGAGAGAGAGAGAGGTCCAATAAATCATTGTACTTAAAGAATAAGTTCTCCGTGACATTATCACCTTCAAAGTAGCTCCCTTCATCATTCACATACTTCTTTATTTGGTACTGCCATTGCTGGTAACAGTTCCTGAAACGAAGGCCTTTCAGGAGATTCTCCATTTCTGCCTGAAACTCTTCAACTGAGGTAAAATGGGTTCTCTTTAAACAAGATTTAACTTTAGGAAATAAAAAAAATGTCCTGGGGAGCCAAATCAGTGAATAAAGAAGATGCTCCAGCACAGTAATGCTTATTATAAATTAATGCACAGTAAGGCTTATTATTAATGTTTTTGCTGGTCAGAAACTGCTTGACAGATAGGACCGTGTGAGCAAGTGCATTGTGCTGGTGCAACAGCCATCCATCATTCCACAACTGTGGCCTTTTTGTCCTAATTTTTTCATGAAGTCTGTTTAGTACTTCAATTTAATGGTATTGATTAACATTTTAGCCACTGGGAACCCATTCAGTCATGATGAACGCCCAAGGAGGCGCCCAGCACGTTCATCATCTTCCACACTGTCCCTTCCCACTGAAAACCACTTATGTTATTCAAACAGACGTGCATGAGACAAAGGTTCATCTCCATAAGCCTCAGTTAACATTTGAAATGTTTCCTCCGTGGCAGATTTCTTCGTTTCACAAGAAACTTGATATTAATTTGCTGTTCGGTTTTTACAATAGACATTTTTCTGGCAGAATGCAGTTGCACGTGTTCACTCGATGACGCAGTACTCTCCACTGGCATGGTCAAATAAGCCAAAAATGCCCGCATGGATAAAAGAGGCATAACGTCACCAAAACAGTTGTTGCCAACTGCACTCTGTTTCAAGCTGTACACTTAGTCTTATTTTTGTTTGTGTGTGTGTGTCACACCTCGTAGAATAATAAAATGCCACAAAGGGTATATTATGATAACTTAAACACATATACAGTACAAAGGCTGAAATCCAGACTCGTCGGGACTTTGGCGAATCCGGATTTGGGATTTTTCCGGATATTAGATCATCAATTTAAATCTAGTACGATGGCATGTAGAAATTATAAAATTAAAAATATGAAATCATGATTTATGAGAAAATGAAGTATTTATGATCTAAAAGGTATCAAAATTTACAAAAAAAAAAAAAAAAAAAAAAAAAAAAAAAACTCAATATTTATTTGTTTACATTTCTTTCAATGTAAGTTATTTAAGTTGGTTCGTTTTTTGTGCTAATACTTTCTTTTTAATTCTGTAATTGTTGAAGTCCTGTAACTGCTGTTTTGAGAATTCCAACTAACTTGTCAATCAAAATTTTCTCGTTTTCAGTAACTTCTCTCTCACTTTCTTAGCAGTAGCAGTATTTTCTGGATCTAAAACCATACTACAGATTTTGCCATTCATTAACTGATTTGCTGATTGAGAAGCATTGTAATCACAATGAAAAACTTCTTTTATAACATCTTCATTTATTACCACTTCTCCACATTTCTTTACAAAATCCTTAAAAAATTTCAACTTTATTTTGCGATATCTGAAAACGTTTAAAATTAGTGACTATCAGCATCAAATTTAGCTATCCTTCACTATACATATTTGGCTATGCATCATGAGCTTGGCAACTAATGACAAGTTGTTCCATTAAATTTTATCTTGCTTCTAATTGCGCACTGACACAATTAAGCCTGAATTGTTATAGTTTAGTTATTTTATTATACTTATGTCTAGTTCTTGCACATGATTAAGGCTTATCAGAGTTCTGAATAAATAAATTCCCACATATACCTCATTGATGGCCGGCGCTAGGTATCTTACCTCTGTGGGTCCTAAATTATGCGACTTGGTGTGGCGATAAGAGCCCTGGTGATGGTTCTGGGTTTATATGAACAAATAAGTTATTCTTAAGTCAAATAGAACTAAATGTAATCTTTGGGTCTATTCGTATCAGCAACAAGATCTATTTTTAGCATATAGAAAGAAATTTTTGGTAAATTTTTCCTCATCAACATTTTTTAGCTCATTTAACGTAAGTCTGTAATCATCACCAAGCATAATGTGAACATAAAAGGTTACCATACTTCTTAATTATTCAATTACTAACATAAAAAAAAAAAAAAAAAAAAAAAAAAAAAAAAAAAAAAAAAAAAAATTAGGCATCGCTACACGAGTCATTACTCAAGTTGTCATGTTTTGATAAACATGCGGTGATGAAAGGAAAGTATAATAAATAATGATTCGCCAGGTTTGTGTCAGATCAATGATGTATCTATGTGGAATGTTTTGGTTTGAGATGTGTGCGAAGCAAATGCGCAGCAACGGATCCAAATTACTGATCGTACAAATTTATGCTAAATTGATTGTTTCTTCAATAACAAGGTATTTTATTTAGTGTCGAAGTGAAATTGAGAATCGAGACTCTCCAAATGTTTCATTATGCACGGAGGGGGGGAATCAAATGCGCATGTGTAAAAGCCAAGGAGGAAAACGTTGTTGATGGTTTTGAGGTCTGGATTTTAAATCATTTCGGATAATGGACGTTCGGATTTCGGACTTTGTACAGTATAAACTTACTTTTTTCTGTGAATCATGTAAAAATTGGAGTAGATTCTAAAAATAATTCATTTGAGACATCAAGCGATGAAATACTTTCTTCAACATTGAAAGATTCAGCTTGAATCACTTGCAATCCAGCAGCCTGTTAAATCAAACAAAGAATTAAAATTTTTATATCCAAAGTGTCTAAAACTTATTCACAATAGATTATAAATATCTTCATACAAGAAGACAAAACAAAAAGCATCAATAACTCATTCTATAAATTCAGACCTATGATAGCATTTATATTAAAATATTGAAATTATAATACACAATTTTTTTTTAAATTACATATGACATAGCAAAGTAATGAATGCAAAAGAATTGACACTTATTTATAGCACATTAATATAATATTACCAACATAACAATTTATGTTAAAGTTTTTTAATTATGACATTACTAGCCTTATGATGGGGGAAAAAATTTCATTATTCTAAATTTGAATTTATATTTTCCTCCCTTATTATTTGTAGTTTCAGGTTTAGCTGAGATAAACAAGACAGGAAAAGCTTTACTGTGATTTAAATAAAGTTTATGCTGATAATTAAAAATCAACTGAATTTGAAAAATCTATAAATGAGAGACTTATACACAGCCAGAAATTTGGTGAAGCTGCCATCACAACCAGCAGAGAAAGAATCTGAAATGACTTACAATTAAACAAAACAGAAAAAGAATTTAAATATGAGATATTTAATTTTTTAAAATTAATTCAGAATTTATATATTCTCAATTAAAGTGGGAAACAGAAATATGAATGCATTCGCTCAGTAATATAAGCACTTTAAACATCGTAAAATGCTCTACAGCAAGGCCAGAACTAAGTATAAATCACACAGTTTGATTACAGTACATAAGGAATAAAAGTTCAAAGATGCTATGCCAAAAATTTCTGTATGTAATTCGACTTTCATCTAATATTGTTTTCTGCTTTGAGAACTTACAGTAGTCGCATTTCTAAATCTTACTGCAATACCCTTGCAGATAAAAGCCCAGAGTAAACAAAAAATAAAAATAACAATAAAAAAATTGCAGTATTACTAGATGCATTTGGAAAAATTATTTTGAAAGTTAAAATATTATTAATGGCAGTATATCAGAAAAATATATAAATAAAAAAAATAAGGAATGAAGAGATACTATACAACAAAAACAGAGAATACCATGGCAGAAATACATAAAGAAAGAATAAAATATACCAATATCCTCTTTCAAGCCACAATTTCTTCTCATTATTTATAGTTCAATGGATAAAATCATTCAAAGATTAGAAAGTTCACGCTCTGACTAGGACTCTACTTTCACTGAAACAACTAGTTGCATTAATGTTTTTCTTTCTTTTCATGTTTTGTGAAATTCAAATAAGTTTACTTTATAGCATTCCTCATAAAATTAGCCATCTTGAAATAAACAGAGATCTTATGCATTTTAAATATAATTTTTAACAAAATCACAGTTCCTCTCCCTCCTGCATTTAGTGATATTCCAAAAAAATTTACTTATAATTAAAATCCTATTATCTGAATTAGAGACATTAATATTTTCAATAATGATACAGAAAGACAAATTTTAATTTTTTTCATGTGTTTTGACAAAAAAGGATAGAAAATTATTAAAGACAGTTTGTGATATGGTGAACTACATGAATTACAAATACATTTTTAAATCTTACCTCATCATCTAAGCTCAGTTCTTCATGGATCTGATTAAAAAAATCAATAGGATCATTTTCAGTTTGTAATTGTTTTGTAGATGCTGAAGAACTTGTTTGAAAGATGTTACAAGACATTTCACAGGGACTTTTAAATGAATGTGAAGATTTATGCTCATTATCTGCAAGACTGTTGCCTTCTCCATCATTAAATGTGTTTCTCTCAAAAAGCAAGACAATTTTTTCATTGCCAAGAACTGAAGATTTATTATAACTCTCCTTAACAGCAGTACCAATCAATGGATATTCTTCCAAAACAGTAACTTGTGCATTTTCTTTTACAAACTCCTTATCACTTATAAATGACTTTTCATGTCTATTAATATCAGGATTGATCATTTTTGAATTTTTAACAGTTTCTTCATTTGTTTTATGAGCAACATGACTATTACCCACATATTTTAATACAGTTTCTAAATTATTAGGTAAAACTACATCGTTCTCCCCATCTTTTTCAAAGAAGTATGTCTGATCACTGGCAGATGTGATTTTATGATTTCTCTCTATTTCCGGGGAAATGGCATTGAAAGTTAATTTTGGGAACAGTTTATGAATATTTTCTTCTTTTTTCTCTGGAAAAAGGAATTCCTTCACTTTTCCAAATTCTGCTTTATCTATTGTATTTTCGAACTGTAGGATGCTTAATTTTAATTCTGGTGTGCACAGTCCAGAAGCATTACATAGATACGAGTCCAAATTTTCATTAATTTTGCCTTTTTGTTTTAAAGGAAAAGAGCTAATAATATTTTTATTGATCTTATCATTCGATGGAGAGCATGTAGATTTTAAACTCTCTTCAATTGGTATATATGCAACATTTTTCCTAATTCCAGAAAAGTAATAATTTGGTATTTGATTTTCATTTGGAAAAGTTATATTCTCTTCTGATAAACCACAAATATTACTGTGTGATACACCTAGAAAATCAGAATTCATGTAATTAAACCTGAAATCTCAGAGGAATAAATATTATGATCATACAAATTTTTATCTATAATTAGATAATTTACAATAAGTCTATAATACATTCTCAATATTAAGTGAAATTTAATATAGTAAACCCTTGTTTAGTGCATATTTGTGGAATGTGATTTAATCATTTGCATTTAATTTGTCCAACATTAGAATTTCATTCATACATGGTTTAAAGTGCATTTATCAACATCAAATGTTTTCTGGCACCAACACTGGCCAGAAATCATCAACAATCTTAAAAGATTTCCATCAATTAAAAATAAAGCCAAAGAAATCGTAGGAACTGCAGAAACAACCGATGGCAAAGGATTCTCAGATATGAAAGGAGAAGAAATCCAAAAATTAATCAAGAAATGATGAATGAAGAGCTGGATGATCTCATGACAATGGCTGACATTGAAAGCAGTGACAATGAAGAAGGTAAAGAGTCTAACTTACAAGAAAATAAATGAATTGTTAAAAAAGGCACAGAAACTGATTTTGTAATGGAGATTGACCCTAAAGAAGAAGGAAAAGGACACTTTATGACAGGCGCTGCAAAACTTTGAGCTCCTTATTGTGAAATTTTTTAACATCATCAGTCATCACCTAAGGAAAATAAACACATTTAAAAAATTAATTGTATCATATATTCATTAAGCAGTAATAAAAATTCATTTTCAGTTCATTTTTCCCTTTTAATTTCAATAATATTTAGGTTTGCTTAATATATATCTACATTTTAAATCTATCTGAATTAAACCTAACACATTTTTTCCATAGAAAGTTAACTTTGATGAACGTGAATTTGCTGCATGAGCTGCGTATTAATGACATAACTTCTACATTTGGCAAAGATTTACTGTACAGTATTTAGAAATTACAGTAGTTTGTAATTTGAACCTTTAAATCTTTCTGATTTATAAAGGTAAATAAGAATAATATATATTGAAATACACGTTTAAAAATGTATAACCTTAAAAAAAGAATCCCCCCAACTGATCACAGCATCTGAATTTCTGTTTCAATAAGATAATGTCAACAGATAAACTAAGGGGCACAGGCTAGCCATCGCTGCAGAATAAATTTGCCCTGTGGCCACACTTGAGCTGCACCAGAATGTAAAAATAGGTATAGGGTTACCTGGTATCTGGAACTCAACAACCTGGAATTTATACTTTCATCTAAGGTTTTAAATAGGATTAAAAAGTGCCCATGATTCTTAAATGGAACTTACTGTAGTTTAGTTAATAAATTTTGCTGCTAAATGTAACAGTCGTAATACAAAGGATGTTTTTAAATATGAAGAAAATTTGATATTCAGAAAGAAATTGATTACAGGGGTCAACATTAAAAGAATATTTAAAAGTAAATTCTAAATATTCATGTAGTGATTTCAACGAGCATATGAAATCCAACAAATACTCTCTACAGAATGTAATACCTCCTGAAAAATATGCAAGAATGGAATAACAAAATCCTAGTCATCATAATCACATTCAGGACAGAAAAGCTGCAAAAAGTATATAATCTACTTTTTAACATCTTGAATAATTTGTTGTCCTTACTATATAATTTCCTTTTATTCTTTCACATCAGCTTTCATCTGTCATATGAGCCTATGTAATGTACATGTAATAGACTTTCTAACCACTAAAATTAATTTTTCATAGTGTCCTGGGCATAAGCACATACAAAAAAATTTTTAGGAAGAAATGAAGATAAATAATTACTTTAGTAAGTTTTTACTTTATTATTTAATTGGATGTTCCCAGAAAAATTTTAGAATATAGTATTGTGTTAGTGAAAAACATATGTATTATGTATAAACTTTATATGCATCAATATAAAATATAATTTTTACTGAATTCCAGCAGGGCATTTTCATTTGAATGGCAACTTTCAGTGAAAGTTTTAGTTTACTGAAAAGAAAGTAAAGACACACATGGTTCTTTTCAGGCCAGAAATTGCTGTATGTATATTGAATAGTGTGAAAGTGCATTGTTATGCTATATGACATGTTCAGAAAAGAAGTTTTTGACTAAACATAAAATGTAGCATTAAAAATCAGCAGGTGGTAGATGACCTTTCAACATATAAATGCAGTTCTGACACATAAGGTTTACACATATATTTTTAAAACCGTTAAACATCAGTATTTTATTGCCCTATTGTGTATTTTAACTTCCCTTCTGAATACAAGCAATATTTATATTTTATTTAATTGAATAAAATGCTACAGATTTTTTTCAGAGGTAATGTACAACCAAAAATAATTAATTTTGCTTCAAACTATAAATAACAAAAGGAATGCTTGAGAATTGAAATAAGACCAATAATGGAATTGTGGCTGTTGACTCTTTCAGTAAAATTAGAAGAGAAACCAAAGCAAATTTTCCTCAATTCTTATTGATAATATGCTTAGCTGATAAACAAGTTTTCTCCATTATCAAAGGACTTGAATGCTTTATGTAACAGATATGCAAATATGAAACAATAATACAGATAAAGAATCTGTAAAAGTTTTTAGAAAGAATTACATTTTTCATTTAAAACATGAAAGTTTTATCCATATCTTAAGTTTCAGCACTCAATCAATGAAGTTTGAATGCTTATCACATTCTGAAAGACATGAAAAATTACTTTTTTTAAAAAATAGAAAGCTTCTGTGCATCAGGTAATGGTATCGTAAGATTAAACATTAAGATTAACATTAATAGATTAGTAAGATTAAACATAAATTACCTCCTTCGGTGACTCTCAGACATGGAGTAGATTCTAACACTGATCTGCTGCAAGAATTAGGCGATAAAATACTTTTTTCAAGGACAAAAGATTCAGCTTGAATCATTCGTGATGGTGCAACCTAATAAATCAAATAGAGAATTTAAATTCTTACATATAAAATTATTTAAAATTTTTCAAATATATTAAAAAATTCTTCGTACAAAGGGGGGAAATAATGATAATTTTGACAAATGCAGCCTTACAATAAAAATTTATATTCAGATATTTAAATGGAAATTTACGTTTTTCCAACACCCAAGATCTAACAAATGATATAAAAATTTTAATGCGTCTTTATGACACAGATACTTAGCACAAATTTTATATTAATATTTTAAAATTATATTATTGATAGTTGATTAAGTGATTAGATAAATTAAGAAAATTATATTATTTGTAAAGAAATATTGCTCAGCTCATTTCCTCTATAGAGGAAAAACTGATCTTGAAGAGTAAGTACAAATGCAAGGGAACATTCCATCTAAGGTGGAATTATCACCCAGAGGAGAATTAGTTGCATTAATACTTTCCTTTCCTTCTATGTTTTCCAAACCTCAAATTTCTCTTATAACATTCTCCATGAAGTTAGCTATCTTAAAACAAACAAACATTATATACCGTATTTTACCATACAATTAAATTACCAACACTCAACTTCTTTATCTCTCAATATTCTTTCTTAATACTTAATTAGTATCCATAAAATGTGCTTAAATTTAATTCCCTATCTTCTAAGAAATTACATTAATGTTTGTTAACATGAAGCTTCTCTTTTCTGATATAATGTGATACAAAGCTGCTTATTAAAACTGGGCTTTATGATACAATAGTTCATTCTGCAAATTAAAAAAATATTTTACTACATATTTAAATCTTACCTCATCGCCAAAGTTCAATTCTTTACAAAAAATCATTTAAACACTTGGTGAGATCCTTTTTATTTTGTGCTTTCTTCATAAATACTAAAGAGTCTGGTTCTAAGGTATCATAATAATATCTTTCACATGGGTTTTGAAATGTAGATACTTGCAAAGATGCATGTCCATTATCTGCAGAACTATTACCTTCAGTAACATAATTAAATTCAATGGAGAGGGATGTATTACAGTTTCCCTTATCAGTATTAGCAGTCAATGGAAAATCTTTCACATTTTCTTCCACAATATCATCGCTACATTCAAATGACCTTTTGCTTTCTTTGGGATCATTCAGATTTGATTTCTCATGAATTTTTTCAACTGCCTTATCAGTAGTGTAACCATAATCTATGATTTTTAAGAAGTTTCCTAAATTACGCTGAGCAACTACACTGTTTTTTGCTTCTTCAAAGAAGCCTACGCGATCTCTTGATGTTTTGGCCATATTATTTTTATCTGTATCTAGAGTAAATGTATTCAGTTAATTTTGCAAACAGTTCATGGATACTTTCTTCTTCTTTCTCTGGAAATTGAAATTCACTCGCCTTTCCAAATTCAGCATTATCCTTCGTATTTACAAACTCTTGAATGTTCGATTTTATTTCAGATGGATGTAGCTCAGGAGTAATAATTTGATAAGAAGCAGAGTTTTCGATGATTGTGTCTTTATGATTTTGATAAAAAGGGCTTTGTTTTTCTTTTTTGTTGCTGTTATAAGCTGGAGAGCAACTACATGTTTTCTTTAAGCCTTCTTCACTTGATACATGTAATGCAGTGTCATTCTCTACTTTAGGTGAACAGCAACTTGAGATGTTATTTTCCTTAAGAGTAGTTATTTTTTCCACAGGTGTACCAGAAATATCACTATGTGATATACCTAAAAGATCAGACTTCATATAATTAACTATAACAGATATAAAGCAATAAATATTTTGAACTCATAAAATTTTAATCTGCAAGGAAACAGAACAATATAAATTTAACTACTATAACTGCAATACATGAGCAAGATTAACAATATATAAATTTTTGGACAGTATTTAGGAATTAGAGAAATTCACGGTTTATAACTTAATATATATATTACATGTATAACTTTCACATATATAGTCATGATTTATAACTTATAGCTGCATTTCTAAATTGGAAGAAAAAGTGTATAAGAGTATAAGGTGACGTTAATACACACTTTTTTATGGTAAGATTCCATCATTTTGAAAATAATCCACTGATTGCTGTTCTGTAGGAAGCAGGTTCCAAATTTTAATACTTTTTTTAAATGTAAGTAAAAAATATAGCAATAATAGTTAATTTGTATCCTTATTCATAAAAATGAAAAGTGGTTACTGAGAGTTATTCAGTGTTACATCAAACAAAAGCACAGATGTTACACTTGTGTTGCTATGTCAAAGCATAGAAAACAAAAGCTCAAATGTTATGCTTATGTTGTTATGTCATGTTTACCCATAATTGTGCAGTTTGATGAGAGGATAATATATTTTGAGGGGATAATATATGTGCCGAAATCAGTTTATTCGTTTATGTAAATAAAACATAAGCACGTTTCAGAGAAACCAACATTCTATGCAGTATGTTATATACATTCTATGGTAATAATCCTGAAAGACAAATTTTTTTGTGCCATGAAAAAAAGTCTTCATAGTTTTACTTACTTTAATTTTTGCATTCCCATTTTTATCAATAAAGAAGTATTTCAGATTCTACTCACTATGAACCTACAGCTCCTTTAATATCAAGTGGTATTTTTTACCTTTCGCCTACTTGCTAATACAAATTACTCAAAATGGAAAACAATTATTTTTGACTTCTTGTAGTTTAAGAATTTACATAAGGCATCACGATGCACCGAGAAATCAGAACTTATCTATACTTATTGTTTAAGAAGTATCTAAGCAACAAATGACATGAGAAATATTTCCAAGCCTTATATCTGTATTCTTAAATTTTAAAGTTACCCTATATAGGTGGTGGTTCCAACTTCCTTTTAATCATATATACATATATAAAAAAAGACTTTACAACTTCTTCCTAAGCAGACATATAATACAGAAGGTAAATTACAAGCAAAATTTCTGATAACCATTTCAGGAAGTATTAAAGTTTCTTACAATGCTGAATACTCATTTTAATAATGAGATGGATACCTACATATAATGTTGTAACTTTCCATACATGTTTAAATTCATTTGAATGTAATATTATTATATTGTGCATTGTTTTATTTGGCTATTTATATATTTGTAGCTTCCAGTGTGATAATTTTAGGCCTTCTTTTGTATCCAATCCAACTGAATTTAAAGCCACATGTTTTGAACAAAAATGTTTATTTTGTAAATATATATGTAGATCTTTCAATTCTGAGCTCACAAAGTTTAAACTGTTCAAACTGTAAAAACAGCTCAACTACAAATAAGTTATGGAAAAAAATGCCCTTGATGATATTTAGAAGTTTTTCGGTAATAATGTAGGAAATTTCTCGTGCGCTAAGAAGGATTTACTTAAAACCTATGTTCTTCTTGAGCTATTTACAACTATTTATTTATGTGTCATTATTATTTATAATAAATTGTCAATTTCTTTCTTCTCAACTGAACTGATTACAAAGAGACGGCAAACCATGAAATTGTGGCTTACAACATTAACCCCTTCGAGCCGGGTAGCAAAAACGCGTGCTTATCGCTGAGGCCGGCAGTGTCTTACGCGAGCGTCTCTCCAGGGCCGGGGGCTTTTTTGCTACTAAGCCTAAATCCATGAAATTTACAAAGTATCAACGCATTGTTTAATAATGCTCTATAGAGTATTTAAACGGCTTATGCTTTATAAATATTTTTATATATATACTTTAATTACCTTATTTCTTGTTTAAATGCATATTTTATACATTTTATTTTAATTACTCACCATTTTATGAATTTTAACATTATACATCTGAAAACTAAATATATTACTTAAAATTCTCTTTTCGTATGAAAAATTTGAAAACAGGGATCTACACACAGTCCTACGTTACATTCCTTGAAGTCGTAATAACTCATTTGCCGTTTTGGAGGATTTTTCCGGGAATGTGAACAAACGAAGCATCGTCGTCTCATTTTCTTATCGGTCTCTTCTGAACAAAGTTTTGGAAAATGTCTTTCAGTTAATCTTTCAGAATCAATATCAGAATATCAGAATTTCAGAATCAATATCTGAAATATTTTGCATCATTTCTGCTATTTCATGCTCTGTTAAACATTTTCGACGCTTCGACATTGCAACGGTAAAAACAAAGAATTCACGTCTAACAAGATCTAATTATTTTCTAAAAACTGAACTGCAAACCGAAATACCCAACGCTTTAGAGCAAAATAAAACTTCTCTACTTACAGTAAACAACTACCACGTGCGAATAAAGTGCGAGTTAAAGAGACGTCATAAATCACGCCATTCGGAAACATTTATTTTCCCGTTTGTTTATATAACATGTGTATGTGAGTGTATGTGAGTATCAAAAACACGTGTATGTGAGTCACGCTTCTCTCATTTCGAGAAGAAGGTCTAATTTACATGTATCTGAAACCATATGGACATACAGTGCCATCTTGTGGCAGAAATTATAGTTTGAAAAACGTTCCAAAGTACTGGCACAAATACGTGACAGTCGGTAGAGAACGGAACAATCCTCTGGCACGCCTGCATGTCGGCCGGTAGGTAAGTGTGTTCATTGCTGGCACGTATACTTAACACTTGGCGCGAAGGGGTTAAGTGTCAGAATTCTGCATATCTTTGAATGCCAACAACCACAAAAGATTTAATGGCAACTAAAAGTTATCGTGGAAATAATTGCCGCAAGTTCCTTTGTAATGAATAGCACAATTGCAGTGAATCATTTGAAGCAAAAACACTGATAGAAGCAAATGCCACTCATATAAAAGGAAGTATCATAATGGCTTTTTCCAAGATGAGAAAAGAAGCAGAAGCAAATGCTGCTAAAAGAAAGCATAGTAAAAAGTCTGATATCTAGAGCTGCCCAGATTTCAGCAATTTTGGATTTTAGACCATTAATTCAAGTCTAGCAAGATTAGAACAAGCATAAATTATGCAATTAAAAATATCTGTGAATTAAAGCACATTTTTATGACTTTAAAGGAAATAAAATTTACAAACAAAAAAAAAAAAATTAGTGTTAATACAGTCAAAAGTCGTTAATCCGGACTCGTAGGGACTTCAGCGATTCCGGATTATCGATTTTTCCGGATTACAGATCATCAGTTTAAATCTGGTAAGATGGCATGCAGAAATTACAAATTTAAAAATATGAAACCGTAATTTATGAAATAAAGAACAATTATGATCTAAAGGGTATCAAAATTTACAAAAAGAAAAAGCTTAATATTTATTTGTTTACTTTAACAAATTAACACTTAATTAATTAATTTAACAATTAATTACTTTAACAAATTAACACTTAACTTACATTGAAAGAAATGTTTAAACATTTCTTTCAATGTAAGTTAAGTTGCTTCGTTTCATGTGATAATACTTTCTCTTTAATTCTATTAAACAGACATAATTTCTTGTTCAGTTACAAAGTTCCGCTGTTCAAGTCCTATAATTGCTGCGTCGAGAATACCGACTAATTTGTCAATCGAAATTTTTTCGTTTTCAATAACCTCTGTGTCACTTTCTTCACTATCGGAAGCAAATTATAATGACGACGAATTTGATTTAAATCATATCAAAGACGAGATGAAATACTACATTTAGTAAGGAATTATAAGCCAAATAAAATGAAAGCATCTGCCCTGAAGATAAGAATAGTGCTGACAGATCAATTTCCAATTTATTGCGTGCTGCGGCGTTGAATACATCTGCCCTGAAGATATGGATAGTACTGACAGATCAACTTCCAATTCATTGCGCGCGGTTCACTCCCCCCCATCCCCCACCGCAGAGCAGTGTGAAATTGATAAACAGATTTCGGAATGGTTAGGTAATTTTTTGCAGCAATTCCACTTTTGTTTAGTGGACTTTGAAACATACTTTCGCTTTGGTAGATCCTTTACATATTAGTAAATATATATTGGAAATTCTATTTGACATAATCGAAAGTTTAAGCTTACTTTTATAAAATTGCTCTAACAGTCTGCAAAAAATAATAAGCCGGATCCAATTCGAAGATTAAGGAACAACGCAATGTGCAACATTAACTGAATTAGATAATTTTAGCTTAGCTTATACCGTCCGTTATACATTAAACGCGCATGCGTAAACGTATTTTGTGCACGCGCACACACATATTCGCAGCCATAAAGCTCTTGTGTGCATGCATCAACGCTACGCATGCGCAGAAAGTTAGTAGGTTTGAGGTCAGAATTAACAACTTTTGGCTGTATAAGTTTCATTAAATATCTCTTTCAATGCAAGTTGTTTAAGCAATTTCCTTTTTTGTATTATTACTTCTCTTTAATTCTATAGAGAAATATAATTTCTTTCTGAGTTACAAATTTCTATTGTTTAGGTCCTGTAATTGTTGAATCCATAATTTTTATTAAATGGTCAACTGAAATCTTTTCATTCTTAACAACCTCTTTGTCACTTTCTTTGTTATCAATGGTTATATTTTTGGGATATTTTCATTGCAATGAAGATGTTATATTATCTTTGATCTTGTTAGATAATATTTGACAGTTGTTATATTCACTGAACATTCATTTACATTAATATTCCATTTATTGGAAAATATTGGGATTCTTTTGTATTAAAACCAAACCACTTGGTTTTTCCTGGGGAGGAGTACATTTCCTCAGCACCGAGTATCGTCTGTTTTGTTTTGTCTTGTCTACTTTAGTCAGGAGATTAAAGACTCATTAAGTCTCTCATATTTATTAGGGATCATGGTGTTTAACACGAACTCCAAACAGCATTCAAAGATCTGAAGACCGCTCTAATGAATACTATGAAAGTGGAGGCTGCACAAGTCAACAGAAAGGACCTTCATCCTGAAAGGGGAGTTAACAGCATGAAAGACTTAGTGCAGACAGCAGTGACACAGACGATGAAAAGACTTAAGCCAACAGAAGCATTTATGATTCAAAGCAGCCATAATAGTAAATAAAAAGGCTGGAGCTGCGGCAGTTAAGAACATTTATGAAGGCCGTATCCCAGGCATAAACAATTAAGCACAAATCATACAAAGAGCAAAAATTTGTGAAACCAAAAAACTTGGCTGTCATTATTTTACAGATATCATTAGTTCAAAGTGGAAATCATGAACTCTATGGTGTAGGAAAAATTAATGGATCTCATTGTTGCATGATTATAAACATAGACTAATGTAACTATTTTGAAAGCTAATATATACTGGCAAATAGATAAAAACTTGCTCTATGTAGCTTCATCTCTTATTTGAAAGACTATGACAATAAAAAATGTCAGCACAGAGAAAAATGAATGTGCACATCAAGTTTTTATTCTGCTTATATGAGCACAAAGTCTATGTGGCTGATGTAACAGATCCATACACCTTCAGACTTGACATTTTGAAAAAATATAGGTTTTTATATAGATGTCGAATATTACAAATTATATACCTCTGATGAAGAAATATCGATGTTCGCAGTAGATGAAAATGAAGTCAACTGCTATAAGATAACTGCCTCTGATAGTATTATTATATTTCCTATAACAGAATGCATCACTAGCAGTGTAATAAAAATTCATGAGAAGCTGTGGTTTGGAATCATCGATTTTTCTATGGAAGATATGCATTTGAAAGTGTTTTTAATAGTCATAATAGTAACACTCACAGACTTAGCAAAAGAAAACACGACAGTCAGAACTGCCAATGTAAGTGATAGCCTTATACTTTCACAAAGTGAAAGAAATTGCTTCATGTTTCTCTATGACAACTATCACGCAGACTTCTATTGATCAGAAGCAAAACACAGTTGAATTAAAAGGTTTACTTGAAAGCATAAAATTAAATGCTAAACAAATCTAAGCTGCAAGTCTCTTAATAGAGAAATTTAAGGATATATTTTCAACTTCATCTAGGTTGGTCACAAGAACATGACACAATACCAGATCAACGCTCAGAGCCATCCACTTATCGAGCTGCATTTTCAGTATCTTCCTTTCACAAAACAAGAGGAAATCAGAAAATTTTTAAATGAGATATAGGAAAATAACATTATTTTCTAGTCTCTGGGCATCACCTATCATCTTAATTCACAACATGGACTGCTTCAAGCAATTTCATGTCAATTATAAGCTTTTAAATGCATTACAAGGAAAGACCATTACCTTTTATTAGAATTATTCTACTGGATTTAACACTATCAAGAATCAACAGTGACTAATAAAAAACATGTTGTCAGTCACCAGTGTCTGACGAGGTTTGAATAGTAAATATAATATCAGTTCACCAATGACTAACATGGCACTTAACATGTTAAAGGTATTTTTATTATTAGGAAGAAGTTTTGTCAAAAGGTTTCACTACAATTCATGGATAAATATTGTTAATTTTGTTGTATCTAATTCTGAAGCAGTAAGCTAACAGAAACAATTTGGGATTTTCTTATGTAGAGAGATATCAATATGCTATTATAAGCCTTTAATAAATAAAATGATTGTAGCAAAATATGTCAGTTACAAAAATGTTGTGAATAAATCAAGTACAATAATAATTTTAAAATGACGATAATAGTAGTAAAAATAAACAGCAGATAAGCCCCAAATTTCTGAAAATTAAACATTCTCATTCATGCACTGCAAAGGTAAAATGGGAATACCATGCTTAGTGGTTAAAGTACATAATACTAGGTAAAGTATACGATGATTTGAAGTCAGAGATTAGAAACCAACTTCATGCAAAACAATTACAACGATTTAAGCAAGCTTGAATAACATTATAAATGACTCTCAGTATTCACATTAATACTGAATGTATGTACTAATTTATTTTCTTCCACTTCATAAATACAAGATCTGACAGAAAGATTGAAAGCAAATGCTCAGACACAATCAAGTTAAAAGTAGAAAAGAAATAAGAGTATAAAGCTCTTATAGCAGGTAACAATGTAAAATGAAATAAGGAAAAGAAGTTTCACTAAAACAGTTATGACATTCATACAACTTACGATAATGTGCTTATCCCATAGTTAGCATATTTTTGACAAAATGGTTTAACTGCTAGTTATCACTTATCAAGAATGGCACAACAAAAACTAGTTTCTGAGACTTAATCGCGGTTATTGCCCATTTTATGCCAGAAAGTAATTTATGTCATATCAGTTTTAACACCTCGAAACAAACTTGGTGGAAACTTACAACCCTTGCAACAGCACATTTTAACTATTTTTCTGACCTTCATTTGCAAAGACTTATAAATTTAGCGTTATTGCATTTTCTATTAAAACACACTTTATTTTAGGCATAATTATGATGCATCTAATTGAAGAGACTGCTTCTGAATTACTGAACTCAAGTACTGCATGCATCATTCTGAGTGTTGAACTATATCCACTCTACATAAATAATAGTGTAGCTTGATCAGACTTAATAATGCCACCCATGTGCTTGCCACATGAGATTCTAAATTTCTGTCCCAGGAGATTTTAAACTAACCAAATTTTGGTTGCACACTTTCTCAAAGCATTTAAAATGCATCATTTACAGAAATGTTTTACAAAAATGTGAGATTTAATGCTCTCCACACATTTTAAAAAGGAAAGAAAAGAAAAATTATCTTGCAAAATATGGGATATAAACAAACCCTAGGCAGATGTACAAGCATTAACGATAACTCTTTATGTAAGTTAAAATATTTCATAATTTTTAAATATGACATGCTGACTTTGCTCTCTTTTATAATGCACTCTTTTATAATGACTCCCTCTAAAACAGATTAATATTTTTAAGAATATACATAAATGTTGCTATGAATAATTATAAAATTAAAGAACTTCCTTCTAACAGGTCAGGTACCATCAGATACATTTGTTAAAGCAATTATAAAAGTCTTTTAGTTTGGCATTAACCTAAAGTACAAATCCTATAAGAAATCAAGAATTATATCTGCAGTTTATTTTAAAATAAAGGGATTTTTATGGGATAAACTTAATTAACCATGTTTGAATTTTTGATAGTATCCAAATTAGCACAGAGTAATTTATTCTATAGGATTTTTGTGACATAGCAGTCTTTAAATGCATAATCACATGCCTTAATAATTTACATCAATTCTTCCCACCACCCCAGTGCAGCTGGTAACATTTCCTAAATCCTAAGCACCAAAGAAATCCCTTTCCATGGAAAAAAACTGAGTAGATGTTCTAACATATTTTTTTTTAATTGAAATCCTAAATTCTGATAGCAAGTTAAAATAATTAAGTTGTAGTCTAGGCTATGATAACATCGCTGATAAAAGTTCGAATTGTTTGTAAAAACAATAGATTAACCAAATGAGAAGATAAAGTATGTTCACTTCAGAGAATGAATATTTTAATAAGTACTAAACACTTTTAAAGTTACAAAGTAAACATATAATGGAAGGTGGTTTTTCCCCCCCTTTAATTTTGAGATTTTTCTCACGATTTAATTTTCACACTTGGAACGGTAGAAACAATATCAGAGAAAGAAACTCTTTTTAAAGTTTTTGCTGTTATATTAAGCTACCATGAAAATATTATCCACTCAACTTGCCAAATATTATATGGAATCATAGATCATTAATTTAACTTCCACATTATATGTGACTGAATCTTAGAATGTTATCATTCAGCAAAACACAGATCTTTTACATTTAATTAGTCTGTAAATACTTGACAGAGAAATTTAAAACCAATAAATGCAGTTCTTAATCAGCTAAATCTTTGGTTCTATATTTTAATAATAAATATAATTGTTATAAATGAACAATGAAATTAATTTTAGGCTCCATTTTTCCAAACTAATTTCCTTGAAATATTTCATAAATATTTATTTACAATGACAATATGATATTTCAAAGAATTTTTTTTAAAAAAATTAAACTGACTTTAACCCAGTTTAATTAATCATCACAATTCCATCTTTAAATCACTGAATAGATTTTAAAAAAATAATCTTCTAAATGAAATTATTTCAGAAATGTTAACATAATTTATCAAATTATAGAAGTTTTCAGAAAATTATTCAATTATAACTTTAATGACTAAAACTGTGCTATGGTTTATATAGCCAGCCTGCCTGCGCGCATGTGTGTGTTTTCGCAAAAATAATTTAATAACGTTTCTTTTTGCAGAAATAATTTTTATTAACATTAGAAGATTTTTATGTATTAATACATCCTCAATAAATACATTCTGACTGAAATAAGTATAATACCAACTTACATCTTTTCTTTGGTTTCTTGAATGTTGGAAGAGGTTCCAAAAATGGTCTACCATGGCTACCATCTGTTCGAATGCTTGCTTCAGCCTGAATCAGTTGTTATGCTGAAGAAACCTAATAAATTAACCAAGAATTCAAATTCTTGAACATAAAAGTTAAGTTCTTTAAAATTCAAATGTTAATATCAAGTTTCATTTCAGATTTTAACAGAGCAATCGCATTCAACATAATATTTCTACTACACACTTATTTTAGTCTTATTACGTTATTATTATGAGCAAAGCAAAACACAGCCCATACATGAGACCTGTGATGATTTTATGGACATGATTTCTCAAGATGAGAAAAATAATTATATGGAATTATTGCTAGTTTGCCAGGCATTTATGGCCCATTGCAACAAACAATTCATTTCCTATGTCCCATTGCAACAAACAATTCATTTCCTGTTCTTATAATAAATAAGTCAAGGAATAATAATGAGTTCTTTGTTTGCTGTTTGTAAGTTAAGAAACACATTAGAAATAAGAAATATCAAGGTTTTGAATTCAATTTCAAAATGCTCCTTAAATATAAAATACAAATCCTTAAATGTTAAATATAAAAATGTCATTAATAGGTTTCTTCTAGAATAGGATTTTTTTTTTTTTAATTATCCTCCTCCTCCCCCCACAAAAAAGTGCTTTTTTTCAACATTGCATACATGCAAAACTTGTTCAGAGATTCATTGAAAGTAATGTGCTAAGCCAATACAAAATATATATAATTAAATAACTAACAAAAGTAACTAAAAAATTATACATTTTTAGAATACAACTTAACTACCCAAAGAATGTACAGATTGCATCAATATTTAGGAATTATAGTTACAATTTTTCATAATCCCTAATTTCATAATCCTCTGGAAGTTGATCAGAAAATAGAGAAACAAAGCAATAAAAATAAAAATATTACGAGACATTCCCGTTCAAGATGAGTAAATTGAAAATCAAAGAAGAATCAAATCTCCGAGATCAACAGAGAGAGTTACAGCATACAAAAATGGCATACTGAGATTCACAAACAAGAGTATGACTAATGAAAATAGCACATCTATGATTAAATATGTCTAAAGGATTAGTCACATTAAAAAAAAGACAAGAATAAAGTTAAGATTAGTAAACCCATCCATCAAAGTATCCTTAAAAACACAGAAACAAATTACTCCTATGTTATACTACAATACAGGACTTCTAATCACCCAATTCTGCATTTGGATGCCCACTCAGCAAAGACAAGTAATTCTAGTTACTTTAAGCAAAATTGCATGTGACTCAAATAGTATAAATAGTGCGTTTTTCTGCCTTTTTTGTGCTTCCTTGAGACATTTTCATGTTTTTTTATTAATGCTTCATTAATTATAATTCCTTTTTAAGTAAATTGAACACTGTTTGGAAAATTCCCAGTTTCATCATAGATTTTCTCTGGGTCCAATTAACAAAATCATTAAAATCTGTTAATAATTTATCATTTTCTTTCAGGTTTAAGTCTTTTTGCTAGGCATTTTCGACACGTTACAAGTTAAGCACATAAATATATATATATAAAAAAAGAAAGAAACTCTTCCGGTGACATATTCAAATTTTACATTTCTAACCAGCAGAAAGATTTGCTTGCTTAGTTGATCTGTCATATTATGATTATTACATGACTAATCTTTCTTCGTTTTTCCTTGAGTCTACAGTTACCACTTCCATATTCCATTCAAAATCATAAATATACTGTAATGCTAAGGAGCATTACTAGAGCTTTTTTTAGAACTCTCTGTAAGCCTAATGTGAGTATCCCAAAAAAGATTTTGAATGTTCAGATTTTAAAAGATGAGATACAGAAGTTGTTTTTCCATTTTCTATCAGCTGATATGCAAGAAGGAACCCTCACCCATTTATAATACCTGTAGAGGATTGTTTTTGTTAACCCTATGATAAGGAAATTCCAGCCCTTTGAAGTTCAGTGCAGAGAAAGAGTAACGTTGCACAGGTACAGAGAAGGGGTTAGGAAATTTTAGGTTAACACACATTAAAGCACTACAACCTGAACAATAAAGCCATGGTACAGAGTACATCAAACGAATGAACTATGAAAAGCTTTGATAAGTAGGATATTCTGAAGAATCAACCTTTTGCCAATCTGAGTTTAATAAGTGGTGGAGATAAATTTAATAAATAGCAGATTTTGTATTGATTAGTATGTATTTGTTTTGGTCCTGGAAATTGAATGCAACAAGTGGCTGAGTTTATTAACCCTTTGGGTACGGATTTATTTGACAAAAAATTTGCACGTGGAACGGATATAATTTTTGGTTGCTTGGAGTAGAATGTAAAAGCAGTAGATTTTACATACGAATTTATTTATTTCTAAAATATTGGTGATATATGTAGTATTAAGATGTCTTCAAGTAATTAGAATTGCAAAACAAAAATAAATTAATAACAACAAAATAAAACTAAATGAAATAAATTCAAGCTATAACAAAAAAACCAATTACTAATAATTATGCAGAGTGTGATATTTTTCAAAGTAAGTAAGTAAATGCAGTGCTACTTTGCATTGTTTGCACTCCCACATAGTCTCTTTCCTAATATTATGCTTATAACAAACTCGGCACCTTTTTCCAGGGTGTTGCTTGGACTTAGTTGACGGAATGTTCTCAGGAAAGTGTGCCCAATTTTTCGCTGCCAAACAAAATGATGTATCGCTACTTGATGGGCATCCATGACGTTTATAATTTGGCAATGACAATTGCTCCAGCAATTCTTCGGCAATAGCTAAACGAAAGGAAGTAATGGTACCTTGGTTGTGCAGTTGATTTTAGAATATAAAATAGTATTATAAAAGAATAGCATTATTATAAAATGCCATATCTATTAGATAAAAAAACATTTTCTTATAACCCTTTACACATTTTCTCGTAACTGGGAAGCACGCTAGCAATTGGTCTTGTTTATCAACGCCTCCCATACCTTTATTATACTCAAGCACAGATACCGGTTTTATAATATTTTCGCTATCGCCACCTTCATTTTTTCTCCTTTTGCTTGTGTTTATCAAATCAGCATTTGAATGTTTTGTGCTAAGTATGTGAATTATCCGCTCCTAGGGAAAACAAGCGAATGACGTCTCTCAGATGTCAAATGTACCCAAGAGTTTAATTTTTGGTTCGACGTCTTAGACACGCCAGCCACTCGTAGGGGAAAAAAGTGAATGACGTGTCTCAAACGTCAAATGTACCCAAGGGGTTAAGCAATAGGTACCATATTTTGATAACATTAAAAAATGATGAAAAACACAAAGAAATAATTATTTTTTAATGAAAATAATCCCATATAGGTAATTTAGAATTCATCTTTCTAAATGATTTAAAATTAAGACAACTAGTAAATACAGATAGAGCACTGGCCTTAAACTGGCAGCCTAAAAGCTGCACGTGTCATAGCAATTTTATGTTGCCCATTTAATACATTTCAATTATACGTTTGTTGCAAAGATTTCAATTATTTGAAGTCCGAGTTTACATTATCTTCATTGCCATTAAAAATGAATGTAATTTACACACCAGAAAATCTAATGAGCTTATTAATTTACAGTGTGATATAAATATTATTCAAAGATTCGAAGATACAGATTTCATTAACTTACATTCAAATTTGTCAAAAAAAAAAAAAAAAAAAAAAAAGAGTACACTTAATTACAAGTTCTTGCACTAAGAATAATTTCTTTCTTTGGGATTACATTTATATGTGAACAGCTTCCCACCCTATGGTTAAAAATTAATAAGAAAGAACTCAACTGACTGATGAGTATTGGTGTGATGAAGAAATTCTCTAGCAATTTTTTTCCAGTATGCGGACATCATATAAACAAATTTATAATAATTTACATAGAAGGATATTTAATTTATGTGGAAAAGAAAAATTAAACAAATAAGAGAAAAAGATTAAGTGGACATTTTTTATTCTCAGATTTATCTCACTTGCCACCCAGACAATATAGTAGTTAGAGGAGCCTACTGCAGACTGAAGAGCCTGGGTTCGAATCCTGGAGAAGACATAATGTTGTAAATGTATATTGTCTTTGAGGCATGAGGGCACTCTAAATATATATCAAGCCAAAAGTCATCTCATGTAGATTGCTGGTAGGGAGGAAGGGGTGGGAATTTTGGAACACACACTAGACACAAACTAGGGTGGGAACAGAAGTCCAACCTCCTCTGGGCTCAGGCAACTATTCTTCCATGAAATTCATGGACAAGACAACAACAATTTGTCTCACTTAAAAAAATTTTCTCTGAAAATGTAAAAAGCTTTCATAATTTGCTAATTTTTTTTCAAATTAAATAAGTTACTTAAAGATTAATTAAGCATATTAGAATTATTTGAAACAAATGCGAATCTGAAATATTAATATATATTTAGTTGTCAATATGTTTAAATTACAAAGGTAACCAACAAAAATATTTTGCAGATACCAAACATTCAAACAGAAAATTAATATAAATTTGAATTTTTTCCCTTTGTATTATTATCGTTGTTAGGTTCATTCTGATAAATATTTAGCAAGGAAAAATTTAAAATTTAGTCAAAACACTTATTTTGTTGATAAAAAAATTTTATTTCTCTAAAAAAGAAGAAGAAAAACTGGGCCGCCAGTTGTTTTTAGATTATGATTTTGGCCTGCTTGCAATTTGAGTTTAAGACCTGCTTCCAATTTGAGTTTAATATACAGAACTGCAATTTATACATAACTACAAAATTTCATATTAGATTTTATTTTTGATTTCAACAAACAGTGCACACAAGAACTAAAATTAGAAATTTTAAAATCAACACATTATATTATGTTCAAAATATATTTTATCTATTAAGCTAATGGTATAAAATAAAAATTTTATCAACAGTTTGTATTTAAAAGCAGAGATAAAATTACTTTTTAAGCATTTCATTTTATTTTATGAATGAGAAACGGACTTTCATAAAATGGGGAAATATACTTTACCTATCGATTAGCAATTTATATTTAACTTTATTTGTGGCAGACAAAACTGATAAGTTTAACACAAGAATTTCTTTAGAGGTAGAATTGTACTAAATCAGTGACTTTTTCAGATGTTAATTATAAATTAATCTCAAACCATGTAATTATTGAAAATAACAAAAATTTAATATTTTGCAGGTTAGCAATTATTGAAGTCTTCTTTAAAAATCTAATTATATCAGAAGTTTTTAAAATTCATGAAAAATAATTGTAGCTAAAAGTAAAAAGTTATCTTGAAAGCTTTATTTCACTAATCAATTTCTAATAACTTATTTTTAAAAAGTGTTATTTATATTTGACGAAAAATACTGTACCTGTTTTTTTATGCAATCATTGCATACTCTTTCTTTCTCGTTTTCCTCTGCTAATTCTTGCGAATTTTTCGTAAACATCAAATCATGATCACTGATTCCAAATATATCTAATGTGTGAAGAAATGCAATATGCTCATCCAAAGACAAATCAGTTTTACGCTGTTTAGAATGCATCTGAGATAACTGAACTTGTGTGGCTGAATAATGATGATCTTCAAAAGTAAATAACTCTTTAAGTTCTTCTTTTGAGAAGTACCTGAAAGTATTTTCCCATAAAAACTATAGATTTAGCTACTTAAATTATGTTGCAGTTAAAAAAACTGCAATCTGAAAACTTCAGATTACTGTCTAATACCTTAAAGAGTTTTATATTAAAAATAAAAGTTAAAAAAAATTAATGTAAAAATTAGAAGACTAAAAATTTATAAAGTAAAAAGGAAAAGGCCTGATCTTGGCATGCATATTTCAAATTAGTAGCCAAACAATTTTAAAGCAAACAGTTATCGCAGGCTAACTAGTTTAAAAAATAGTCTCTTATAGAAATAAAAGATATAAAACATAAAATCTTAACTGATACTTTTTTTCTTGAATTTATGATAATGTGAAAATAAATTATTATTATTTGCATGTGAAATATTTTTAATGCAAAACCTTAGGTCACAAATATTGCTCATATTATTTACCTATATGGATCAGAATGGGATGTGGCTTGCCTTGTTAATGAATCTTTAAATATTTGACGACGATATATTTTTTCTTCTACAGAGCCACATGTGATTAATCTATAGACTATGACATCTTTTAACTTCCAATACGATATGCTCTGTCTACAGCTTGAGCATCCGAAGCGGGATTCCAACTGGGGTCAACTAATTAAAAAAAAAGGTAAGACAAAGTGTTATTCTTAAGTATTTTCTGAACATGCATTTAAGACTGAAATATAATTTTTCTTACTAAAATTAGAGTGAAATATATTTTCTGTGCATAACTAAATGGAATTATCAGGGTTTATGGCAGTTAACAGACCAAAAAATATTAAATATAAATAAAAAAAGAATATTTTATGAATATTTACTTTACATCAAATCTTTGCAAATAGCAGCAAGAAATAATAAATATTCAAATTGCTCAAAATGTTTCATAAGCAAATATTTAAAAAAATATTTTAAACAAAAAGTTATTTCTATAAAATTCATCTTTGACTTCTCCAACAATGTATACCTTTCCTTTAATGCATTTAAATTATATTAAAGCTTAACTGAAGAACTGTCAGCTGAATGAGCATAATATATTAAAATGTTTCTCTGTGTACACGAGACAAGCTATTATAATAATAACATAAAATTCTGACATAAACAATACTTACAGCAACAAGTAGTCATTCCATATTACTACGAGAAAATATTACCATTTCTGATACATAAAAATAAATATATGAATTTATTATATCAAACTATGAATTGAAATCAATCAGCTTAAAATTAAAAAATTTAAAGCTTCATATGCTATTATTAAATATAATGAAAATCATATTCAATCAAACACTTCTCATTATTTTAATATAACTTTCATTGGTTTTTGAGAATAACAAATGTTATAATATGATGAGCCAGAACCAATAAAATTTAAATGATTTAAATAAATAAAAAATTATTTTCAAAAACTATTGAAATAAGAGCTGGATAGAGTTTGTCACCTAATAGATTCCCAGTTTCAAACTCCTAATAGGAGTAAAGCGAATTATTGCTGTGTCTGAAATGAACTACAAAGTGTTGGAAAGGTTTTAAAGTAACCTATTTATTTTTAAAATAAGTTCATATTTTTACATCCAGTTATAAGAAAAATTAACAAAAACAACAATTTAAAAACCTAAATAGAGTAAAAACAAGTTCTTACGTAACTGCTAAATAAACAGGCATTTAACAGTTAAATTTTTATTTTATGCTATAAGAATAAGTCTTGACGAAAACCAGAGATTTTAGAAAACATTTACTTTCACAGATTAAAAGTTTATTTGGAGGAAAAATTATGGTTAAATCAAATATAATTCATAAGAAAATAATAATTTGTAAATATATATCATATTCCAAAATGCACTGTTAATATCAACCAGTATCAAATTAATATTTGAAATCCTTTGACCTAAAAATCACAACAGTAAGGATATAAAAAGCTTCATTTATTATAGGCTCAAAAATGAAGATTTGAAAGCAGTTATGTTTAATAAAGACTTATTTACTGAGCCAGGTAAAGGAATTCTATAATATAGAAGCTGTATTAACAAAAGAACATATTATTCTTAGGTTGAACTTTATTGAACAAAAAGCAAAATTTTTACTAAATAGCAAAAATTAAACTAAACATATTTGTTTCAGAGAACTAAAGTAGAAGTAGTGGTATTATAGGGTGGGCAAAATAAAACCAGTGCTTGAAAATATATTTATAAGATTTACACGGAATCGGCCCTTTTTCATGAATCTGAGTTATATTTTGAGAGGTAGAGAATTCTAGAAAGTAAATTAACAACTTTTCTTTCCAAGACTAATTAATTCAAAATCAGCTATATGTTATCGTATAAAAAAATTGTCCATTTTTTACAGTAATTTAAAGAAAACATCACGATTTTGGGAACAATTTAAAAAACTAATAATAATCTCAGCTTGGGTAAATATTACAGAAGTAATAAAAAAATGAAGCAGCTATAAGCAATTCCTTATTTATTTTTACAGGAATATACTTCTAAATAAAATACGAAAATTAAAATTTTTTCTCAACTAATGAAACTATACATACTAATAATATAATCCAAAAAATCTAATGAAAAATGCTGATTTATTTCACTCAGCACTATTCATGCTTATACAAAAGGAATTTCAACAGAAATACAAAAATTTAATCAAAATGTAATTGGGGAAAAAACCCATGAAGACTCTTCATTTAAAATGTATTTTGATCATGTTTTGTTCTCCTATCCTGTATTCAAATATATAGGACATGTCACCCACATTACCCAAAAGCTTGATAAGAATTCTGAAATGTTTCAAATCAAAAATCCACCCATGGAATTCCTATTAAAATTTCTTACCAGGATCATGCAATATAAATTGCTCAAAGTAGGAACACAGATGGAATTTTGCTTGGTGAACTTCCTAGTCTCTATCCTTTAATTAAGGAAAATTATTTGGTTACAAAGTTTAGTTAAAGAAGACTAAATTTCAATTTAAAAACATCTAGTGACTGTGCAAAGAAGGAGAAAGCATAGTAATTTGATTTGAAAGAAGAATAGTTCAACCTGACGTATTGTACTTATATTCTATTATACAAAATTTACCATAGAATTTTAACTGCATTTTGCATTTTTTTTCACAGACTATAATTTTCAAATGTGTTACAGAGAATTAAACTATATTTCACTTTAGTAACTTTATAAACATAGAAGAATTAGACATGTTTTAAGTTCTTTTGTAGCTAATTTAGGTAGAGAGGTCTTAAACTTTAACCCATTTCAAATTGATACATGGAATTCTTCCACCTAAGAATTACAAAACAAAGATATTAAATATTTCCTTCCGCTTTTGGCATCAATGAGTCAGTGAGCTACAGGAGTTCCTGTTACATAACAGGCTTCTTCTGCGATGCCTTTTCCCATTAGATTTCACATATTTTATTAAAATAAATGTTACTGGTGAAAACCGACCTTCTATGTTTTATCAGCACCTGAAGTAAATGTTACAAGTTACTGCTTAGAGAATAGAAGATATTGGCTGCATGATTAATCATTTCAAGTTGAATTTAAAATATCATAATTATTATTTCAAGTAAAAAATAATTAAGTGCATAAAATAATATTTTAAAATACAGAACAAAGTCTGAAATCCGGACGTCCATTATCCGGAATGATCTAAAATCAGGACCTCAAAGCCAAAACCTGTTTTTTTTGTGTGTGTGCTTTATGCATGCGCATTTAATTTTTCCTTCCATAATAAAATGTGTGGAGATTTTCACTTAAAAATTTTGATTCTTAATTTCATTTAGGCACTAAATAAAATACATCGTTATGAAAAACAATCATGTAAGCATAAATTTGTGAGATTAATAATTTGGCTCTGCAGCTGAGTGTCTGCTTGGCATTACTTCTCAAACTGAAACATTCACTTATTTTATAACCCTGATGCTGACCTGGTGAGTCATTATTTATTATATTTTGCTTTCAACACCACATGTTTATCAATACATGACAGCTTCATTAATAACTCATGCAGTGATGTCTAAACATTTCTTTTATACTAGTAATTGAATAACAAGAGTAAAGCAACCTTTTCTGCTAACATTACACTTGGCGATGATTATAGATTTTTTAAATGCTCTAAGGAACATTGACGAGGAAAAATTCAACAAAAATTTCTTTTCATATGCTAAAAATAGATTTTGTTAATGAAACATATAGGCCAAGAGAGTGCCATTTAGTGCTATTTTTATTAAGAATAACAGATATATTATTCATCCTAAACCCAGAAGTGTCGGCAGAATTTAGTGAAGATACTAGACCTCAGAACTTGGGTGCAATTTTTGTAATTTGGGGAAGCACCAAGCGGCAAAATTAAGGGATGAGAAGTTTATTTATAATTAACACTGGGATCCAAAGTTCAGGTGCAGCAAAAATTTAGAACTTAGGAGCTTTGTAGCAGAATTTAGAAAATGCAACTGGCGGTATCTAGCACCTGCCCTATATATAAAGCCTTAAGTATATGTGGTTTATTTATTCAGGACTCGGATATGTTTTAAGCATGTGCAAGAAATAAACGTAGGTATAGTAAATAACTAACACAATTCAGGCTTAATTCAGTATGCAATAGGAGCAAGATAAAATTTGGCAGAACAAGTTGGCTTTCATCGCCAATCTTGTGATACACAGCCAACAATGTATAGCGGATGCTATTAAGCTAAGCTAAAATTATCTTAACTGATTCTAAGGCATTTTAGTTAATGTAGCAAACTGCGTGCTCCCTATTCTTCTAATTTGATCTAGCTTATTATTTTTTGCAGACTGTTATTATTACGGTAATTTTATAAAAATTAAGCTTGAACTTCCAATTATATTGAAAAGAGTTTCCAGTTCTGGAGCTGCCAAAGGATCTACAAAGCAAAACTATGTTTCGATGTCCATTAAAAAAAAAGTGAAATTGCTGAAAAATAGATAAAGGCATATTCATCTTAAAATTATGGGAAGAGTATGGCATTGGAAAGTCAACTGTATATGACATAAGAAAAAAGAACTTTTTGAATTTTTTGTGGAAGCAACTTAAACAACTTACATTGAAAGAAATGTTTAATAAAGTAAACAAATAAATATTAAGCTTTTTTTGTAAATTTTGATACCCTTTAGATCATAATTGTTCTTTAGTTTATAAATTACGATTTCATATTTTTAATTGTATAATTTCTGCATGCCATCTTACCAGATTTAAATTGATGATTCTGGATTTGAGACTTTGTACTTTATAGACTTTTCAGAATTTATACTGTACATGTAATTTTTAAGCTAAATAACTTACATTATCAATTCATTTAACTCAGCATTTTAAAAAACGGAAAGTAATTGCTTCTCCCTTTTTTTATGTGGATAAATTACTTTGTTACAACTAGTGATAACTGAATTAATTTAAAATTATCACTACTTTCAACCTATGATCTTAAATTTAAAATTAAATTTTAAGCACAAATTAGGTTATTTGATTTAGTCAAAGCACATAAAAGCTCTCTGTCTGAGCCCCATCTCAATTTTACTAAGGTTATTCTGGTAAATAGAAAAATTTTGAATCCTTTTCTTCCTTGCCACAACTTCTCAACAAGACTTTGGGCTCAACAGATTTTTAGTACAGTAGAAGTTCAGAAATCTGCAGAGCTTGGGACCAGAGGATGTGCGGATTTTAGGATTTTGCGGATTTCAGGATAGAAAAGATAAATCATAATATCCAGATTAAAAGTATAAAATAAAAAAGGCGTATTAGATACATTTAATTAAATTATTATATACATTATTGCAATAACTTAATATATGCGTTAAATTGTTATTACATATATAAATTGATTATATTATTCATTGTATTATTATATGTACACAGCATCGAGGTTTGCCGATTTCGCCTCATGCAAAGAATTCCGGTTTCGGATTTCAGTGTTCAAATCACTGTTGCTGTAAAAATTTCAAAAGCTTTTCTTTATTTATCCGTATATCATACACAATCGTGTTGCAATTCCATACGATTCTGCTATAAACTGAGGAGTAGCACCTGCTTCCATCTTTTGCAGAATTTCCACTTTTTGCATTACCGTCAATGCAACGTGTTTGCGTTTTTCAACATTGCTAGCAGTAAAGTCATGAGTGTGTTTCTTATCTGTCATTGTATTAAAAAGGGCAAAAATTTAAAATATTCTTAACTTATCCACAAAATATCTGGATAAAAAAAAAGGCAGCACTAAAAAATCTCGTGGAATAACAAAGCTCAAATACAACGACATGAATTGTGAACTTGGAAGAAGAGTTGAGTGAATCGTCTGCTTTCTTACCTTGATGCAGATTAGAGGAGGAAAAACTTTTTATCATGATGTCAATAATTTGGTATTTCCATTATGACTCATTATTATTCGGTAATTATGACATCATTATTCAGTAAGTATTTTTTCTTCGATATTTCATACTCAATGTTGCGGTTTCCGGAACATATAACTGAATGTTTATATTTTGAGAGACAACACGGATTTCAGGAGTTGGCGGATTTCAGGTCGGCGGATTTTTGGTATTTGACTGTACCCCCCTACCACAAAGATATTACAGACACAAATATTCAGGCCTTACCCAGGATTCAAACCAAATCCATCATTATGGAAATTTATTAAGCAAAAGGTAATGAGTAAATTGTGAAATACCATATAACCTTTGCAATACTGGATTTACACAAATGACTTTGCTAAATTTATATACTAAAAATTTTCAGAAATTTCAAAAAATTTTTGCTGCATGGGATTTTTTCAACAATTTTTCAAAAATCTTACAACCAAGAATTTACAATAATGTCTTCAAAACAGATGTATTATATATACAACAATAATAAAAATAACTAGAATGAAAATCAGTACACATTATACAATAATATATGTTTTAAAACTGATACCTATAATTATAAACCAGTCAAATAATTGTTTTTTAATTTTGTTTTGACACTCATTATGAATATTTTGTACTTCAATATAATGAATGCTGTCTTGTAACATGTTTTTAAGTTTAAAATACAGTGGTATACATTAAAATTATTTAAGTATGAAAAATAATCCAACAATTATAATAGAAAATTACAAAACAAGGAAATGAATCATAAATTAATGAATTTAATTTCATAGTCACAAAATGTATAATAATCTTGTAAATATAATTAAAAAAATTTGCACTAAAAAGAAATCATTACCCTATTTATTACTAGTGATCAATTTCCCAAATAATGCCAATAAGAGAAAGCACAGGGATTTTTTTTATCTAATTACTACACATACTTTTCATTTTAAAAATTACAAGCATTATATATTTGTTCTAAAAATATAATTACAGCAATAATGTCTTCTGCTTTAAGTTCCTCACAAATTGAGATTTATTGAATTTAAGTATAATTAACAACAGGAATAATTTAATTTAGTATACTGATAGAAATATTATTTCATTTTTTACTTGTATTTAACAGGGAAATAAAAAAAATGCAGTAAATATATACATACAAATAACAACTCTATCAGCAGCGGTTAATGTAATGCCAATACCTCCAACCTGAAAGGCATATTTGAAATTTTAGAAATCATTTTCATATAAAATATATTTCAATATCAAAACTGATAAAATGATAAAAAAATATTAAAAACTTATCACACCATCATTAAAAAATGTTAAGTATCACAAAGTAACTGAAACTTAAAAACAAACTTGAGGTTTGTTAGGCTTTGCAACTTTTCGAAGTATAAAAAGCCAAAAATAGCATACCATTATGAACTAGTTTGTTAATATTTTGTAAGTGAAATTGTAATTGTAAGTGAACTCTTTCTACTTTTTTATAAATTATATTTTTGTTTACTGGTACGTAACTATCTTCTTGTACCACATAATGGAAAATAATAAAGTGATAAAACAGCTTAAGATACAAATACAAAGAGTAATTTTAATTTTAGAAATGCAAAAAGATTTATATTGTAAAATACCAATAAAAAATATGATAAAATGATTCATAAAGGAGTAAGCAGAGAAACAAAATAAAGAATGACATAATACAGTACAAAGTCCGAAATCCGATAAAGATTCTTCTTTGAAATGAAAAAAAAGTTTTTCTTTGAAATTCAAAATTCTTTGCTTTGCAGCATTAAATTTACCTTTTGGGAGATGGTTTTCTTGACTATGGTTTTTAATTTCGCCAAAGAGGCCCAACTGGCAGCTTTAGGCATCTTAGATTCTAACTTTAATGTTCATTGTTTCAAATTGGTGCTTGATATGAGGTTCTTGCAAAGTTTTTTGTAGAATTATTGCTACTTTGTGGATAGTTTATAATTTTAAGGAATTTATTTATTCAGTGAAGATATTTCATATTTTCACTACTTTTTTTTAAGTATTATGGGTAAATTTTCTTTAGGGATGGTTCATTTCAAATTCAGGATAATCCTAATTTATATAATTTTACTTTGTATTTTTGCTTTATTTTTCTTTGCTTTGAGGAGGACTAGAGTTTTCAGGTGAACTGTTGAGATTAAAAAATATATTGTAATGGTTCATCAGCTAATTCTGGATACAGAAAAAGCAAGGTTTTTCTTATAGGAGAGGAAATGTAATTGATTCCGGTGTATCCTCCTCCTGATGATGTTATACCGGAGTTAACTGGATTCCTCTTCTTTTGTATCCTTTTTATTTTTTACTTTATTTATTTTAGGTTTTTCTTGAAATGGTTTATTTTAATTTTGACATTTTTACAATTCTTATTCCACATTTAAAGGACTTTTTGAAATTTATCGATTAATAATATCAATTTTTGGTCTTTGCGAAAAATCAGTTTTAAATTTCTTTCTTTATTTATATGTATATATATGCTAAAAACTTAAAAGTAATGAACTGAAATAAAACCTTGAGTTAAAGAATGAGCTTGTAAGGATTATGGTAATTGTATTAACAGTTAAATTTAAACTTCCTTTTCTATTGCCTCTTGATTTCAATTTACCACTTCCTGCCAGAATGTAGTTTTAGAATCACGTCTGAATGCTAATGAGGAAGAGTGGTATTTAAATGCGAAGTTCTACTGTCTTAGCGAGAGAGATACCAGATATTCTGGTCAGAATGTGTCCTCCTTTTTAGGCTATTCTCTTGTAAGCTATTATTACGCTCGGCCATACTTTAGGCCCATGATAGCTTTTCAGTCAATTAGCGTTAAGGGGCCAAATCTGTTACAATTTTGATAGCTTCAGCTATATCTGTTAAGATTAGTTTAGTTTGATTCTTAGTTTCTTAAATTCAAGCCCAAGTGTCGGCTTTATTGTACAACTCCAAGACAGAGTTCTGTTAAATCTTATTTGAATAATCCAAGTTTATTTATTGTCTCATGAACTCAAGTGACTATTCGCTTACTAGTTCTTAAGATTCTTCACTTTTAACTGTAACTTAGAATTACACAGTGGGGAATCCTACAAACTAAAAGCTGCAATAAATTTAATAGCAATAACAACATTAATAAGTTGAAAATAATCATTTCAGAGAAGTAAAAACTTAATACTGTAATGTCAAAAACATTACAAAAGAATTAAAAAACTAAAATTGAAAGTAATATATCTCAGAACATTTCTACAAGGATTGGTACAATAGGATAATGTAACAGGGCAGCCATGATTCTTAATTACACAATGATCAATTTTATAAAGGCAAACATTTTTACAAATCAGTAAGTTCTTACCATTGAAGCAAAATGAAGTACCTAAACAGCTGATAAATGCTCACTGTATAATAATTACACATGTTTTAAAAAGTATTAAATATACAAATTTTAAAAAGCAATTCATATATGAAAACTTAAATTGTAATGATAATTTTCTTATTGGACCTAATGTGTTTGAAAGAAAAAATCAATGAAATATAACACCAGCAAATGAAAAAAAAATTCTGCCACCCTTTTCACTGGTTTTCTTGGAGAAAATTAATTATTTTGCAGTTTGTTGTAGAAATAATAAAACACTTATTTTCAAGTAAGTTAAATTACTTTCAATAAATTTATCCTCTTTAACAGCCCTACAAATGCAACACTATTTATTTCTTTCCTTTTTTTCTGGCTTTTTAAGTTTGCTTTGTCCTGGAAGATACTCAACCGTGACTAAAACATGATTTTTATCTTAAAATTGACTACTAATTTATTCTTATTAATTAAAAGAAAGTTTTTTGAGTGTAATTTTGACAACAAAAGTTATAAACAAGACACTCAGATGAAATAGGAACTAGCCAGGGTACTTTAATTTTGTACAATTCTGCTGGCATAACCTTTTAAAATGTTGGATGCTCAAACACATAAAAAAGATCATTCAGAAAAATGCTGGATGGATAAATATAAAACAAATGAATAAAAGCTTAATGATCATAGATACATTTTCAAATATACCAAAAAAAAAAACATTTTTTTTAATTGTGAGGATTTATCTGTTTATTTTTGTTTCTATTTATTTATAATTAATTCTGAGTTAAGCAACTTTCCTATCGCTCTCCTTTTGCCCCACACTTTTCACACCAGAATGTAAGTGCACATTTTATTCAGAGTGAGGGAAAAAGAAGTGCTATTTAAGCAAAGGTACTGGAAATTGATTTCAGAATGTGTTCTGCCTACTTGTGGCCTTGTCAGCATTATTAAATGGCAATTTGATTCTGTGGCATTGAGTGCTTCTAGCCATTAGGCTTGCCTCACCAGTTTTCTGCAAACCAGAGCCTTTCTGGTGTTATTTTATCCTATGAACCGTTAGGCTAATCTAACTATATTCAATTTTAGTTCAACATTACTTGTCTAGGTAAGTTAAGACGGAAATGTTTGCTTGTATAAACCAAAGGTGGGTCATTTTTATTTCTTTTTGTTCAAATAAAAGGGCCTTCTTCTGAATTTGTCTGTCTATATTTTTAGACAAGAAGATTATTCCTCAATAGCCTTTCTAGAACTCATGAGTTTATGCTGCCAAAGAAAGTGAGATTCTATAATCTTATCAGATGATGAAAAGTTATCCTAACTATTGGACTCTGATTTCAAAACTGTCATTATCTGTGAACGATGGACATTCCTGTTCAATGCAGTAGCACTATTTATAAACTCTGACATGGGTGGGTACCCTTAGACACTGGCTCTTCTTGAACACTTTCACCCAAGAATGAATTCGTTCTTTGTAGTTGGCAGTAGTAGTATTATTTCCATTCGAAGAATGCTTTTGGAAGTGCTTTTTGAGCAAGACTCCGGTTTCTGTGGTTAAGCTCAGTTGACATTCAGACTAAACATTGCAATTCTGAACTGTGGGTTACTAGCAAGTCAGTTATTGTTAGTAAAATTCATAATTAAGTTCATTTTATGAGTTATTTCTGTGTAGAGTGATAACCCCCCCCCCAAGGCAGGGAATAGCAAGCTGCAGGAATAGATTTCAAGATAAAGATGACAAATCTCCTTTTTGACTTAAGCCCCCTAAAACCCCAACAAAAGAATCATTACAAAAAAAAAAAAAAAAAAAAAAAAAAAGAGAGAGAGAGCCAACAAAGTATAATTTTTTATGGAAAATATAAATAAGAATTTTGAATTTGTTATTTCTTTGAACAGATCTGATGGCCTTGTTAAGATGCCACATACAGTTGGTGGCCAAAATTGTGGACACTTTTGGAAATTTTTATGTTTTTGAACTTTGTATGCTTATAAAAAACGTTATGTTTCACAAAATGCAAACTTGTATATATCATTTTAAAGAGAATTTATTACTGAATTCAATACAAAACACAAAATTCAATTATTTGCAATACAAAAAAGTTAAACGATAATACTTATCGACATACATTAGATAGTGATGATTGCAGTGAGTTATCAGTACTTAGTACGGTACCCTTTATTTTTGATTACAGCTTCACATCGACGTTTCATTGAGCTGACAAGAGTTTTAAGCTCTTCTTTCGTTATTACATGATGCCAGGAAACAATTATAGCCTCAATTAGTTCAATTTTATTTAATGGGCGCCTGATTCGGACAAGAGTTTTCAAACGGTGCCACAAATTTTCGACAGGATTGAGGTCAGGACTGTTTCCTGGCCATGGCAACAATTTAGTGCTCTTTGTATGAAACCACTCTTTTGATATTTTGGCCGTGTGGCAAGGAGCAGAATCCTCCTGAAAAATAAACGAAGCATTGTTGGGAAAGAGATCTCTGATGGAAGGTCGAAGTTTTGGTTCTAGAATAGTGTCAATGTACTTTCTGGCATTCAGTGTACCATCGATGACATGAAGGCGACCCATACCATCTGCTGACATGCATGACCAAATCATAACACTAACTGTGTTCTTCACAGCTGCTTGAATGCAGTCAGGAAGTAGCTCTTCTCCTATTCTACGTCTTACATATTTTCGCCCATCACTACCGAATAACGATATCTTAGTTTCATCACTCCATATAACTTGTGACCACTGATCATCTGTGCAATTAACGTGTTTCTTTGCCCACTGTAGTCTTTTTTTCGTTGCTGAAAATTAAGATAAGGCTTTTTTTTGTGGAATTCTACCTCTCAGTCCAACATCTGTTAATCTTCTTCTAATTGTTCTTGAACTGACAGAAACACAGCATCATTCAGATCACTTCTGATGGCCGCTGATGACATTTTTCTATCTTGGAGACATAGTCTTTTTATTCTTCTGTCATCAATAGATGTGGTGCACCTTTTTCGGCCTTTTCCTTCTTTGTTTTTTATTGAATTTGTCTCCTGATATATTAAACAAAACTGTCGGACTCCAGATGTAGTCACTGAACCACCCACCTGTCTTGCAATTTCAACATAGGAAATACCACCTTCTCGTAACACAATAATAGTTCATCTCTTTCTAGGTGTCCAATCTACTCTTTTATTTGATGTCATTGCTTCTTGACTAAATATTAAAAATTTTTACAAAAATTCCTACTTGTAATCGCAGTGTATAAGAAACAGGTCCTCCTTCTACAGAACAAAGCAAAATAATAAATTGTTTCAAGTGTAAACATGATGTCAGCTTCTACTGGCAGTTACTAACATTTGATTGGTTCTCAGAACAAGAACAGTGATTGGCCAGGAAAGCTAGACATTACAAACCACTTCATAACTGTATTTTTTATTTATACTAAAGTACATATAACTTTTTTTTGTATTGCAAGTAATTGAATTTTTGTGTTTTGTATTGAATTCAGTAATAAATTCTCTTTAAAATGATATATACAAGTTTGCATTTTGCGAAATGTAACATTTTCTATAAGCATACAAAGTTCAAAAACATAAAAATTTCCAAAAGTGTCCACAATTTTGGCCACCACTGCATATGATTGAATCTTTAGTTTCATATTTTCACTACTTAAGAATTTTAATAAAATTTAAAATTTTATTGGTAGCATTAGCATAACGCTTTCAGCTAAGAAATGTGTTCTATAATCAATTATTAATAAAATTCTCAACTTGAAATATAAATTAACTTTAAAGCAATCAAAAATTGAGACTAAACTGAAAATAGCTCTTCAGCAGTTTAAACTCATACAAGTAATACGCTAGTAAATTTTTAAACAACACACATATGAAGATGGAGGGTTAAATATTTACCTTTCTTTTAGATAGTAAGAAATATACTTGCCTGAGTGGTCAAAAGAAACACACTGTATGATGGATCACTTTGGAACAACTGAATTCTTCTTTCTCGTTCTTCAATTTTTGCTATTGTTCCATCAATTCTTATAACTTTCCATTGTCTACGAAAGACATATGAAGAATTACATAATGGAGAAAAAAGATACAAAATAATTTTCTGTAATTATACTTTAAGTTAAGCCTATAAAAATACAATAATGTATTTTGTAATTAATTTTTCTGCATTCTGACTTACTTATGTATGGGTCTTCATGCACTTTTCATGTTTTATTTATGTAACAAAAAATAACAAATATATATTTAGGTTTATAGTCATTAAAATATAAATCTACAAATTTACCCCTGAGCATATTCTTCAAAATATGTTAAAATATGAGAAAGTGCACATACATCTAAAGATATTTCTCCAGATAATGGATACTTATTATCTTTGAATAATGCACCTCAAATGATTCTGTAAAAACCAAACCTGAGAAAAATGTGAAGTTTTTTTTATATACTATGTATTCAACTCAATAATGATAGGTCATGCTTCCATTATTATAGCTAAAGGAAATTAAAGAAGTACAAAAAACATACTTATTATCATAATTTTTAATTAACATATATTTAACGAATAAAAATATCACTAAAATTTGTAATCCTTTAAAATATTCATATTATTTTTTTTCTATCTTCAGCATTATTAAATAAAATTATTTTTGGAAAATTATTTTATAATATCCATTCCTCAAATATTTAAATTAGCTATTTCAGACTACGTCATTTCCTGATTTGTAGAGGTACATAATATTTTACAATATTATGAAATTCATCTGGTACACATTGATAGTCTGCATGCCTTCCTAATCTTATTTCTGTGCTAATTGCAGTTTCTTACAGTAAATTCCTCCACAGCATTTAATTAAAAAATTACGCTTGTTTACATATGAGGTATGAGAATATTTTATAATTCTTAAACATTAATTTGTAAAAGTTTATTTCTGTATCCTCCACTAGAAGTAGAAAATATAAACTGATACATACATACAACAAAAAGGGGAAAAGACATGCAGATATTTTTATTTAACAAATTCCCAAAAACTCTTTCCAGTAACAATTCATGAAAGATAAAGATTGCTCAAATCCATTGCAATCAGGGAAAAATATTCCCTTCCCCCCAAAAAAAATTAAACTAAATAAGAAATCTTTCCATTTTCAAATGAATTCATTCGGTTAAAATTACTCAGATCTTTTCTGATATTCCCTTTCATTTCAGAGAAAATGATGTATGCTTTCAATTTAAATAATTATGAGCTAGTCTAGTTAAAGCTAATGATTAAATACATCATTATGAGAAAGGATGAAGTATTCAGAAATAATTTATTACCATTTACCACAAAAACATTTTGTGGCACTTTATGGTCCCCACTATTTTTATGGTATCAACATATGATACGAAATCATTGCCAACCAACAATCCTAATCACTTACAGTCTGTCCTTTATGGGAGAGTTCCGAGTAGGAACACCACACTGGCACAATTCAGTAACATGAAGGATGATAATTTTAAAGTTTGGGCATTGCATGGTAATTCTTGAGATAAGAAAATGTTTTTGATATTGTATTAAAACTACTAACAAAAATATGATTCTCTTAAAAAAAGGAAGTTCTCTTTATAAATATTTGCTAAGTAAGTTCATAAGAAAAAATTGACTATAATCTTGATGCCATTTAAATAATGGAAACTATAACAATAAATACCCATTTTGCTGTTACAGTGAGAATTGAAAAGGTATCATTTTAATTTCTTCACAATAGAAAATATTTCAGTCTGACAGTGTTTGGAAGTAGGCTAAATGCATATTTTATGGCTTCATTTGGGTGATCTTAGAGAGAACAGTGATATAATTATTTATACTGATGTTTATTTATACCTGAAAACCTGTTGGCATGGTGATAAGAGAGCTAGCTCCCATAATCTTGAGCCTGGCTTCAAATCCAGAAGAAGACATGTGTGTTTGTAAGAGTAAGGTGTCTTTACGGCATGGAGGAATTTAAAATACTGTTGAGCCAAATGTTCTGGGGTAAGAGGCTCTAATGGAAAATTAGATGACTATTTAAGGCTATGTACCTTATGAGAGATATCTTCACGAAGAACATCCAGTGGAAAAGAGGCTTTTCTTTACATCATACAGGAGGCAAACAATGAAAACTCCAGGTAGCAGCCTGCTTGAGGTGAATCAAACCCATGATGAATAAATTACTGGTTTTATTCATCAATTCATTCATTATGAACAAAGAAAAACTGAGGCTTATGCAGCAAAGAAAAATTGAGAGTAGAACTCTAGAGAAGAGGTTTACTAGTGACCTCCATTGTTTATGAATAATAACTTATTTAACAGTAAAGAAATATTCAGATTCCGGACATCCGCTATCTGGAATGATCTATAATCCGGACCTCAAAGCCACAAACTTTACGCATGCGCATAAAGAAAGCGCATACATTACGCATGTGTGCATTGAAAGAAATGTTTAATAAAGTAAGCAAATATAAATATTAAGCTTTTTTTGTAAAATTTGATACCCTTTAGATCAGGGATGTCAAACTCATAGGTACACTTAGGCCAAACAAACAAGGTTTAACTTTAGGCGGGCCGCAAAAAAAAAAAAAAAATCAATATTCATAGAAACGTAGATTTATTTCGAATAACACAATAATAAACATATATATATATTTATATAGAAAAGAACAAGAAAAATTTAATGTTTACGTCCTGATACTTGACATCTCTTCTCTGCTATTATCTTTCCTATTTCGGGAGAAATTTTGTTTGCAGTGATAACTTTCAACGCTGACCCAAGGTGAGCAGCATTAATACGGTTTCTAATAAGAGACTTATTACTTTTCATGACTGAAAATAACTGCTCGCACCGATAAGTGCTACCAAACATGGAAATAATTTCATATGCGAATTTTCGAGTATTTTCGCTAGAACTACAGCTACTACTGAGATGAGTTGTTTGTTCTCGGCTTTTATAAGCTTTATAATTAATTTCTCGAATATACTGGAAACATCTATAAATATCTGGATTTTTGTGGATGGCAACAGCAATTACGAGATATTTATTTATTAGGTATTAAATGCACACGCTGTTCTATTTTTAACCTTCCAACGCAGCTGTCTTTTCAAAAATCGTCTGCGTTGCTAAGGCAACATGAAGCAAATCTAATTACAATTCTAAATAAAAAAAAACTAACTAAATAAATAACTATGAAATCCGTAACAATATGAATTAAGTAATAATTAATAATAAAGCAAAGTGCATGCACCAATATATCGTACAAAACTATGATTGGAAAACTGAGACCATGAGTTCGGCCACATTCGGCTATCAGGGGATGCGTACAAGTTCTGAGTGCACGTGTTCCCCAAAAGCCGAAGGTAGCTGAACGCAAGCTACTCACACGCATTTGTAATTTAAGTAGTGTGTGTGTCAGCTCGCTGTGAGTAATCTAACAACACTGAAATTATCGTTAATTACTTAGCAGTAAACATTTCATTTTTTCTTTGCCGATATGTTATTTTATTATTATAAATTATTACTTGCCGATATACTGGCCGGGCCGCAAAAATATTTGTTTTCGGGCCGCATGCGGCCCGCGGGCCGTGAGTTTGACATCCTTGCTTTAGATGATAATTGCTCTTTATTTCATAAATTATTATTTCATATTTTTATTGTATAATTTCTGCATGCCATCTTACCAGATTTAAATTGATCTATAATCCAGAAAAAACCCTGATCCGGAATCGCCAGAGTCCCGACGAGTCCGGATTACAGACTTTGTACTGTATTCTGAATTAAAGTAATCCAAATTTTCAGAAAAGTTAATACAATCATTTTTAATTTTTAACATATTTCATCTGCAGAATTCATACATTTTGATTTATTGAAATTCTAATTAACACGGACAACAAATTTAATTAAAAAATATTAAACATAACTTAAATTAGTTTAAAAAATATTTTTCTTCAGGTAAAATAAACTCACTTATTCACCAATATGCGCTGCACCATGTCTAGTATTTTTCTGAAATGAGAAAACACAAGAATTTTATGCCCATTTTCTCGCAGATTTTCCAAAAGACTGATCAGAAACTTTAGCTTTCCTGATTCTTTAATTAAAGTCTCATCTGAAACACCTTCAATGGATGATATATCTGCTGAGTCATCATCTAATTCTTGAAGACCTTCTTCTCTAAGATTAAAATAAAAATATTTTTACTAAAAATTTAAGAGAAAGGCAACAAGTACGACACATAATTTTAAAAAGAACCAATTAGAGTAACATCAAATGTAACATTAGTAACATCAATTTTTTATATATTACAGAGCTTTTGATTTTGATTAAAATTTTATATACTGCATATTATTTTTATTAGCAATCATCTGTAATAATTGAATGATGCTTTTCCTTTGATAATAGCCAGAATCCCATCTTGGCATTAATTCAATAAGATGCTGCAAAGTGAGGTTCCCCCCCCTTCTTAAAGACTGGCACTAGATGCGGTGCTGCAAAGTAGCATATGGAAAGTATAACTGTGTATCCTTTAACCCTCTAAGCAGACAATTTAAATGCATGCGTTCAAAAATATTAGCTTTGGTATCTTTACGTACACAGGCATACATGTTGAAATATGTTAAAAGAATTAAAATAACTTATATATTGGAGAGGGGGAGAGAAAAGAGGTACAGATTGGGAGGATCACTTTGAAATTATAATCAAGAAAATAACTCAGCCTTTTTTTGGAAATTTAACAATTAGAGGCCAAATCCTTGGTTGCTTGGAGGTTAACACACAGAAGTTAATGAATAAAGACTGGTGCAAGATCGAGTAGTCACGGAAAAGTACTTCACAGTATCCCATAAATAGCCGAATTATGACTGACAAAAATGTGAGAGGACTACTCCGTATGCATCATGCTATGAAAATTTACCATTCTAGCAAAGTAGCAATCATCCTACAAGATGCCATTCTAACTAATATATTGTTCAATAATTCAAGATGATTCAGTGATCTTCTGATGCATTTAAAACTAAAACATAATAAATGTAAATATTGATTATAGTATTTTATTCTTTTTTTTTTTTTTTTTTTTACTTATAATACCTATAAAACACACTTAAGTTTCATAAATTTCTATTAAGCTGTCTTACTAAAATCAAATTAAAATTCTAGGATATTTCAGAATCTTAAATATCTAAATTTTAAAGATTAAAATATTGCTGATGCCTATCTCTACCTGTTAAATGGACCAAAAATAAATAATACAAAAATAATACTAAATAAATATTTAAAGTGGTTTTTATAATAATTTTTATGCTCAACTCAGGAAACAAAGAATTATTAGAACTATTAAATTACCTGCAAATTACAAATCAGTATTTATCTTTATACAAGGTTAACAACTTACCATATACAGAAAAATAACCGAAATCCCAAACAACATTAAAATATTTCATTTATAGCATTAAAGAACCCTCTAGCCAGCTAAACCACACATAAACATTCAATGATATTTTTCCAAATACCATTGAAATAAATAAATATATATGCATTTTGAATGTGTCCAGACAATTATAACATTCAAAGAATGAGAATCCAGATATAAACTGATAGGGAAATTTAGGGATTATAATGAAAAAATAATCTTTTTCTTTGTACTTTTCAGAAACTTTCAGTTATAGTACCCCACCCTTAGCTAGTGGGAGGGTTAAAGATAATAAATGAGGTATTTGCTAGATTAAACCACCACTCCTTATAATGATTTGTCAACTGTGTCTGATTTGGAATATTAATACATACAGTTGAGTTTCAGAAAAAAAAATAAAAAAATGGGATATAGCATAATTATTTCATATGGCTGCAAGAGAAAACTTGACTGCCAAATTCATGCAAAGAATGTTAGAATACTGTAGGGCCAATCAATTCAGATAGAAACAGGCATCTAATATCTACTTTCCAAAAATGGAAACATCCCTATTTTAATGAAGATTTTCATGGTCCACAGATTAAAAACATGCCCTAGCATCCCAAACAGACTAATCAAAATTCTAAAAATACAAACAAAATGTATAATGTCTATAACTGCTGTCATGCAGTGTCATATTATGCTATATATCAGCATATTAAAATACAAATACTATTTGTGTCATAATATGTTGTGTGATGTAATATCAGGCTAGATATAAATTTATCTTATCCTGGAACAGGCAAACTGATTTTGCATATATTCTATTTTAGGGCAGCATGACAGTAACCTTTTCTAAACAATATAATAAAATAAAATACATCCCATAGTTTAAAACAAACAAGGAAACAAAACAGAATTACACACTTTGAGAACTTCACAACAGTTATTTTAAAAATAAGAACACTATTCTAAGAAACAAGAGCAATATACTTAATTTAAATGTGGCCAAATAGACAAAAATTTCATCTAAGACAAATTAGTTTTGTGTTTATTCACGTATTTCTCTATGAGTTCACATAAATAAGAATCAAGTAATAATTTTTCCTCAGACGTATTAATTTGGCACATATATCTTTTTAGATAAAATTGGTTAGCATGCATTACCATATAACAGAAAATATCCTTAATCTCCTCTTTTCAGAAGACTTCAAGAAGAAAACTTTTCATTTAGTAGTTAATTATAAGGATGTTGATTGCTTAGCATTTATTAAAAGCCAAACGGCATTATAGCAAATACTGAAATCTATTGAAGGCATTAAATTCATTAAAAGTTTTTTATTTGAAGATACTGTTAAATGTTGTTAATGTATAATAAATCACTCAATGATAGTAATATATACTTCAGTAACAAATTTTTCAGAAATCCATAATAATTTGCACAAAACTGTATTTGCACAAGACTTTGACCATTTAACACTAGGATATTTAATACAAACACCACATTTGTTGAATAAACCTAAATATTCAAGATAACATTATTTAACTTTATATGAATTTTTCAAATACTGAATTATAAGCAAAGTGCATTAAAAGAATTAAGAAACAAAACATGCTTTAAATAAGAATGATTTATATAACAAATTAAAAAAGACAACCTGAGTTCTTCACTTAATCCTAGCTGCAAATATGTTCTTTTGCTTAAAAGTCTTGGATGATCACAAATCTTGTTTAATATGCTTAGCTCTACTAATGGCGATTTTTGAGAAACTAAAACCTAAAATCGTAATAGATTGAATTAAAATTCAAGTATGTAATTTTTTCAAAAAAAAAAAAAAAAAAAGTCATTGCAGTAGTTACATAACCAATAGGAATAAGAAAAATAACAAATACATAACAAGTAGAAAACAAAGAAATAAAATACTCCTTTTTTAAGAAAAGGCAATTATATATATATATATATATATATATATATATATATATATAGATATATATATATATATATGCTATATATATATACATTAGCTAAATATCAAATTTCAATACTTTTATAAGTTTACAAAATTACAGTGTTAGTTGTAGACGTCAGTTAGAAAAGTGGAAAGCTTTTATTTTTAGAAAATGTTACTTAGTTTACTTTTAGAAAAAGTTAAAAGTTGCCCAAAAGTCTCATATCCCTCTTTTCCCACATTTGCTTTTAAAGAAGATTTCTGAAATTATAGATTTTTTTTAAGTTCCCAAATTCTACAAACACACTATAGCATAAATATCCAAATTGTGTTTCTTTTACTTATGAATGCACTCACATTGCAACAAACTGAGATAGGACTATAATTTAAAGAAAATATCACTACTAGAAGGAACATTTTTAATAATCAGTAATTTAATTTTTTAAATTGCATGATGCACATAATAACTTAAAAGTGTGTGGTTGTACTAATTATCAATGAAATAAACAAAACAGAAATAGTTTCATTTCTTGCTCTGGCTTTCACAGTAATGCTAATTTTAAAATATATATACCAGCTATCAAAATAGCAGAAAAAGGCATGTACCGAATGATGAACATACTTGAAATCTTACCAAACACTCCTCACATATATATTTTGGGTTGTTCCAAAAATAATTTTCTCTCATGAAAAAAGCAATTTTCTTATAATATATGGATATTCTATTAAATTATATATTTACCATTATGGTCCTATACAATTCCACAGTGATAAAAGTTCTGACCTTTGCTTACAAAAAACTGATCCAAATGATTTTTGACATCCTCGTTTGAAGTAAATGTTTTACCATTCATTCTATATTAACGTACATTATGGAAAAATAGCATAACTTTGTATCTTTCATTCTATCCAAGTGGCTAACAGAATTTAAAATTTAATTTTCAAGTCTCAGAGTGATGATTTAAGATTTGTATTAGTATCCAAAATGTATACATAACAATGTGTCTTTTGACAATATTTGCCCTATTCAGGAAAATAACAGAAGTTATAGATAGAGAGACTTAATTTGATTCTCACTATATAATAAGTTCCTTAATGTTAACTGCAGTTTACTCCTCAGAAATTTAACACATCATAATTTGAACAGAATATGATACGCAACATATTATATACTATGATGGAATCTAAAGACAATCTCTACATAATTAAATTTACTTATTTCAGAAAGTTGCCAGATCATCTTTTGTTTAATATGTTAGTGCTCTTGATGAACACATTTCTACTCCAATTAAGTTTCTCATTGTCTTTTATGTGAATAGTACTATTTCTTCAAGCAATTTCAAAAGAATTATATATTAAACACCAAAGTTAATTTAAAACACTTCAAGCATTAAAAAACATCAAAACCACTTTCCTAAATTAGGAATAAGTTCACAGAAAAACATCATCTCAATATGATAAATACAAAAAGGGAAATATATTATAAATACTTTAACTAATAGCTTTTTATAAAAATCTTAACTATTTCTTTACATAAATTTTAAGAAATTTTATTCAAGTCAGCCTTCCTCTTAAGTTTTCACTAAATTAATTTACTTGATCTTTCACCTTTAATTTAAAGAAAAGTTAATTTCTACTTAAATAAGACAATCTCTAAAATTTTAGCACAATTATGATGAAATAGGAAAATTTCAGATTTTTACCAACATTTTTCATTGTTTCCAAATGTAGAAAATTTTTGTACATTTCACATTGAGTTTCTGACATGAAAAGCCAAATGATTAAATCATTCTTCCTAGTATTTAATCTTTGATCTGAAATGCTAAAAAATAATGGAATACACTAAGTTAAGCTTCAATTTATCTAATATTTAGCAAATGCTTTATATTATGAGTAAATAAACATAACAGACTCACTTTATATATTCCAGTTTCTTTTCCAAGTCATCAATCTTGAACTCATCATGGTCCCAAATTTTAGACTTACTCCTTCGCAGAAAGTATGGTTCAATGAGTTTTCTTAAATTATCAGCCATTTCAGTGCCTAATCTTTTTTCAGCAAGAGTTGCATCTTTTTCTCTAGACTATTTAATAAATTAAATTGAAAACATATAACAATGATAGATTTTTTGTTGCAATGTATACAACACAGTTTAAGCTAATAAAAGGAAAAAAATAGGAAAATTCAAGAAATATTTATATAGTATTATTGAAAGCTTTTTATTAATAATTTTATTAGATTGATTTCATCACAAAAGTGCATTACAGTTCATCAAATTAAACAAAACAAAATTATGAAAAATTGATAACATTCACACCAAGGCCCAAGGCGATAGTTTCCGGAGTACCTTTGCAAATTAATGCAATTACCTCCACAACTTCGTTAAGAGAAATGAAGTAATTAAGAAAATGCAATGGCTAAAGAGAATCAAACAAAACCGTTAAGGTTTTAACGAAAAGGAAGTGAAAAAGGAGTCCACACTAGGGACGAAAAATTCTTTCATCTTTCAACTTGTTTTGCAAGACTGAAAGAGAGAGAAGTGCTAATTGAGACGAATTCCTGAACGCATAGCGTTAATGGAATCGAAAAGGACGGAAGACAACTAGCTGGGAAATGCATTGTTCCAAGGCCTGGGAAAGGTAAATTAGGTAATACGGAAAACCGCAGAGATTGCTAATGCCTTGGGGATGGGCGGGGGGGTTAAGTCCATTTTTCTGAGGCGAAAAGTTCTCCAGCCACCCGTGGGAACCGTGAGGGTTTTTCACTGAAAGATTAACTGGAGAAAATTTTCGTTGGTGCTGATAACCATGTGGTTTCTTAACTGTAGGAAAGACGGAGAAATTAACGGAAGAGGAGTTAAAGGGCTGAACTATGAGCTAAAGTGGTTTAACTAGAGGGGGAAATTTAAGATTTTGAGGGGGAGAAAAGAATTTAAGGGCAGTATTAAGTTAAAATTTTATTTTTAATCATAAGACTAAATAATGATTATTAAGTTAAGTTATTATAAATTAAGTGTGGAAGTTAAAATTGGGAAAATTTAAAAGGAAAAATTTTAATGTGCAGTTTAAAGTATTTTATGGGTTAAGCTAATTATGGATAAATGATTTAAGTTTTATTTATTTAATTTAATAGAGCTTCTATTGAGAATTAAGCTAGATATGTATTCAGATATTAATTCCTGATTGTCTGGACCGAGATATGAAAAGCTGAGGTCTTGGCAAATGGAGGAGTATAATAAGTTTAGCAGCACGGATAAATATGCGATTCAACTAGGCCGAATTAAGTCCGGCGGGTAATTAGAAATAGTTAAGGGTCGCCGGGTTAGGCCCGTGAAGTGCTAGTTGTAAGTTAATTTAGAAAGAATTCCTAGTCAAGCAAACACCTCCGCTTGGGCTTCCTAGGAAAGATGTTAAATGTTCTATCTAGAACGCTCTAGGTCCGCTTTGCAGAGCTGGGCTCTGCAGGATCATAAGCAGGAAGGGAGTGCAAGACTGGGTTTTCGAATCTGAGAAAGTCTATTAAAAAAAAACTTGGCCGAATTTTGCCGAAAAAAAAAAGGCATCTAGGGGTAAAATTTTGAGATCGTTATGGAGCACTTCATTCCGGACGAAATAATGAGCATTGGTCAGATACGAAGCGTGACGCTCTGGAATACTTGGATGTTCTTAAGGTAGCTGTTGGCTGCAGTTGACCAGATGATGGTTGCGTACGTCAGGATGGGGAGGATGGTACTCTTGTATAGGAGGATCTTATTGTTGAGAGAGAGGTTGCTGGTTCGGTTGATAAGTGACATTAGTTGGGTTCTTGTAGTTCTTGCTTTGGATATTGTATAGTTGATGTGGGTATTCCAGAGCAGCTTCGCATCTAGATAAACTCCCAGATATTTATAGGAATCCACCCAGGGTACATTTTTCTTCAAATAACCTGAGTGGTGGGAGTTGACTATGGACATTCCTCTTTCTGGAAAAGAAAACGGTGGCGGCACTCTTAGCGACATTAATTTTGATTTTCCAGGTAATGAGCCAGGACTCCAAGTCTGTCAAATACAGCTGAAGGTGATTGAGAGTAGCATGTAGTGTTGAGTGCTGAGAAATGATGGCTGTGTCGTCTGCATAAAGTGCTAGGTCGACACTTGGTAACTGTAGTATGTCATTTACATACAAGTTGAAGAGTGTAGCACTAACTATTCCTCCCTGCGGTACGCCGGCCAGGATAGGCCGAGGAGAAGAAACAGAGTTTTTAACTTTAACAGAAAAGGTACGATTATTGAGGTAAGAGTGCATTATGTGCACGAAATTAGCCTAAATTTCAAGTCACATGAGCTTGAATAAAATTCCGATATGCCAAAACCTGTCGAAAGCCTTTGCTAGTCTAAATACAATATATTAAAGTATTAGCTGTAAAATTTCAATTCCTACAGGGGAGGATTAGAATGCAACTGCAAAGTGAATACAAATCTTCTCCATGGCAGAATATTCATTTCTTGTATGTTTTTCCATCATTATAATCTGCCAAATATATGCAACACATTGAATACTATTAATAAAGTTGTTTTCAGTGGTTTGTTTGATTACAGCAAAGCCTCAAGGGCTATCTGCCTAAGGGAAGGGGTGCCTTTGTGAAGGACTTTCTAAAGGAAACTAATTCGTATACAAGTTATACATGGTGAAAAGCCATGAAAATGCCCATGCAACCAGCTCATTTGCAGAATTCAAACCTCGGACTGAACTACCAGTGTTCAGCGACTTTACCGCTCGGCTGCATGTGTGCCTGTTTTCAGTGACAGCAACATAGTAGCTCAAAGTAGCTGCCTTTGGGGGAAAATTTCTCTTAAATGATTCTTTCAATTTTAGAAAAATGTCAAAGCAACATAAACTTCTCCTGGAAAAGCAAGGTTGCCACCATGCTAAAAATTTTCTTCAATGTGAGAACTGATATTTTAATTAAAGGAAATTTTCCCCTCTCTTATTCAGAAATTTCCCTGTTCTCAGTGAGCAACACAAAGTTTTAGAAAATATTCACAGTACTATGCATTAAAAATCTGCTAAGAATGACAGTTAAAACCCACTGAATACCACACTCTATAGAATACCATGTTGTACCCATAGTGTGATAGAATATCACATTTTGCTACCATGGCAGAATATCATATTTGGCATAATATAAATTACTACCACTGAGATTCTCAGGTTTTTGGTGCAGTCATATCATATTTTTTTCAATTCTGAAATACAGTTTTGCCCAAATTTCATCCTGAGCAATGATCCTTTAAAAAGAATGTGCCATTTTCCTTGTTATAATATTTTAAACACTTGATCACAAACCATGAAGTTTCAGAAGTTTAATACAGCAATGAAGTATCCATCTTCCATCTCATTATAATTTCGAAATAATTAAACACATCTTTCAATAATCCAAAAAAACCTTCATTACATATTTTAAACTCAATAACTACCCATGCTATCCATCATCAATACACATTAATCAGAGAATGAATCCCATCCATCACCTTAAATGTCAGATTAACCTGTAAATGCCTCATCATCCACTCTCTTATTAACCAGGTGAAATTCTTGGATGCTGAATGGTACATAGAGTCCTTTATAACAACATGCAGGTTTCCTTCAATGTGACATTTCGATTTTAACACAAGCATAACATTTTAATTTTGAAAACAACTCTTAGAGACAGTTCTTCGTTTGGTACTCTTCTTTTCTACTATCCATATGAAACAGCATGACCCTCATTCAATAAAGGCTAAAATTAAATTCAGAGTGAATTTTTTAAAATATATAAAACAGTCGAGCATTTTATTTAATAGCCATTAGCTTGTGCCACTAAAAGGGCCAGACATGGTGGCCATTTCATTATGAAAGTGCCTAACAGGTGGCCACCACTGCCTCCTATGAAGAGACAGACAGTTACAACCATGCCTTCTCTGGGTTTCAAACCCAGGCCCATTGCTACAGCAATCAGGGTCTAGTGACCCTGACAAAATAAAGCCATTTGAAACAGCCAGTATCGTGGTACATATGACCAAGATATTGGCTAGGTGGCAGAGTGAATAAGGTAAATACACACATCCCCACAAAATACAAAATGCAGAAATTCAATAATAATTAATTACATAAAAATTATAATTTATGCCAGAGATATGACAAAAAAAATAATCTGGCTTGATGCACCTACACTTTTATTTTAATAAAAAGCATTTTAGCAGTTACTATATTACACAAATTTTCATTAACAGGGAAAGAAAAGTAAAGCATAAAATTACATTAAATTTTTTCATCTTATTAACTTTCTTCCTTTCTCCCACCCTTTTATAAGAGCTTAACAGTATAACCCCTAAGATGGTAAGTCTTTTGCACGTAATGTAAAATATCATTATCTGTAGAATAAAATATAATTCTAAGTCGGATGTTAGACTCAGTTCTTAAGTACAACAGTTTGTGTGCTAAGATTGAGGGGAACTGACTTTCCTCTCCTTTTTAAATTTTCTATATCTTCTTGTTAACTGACCATTATCTCATAATTTAAAGAGCAGCTGGGCTTATTGCTGATAACAGAGGATGTTTCCAATGGCTTTGTTTTGGAAGAGCTAAAACTTAAATTTTCTATCAGTAGATGATGTCACAATAATGTTTAAATTATAACTTTTATTAGTTCTTGGATTTCTGAACTATTTAATTTTGTTAGCTTTCAGATGACATGTAACTTATACTTTATATTGACTTTCATTTAACTTCATTTACTTAATGTTTTTTGGCCATTAAATATTATTGTTAGTTTTGTTTCTTGGAAGGGTGGCAACAAAAAACAACTTATAGAATTAGAGAAAATATGTGCATGCAGTAAGTAGACTTATTAAAAGATTGTTTTGTTATTTACATGAGTGTTTTATTTAAGATCCAAACTTATTTTAGCAATAAATGAATACTTTAGAATATGTTTGTCTGTAGAGTCCATGATATGCTGGCAGCATAACAGTTTATTTTAATGCATAAGCAAACAATTATATATAGACATAAAATATAAACATTGAAAAAATCCCCTAAATAGTAAAATTTAGAAATTGATTAATTTATTATATATTGCATTCATATGTCAGAATTAATGGCTTAAAATCCCCAAGAGAAAAAAACACACACAGGATGTCCTCAAACAGCTGTAGCGTTAATCAAATCCTACATAAGAATTATTTCATGTATTTCCGAAAAACGTCAGACAGACACAAGGAATTACTTACCCGAATTATTACATTTTCATACTGAGTTTTGAAAGTCTTTAAGGAACCTAGCAGAGTTCCTTGGTGAGCAAAATCAAATAATGCCCATAATTCCTAAAAGAATGAGAAAATAGCTTTAACACATTTTAATATGCAAATTAAAGTAAAATAATTTTATAATGAAACAAAAAGTTAATATTACTTTCATGATAGATAGAAATAACAGTAAGGTAACTTATACATTTAAAAATCTGTTTGGCAAACCAAATTTCACTGAAGAGTAATTTTATCACATAAAGGAGGTGAAATTAGCAGTATTTGGCATATTAACCACAGGAAACATTAGTACATGAAATAACATCAAACATTTAACAAATATTCAAAATAAAATTGAGTTCAATAAACATATAATATTATTTACTTTTAAATTATTTTGAACAGGAGTCCCGGTTAAGACTATGCGATTTCTAGATGGAATAGCATGTACAGCCTCTGCAGTTTTTGTACGATTTTTTATATTATGGCCTTCATCCAATATAACATAATCCTTTTAAAATAGACAAAGAAAAATCCAATTTTTATGTGAAATAAAAGTCAAAAAATTAATAAACAAAACATAAAAAAATCATTTGAAGAATTATATCAAGACAAAGATTTTGTTTTTATTAGATTAGCATTGCCCATACTAACCCATACGAATCTTTCACCTTCTAAGTTACATAAACTATCTATATTGTCAGCAATCATTCTATAACTTGTCAGTAAAACTTTTCCTTTGCATCGGAAATGAAGTAAATTACAGGCACATTCCTTTTTTGATCCATGAAAACAATATACTGGTATTTCACGGCACCTAGAAAAAAATAACTATTTTCTACATAATTGTTTAACTTTTATAAAATAATAAGACAATTATTTTCTGAGTACTATTTAAAATGTATTATTAAAAATAAGAGCACTTATATATTACCCTACTAACTGTGAAAGTTGGCAGAGATCCCGCCAAAGTTGTGCCAGTCATTGCTTCAGAATTCTGAGCTGTACTTTTATTTGCAATTCTTATAATAAAAACTTCATCAGTCTTTCTGCACAATCCACAAAATAGCTACTGCTGCAGAAGTATTCAACTCGTGTGTGTGTGTGTGTGGGGGTGATTGTTGATTTCCACTATTTTGTTAGGGTTTTATGAATGCTCTGTTTATGAATGCCCCGAGATTTTATGGAAAGCTCTTTGGAAAATTGCCCATAGGTGATTCAATCTACTTCTGTTTTGGCTGCTAAATTCAGCAGTTCTTTTCCTATTCAACAGATGTTAATTCTCTCGAACAGCTGTAAATGAGCTGGAGTGTAGCAACAAATATAATTCTATAGCCCTTGACCTCATCTGTTTAAAAATGCGAAGAAAAAACACAACAATAATAATTTATAGCCTTGCAATTTGTAGTTAATTCACAACATCAAAAGATGATTTATTGATATTCAGATGGGGTTAGTGAAAATGTAATGAGTGTGATGTGATATTATGGGCATATATAACTGGCTTTAAATCCTGTAGCTTGAAGCCAGTTTCACAATCGATAGGATAATACATAAGTACTAAAAAACTATGAATATTTTTTAGCTTGTTTTAAAGCTACCGAAATTCATACAGCACTCTAATGTAACCAAAGGCCAAGAGTAACAGAAGAGGCGAGTCATTAACTCTGGCAGTTATTCTGCTATTGTTTGCTGCTGCCTTTTTATTTCAATTAAATAAATCTTAATTTTTTGTAGCTGTTATCGCTCTTATTCTTTGCAAAATGCCCAATGGTTTTGATATTTACATAATCAATAAGAATGCAATATTAATACAATTTAAAATTTAATTTACAGCTCCATTTATAAAATTCAATGAATGACTACTTAATTAAAAAAAACTTAATGATATTGCTCTTTTTAGAAAAATCTCCAAAGTTTTATCACACTGGGTTCACAACCCCTGAGCTAATAAAACAAATTTGAGATAGAGGCAAAATTTTCCCCAAAGGTGGGTTTCAATTCTTTTTAAGATGAAAGGGGAAAACTACATTAGAACTGGTAGATTCAAACTGTAGCAAAAGACATATAGCAAGAACTGGCTACAGCACAGCTAAGATGATGTGATCCAAAAGAATGACCACCACCACCCCACCCTAAAAAAATTGTTAAACACAGGCATTACATAAATATAATGAAATTAGCAGAATTTTTTCCCTTTTTATATTTATTAAATCACAATTATAATTTTCAACATTATAAATATATGCAGAAATCCAATTATCTAGACTAAACGGAATCACAATACATATAAATGCTTAGAAACCTAGGGAATTTTGCATATATTATTTTTTAAACAAATTACATAATGTAAAGCTAATAAGGAAATTTTGGATTTCAGCTTATCATATTTTATTCCAATAAAGATTACACAGTTAAATATTAAAAAAAAAAAACTTTCATTTGAAATAAGTAAAATTAAAAACATGGGTTTTCAAAAAATTTAAAAAATATTTTACCATCTAAATGCATGACATATTTTTGTATCAACCAAACTAAAACAAAGAAATAAATTTTTTACTGAAAAGTACTGATTTACTGGAAAAAAAAGAAACTACTGATTTCCCAAAATTAAATATAGAATCAGTTTTACACTAAATTAGATGAAGGGGTTAGATTTTATTTGCATAAAACAAAATATGTAACCTATTTCTATTCAACTAAAATATAACACTATTCATTCACATAAAATAATAAGCTACATGCAAATAATGTGAAGCAACATAAAATAATAATGAAACATCTTTTTTATATTATTTCATCCATGATACTAATGTTCCTGCTGGTACTTGAAAATAAGGTAAAAATTAAATTAATGCTGATTTTAAATAAAATTCGACTGGTTTAAGAGCGATTGGTGCTAGGTCCTCCTTTAATAGTAACATAAAATATTTTTAAAGGTATAGAAGTAAGAAAAAAATTACAGGAAAATCAATGAGCAGAACAAAGAGAAAAGAAAAACAGTAACGAAATGTAAAAATGCTAAGAGATTAAAATTTTGAAGTGTTGGGAAGAATTGGCTTGGAATTAATGTCATTAACTAAAGAATGTAAATTTTTATGAAAGATTTCAAGGAAACAGTTTTTAAAATGAAAAGGCTCTGTGGATAATTTTGAGTATTCAAAGTTTCTTTTCATGATCAACTGTCAAGCACATAATTAATTGAAAGCAATTTCCACTGACACAGGATTTTATTTCATGGTTATTGCAAAGTATTTCAAATGTTTCCTTTTTGCCACCAGGAAAAGTAGTATGCTATTATAATAATTACAGTAACCTTATAATCACCTTTTCATCCTTCTGTAAATCACAGAATTGCTTGGATTCTCTAAAAGTTCAATTTTAGATAATTTTCTCATCTATCAATAAAATTAGTATTTCGATTCTTAAAGCTTCTTTCTACCTCTCATTGTAATTCTTGAGAAATTTATTTCTTTACATTAGCCTAATTAAAATGCTGCTAAAATTCCACGTGAGAAAACACAAATCTTATATTTTAATCACCTAATAATTTTAGATCTTGATTCTGTGAAAATAATCTACAGAATTTCTCTAGATGATGAATGGAACATTCACAGAAATATGCAGACTTTTATTCCCTTTTAAAGTTGGTGGTCACTTTCCAAATACAGTCTTGACCAAAAATATTAGGCACGCCCATTATTTTAATGTATTTTTAAAAATACAGTTCAAAGTCTGACATCTGAAATCATTGATATTTTGACAACTCTGGATTTCAGAATTTTTTTGATTTTAGATCATATGTATCCAGGATGGTATGTATCCATTTTTAAAATTAAAAATTAGGAATGTTTGTTATGAAATAATAAAGTACTTACGATCTTAAGTTTGATTTTAATTTATCTCAAAACTATTTTTAAATAAACATATTACTATAATTTACCTAGTATTTTTGGCCACAACTGTAGATAATTGAAAACTTACATAAAGTTAAGGATGTCTTTTTCCTGATTCTAAATTTTGCATTGGCATGTTTCTCCTGAAATCTGTGGAGCTTGATCTAACGCTCAAAATAATTCCAATTTTTTATAATTGTTTGGCATATTGCAAAGTAGAACTTTTAATAAATGGCAGTACTTTTTATAAAAAGGGTTTTCTAACAGTTCCTTTATAATTCAGACTGTAACCAGAGCTTATAATAGTCAGTAAAATCTAAACACAAATTTGGGTTCAAGCACCATTTTCCTCATAATGCTGAATGACAGAAAGCTTCAGGCAGATTCTAAGATGAAATTTAAAGGATATAGTATGATTACTAGTTTCTTTTTAGATTTAAGCTGAGAAAAATATTCAGCATTTTTAGCACATATTTCTCATCAAGTCATATTTAAAAGGTATGGCCAAATAAAAATTTTTAAAAATGTCTTACCATTTCTTAAACTATTTTTTCCAATTAGGAATCAAAGATTTTGGCACAATTATAAGAATACGCTTCACAAGGTCAGCATTAATCAGCCCCGAAATGAAAGCAATCACTTGAAATGTCTTCCCTAACCTAAAATTAAAACTTAAATTAGAAATAAAACTAATAACTAGCAGTATTGTCCAAGGAAATAATTATCTTCTTTTAGTTATTATAAATTTATCATGAATATTTCATTTAAATCAAATGTTCTGTAACAGAATATAATTATTATTTTCTTAAATTAATAATAAAATATAATTACATATTTTATTTAAAAATTAATGATATAAAAATTCCCTTATTAAATACATAGAAATATTTTTTTAATTAATTCATTAATAGGCAAGACATTACCAATCAGCCATGGTGTAATAGATTTTTTGGCTTCATAATTATATAAATACGGAAATATTTGGTTACAGAATTTATTACTATTTTTAAGTTTTCCAAAACAAAATGATATGTTATAAGTAGTTTACAAAGACCACAGGTAAAATAAAGATGAGTTTTCTTCAGGATATACCCCACTGTATTTAAACTGGAAATCAGAAATTTCTAGAATGCATCTAGGAAATGTCTATTATCACACAATACCAATTACCTGTATTCATTTACCATGTTGACCAAAATATAGTATAAGAAAATGTTTTTCTTCATATTAAATCAATCTGCATAAGCCATATTTATCTTATATTAATAGCCTAAAACATAAAAATTACATTAACTTATCTCTTATTCCTCAACCATAACAACTGTTTAATAAAAGAATTACAGCCCTAAAAGTTGTTTTCACTGTAAAAGCTCTTCATTAGATAAAATGAATTTCGAAATTCTTATGTTTCACTTCTTGCTTAGAAACTCGAGTATCCCACCATTTATATAAGAAATAGGAACAAATTAAAACCATTCAAAAGATAACCATATATGTCAGTGAATTGCCAAAAATATCCCTCTCAAATGTTAATTCACACTCAAAATGGCAGTCGTAAAAACAGATAGAAATTTCAGATGATTAAAATTATGGACCTTCTACTGATGATTTTGGCCAAAGTTAAGGACTTTTAAGGACCAAAAATCGATTCCAAAAAATTTAAGGACTTTTAAGGACTCTTAAAGACCGCACGAACCCTGACCCACAATGCTAATGACAAAAGACTATTCTTTTTAAAATCTAATGGTTCAAGGAAAGAAATCAGCTTACTATGGAGTCAGTGGTTTTGGTTTACTCAATTCTAATTTTCTTTATTTGGAAAAACATACAAAGATTATCTGCATAGGGGAAGAGATGCCCTTTTTGGAGGACTTCTAAAGGCAATTAGTTTGTATTGATGTTACACTCAAAACAGCAGTCGAAAAAACAGACAGATATTTCAGATGATTAAAATTAAGGACCTACTGGCGATTTTGGTAGAAATTAAGGATTTTTAAGGACCAAAAATAGATTCCAAAAAACTTAAGGACTTTTAAGAACTCTTCAGGATCGTACGAAACCTGCAAACCACACGAGAGGACTTTCGGCTCGCCACATATTTACGGTGCCCTATGTCACACAAACACTATATATTTACAAACATCCATGTCTTCTCTGAGATTCAGACCTAACCCTTTGGTACTGCAGTAGGCTTCCCTAATCACTATACTATCTGGACGAGTTCGAAAGTGCATGAAGCTCACAATACTCAGCAGCAAGATGAACAAAATAACAACCATGATCTTGTTTTGTGCTTATTGGTTAATATATCCCAGGTGACTCATAGCAGTACTTGGTGCTCACTGGAGAACTGGGACATGGCATTTTCAGACATATGTGCTTTCGCACACAAAGCAGAAGACTACCATAATATCTCACAGATGAAGCAACTTTGGCTTCCTTTCATATGTAATGTACAGAAAAACCAAGTGCTTTCAAATACCAAAAATAAATTTCTTGGATGCAAATAATGAAGTATTAAGCCAAGCTACATAAAAATTATGAGAAATTTTAAGAATACATCGGTAGAAATATGTTATAAACTGTGTTGGCGGGAGTATGATTGGAAATCAGAAGTCTTTCGCCTAAATCAGGAGAGCTGGTACATCTGGACTACTAATGCTGCCTTTTCACTACAAAAGCTGAAATTTTAAATATAAATTTTACATACAAATTTCATAAGATTTTGCAATGTATATTTGCTCTTGAGATTTTTATAAATTGTGGAAATTTTACTATAATTTTTCTTAACAAATCACCTTAGATGATTCAGATACAATAATAAGAATATTACAAAACAAAAATATATTCACAAAATTTCATGAGATAAAAATATACGTATTTATCAAAATAACTTAATTATTTTACATGATTTAGAGATTTACCCCATATCGTCTCCAAGTACTCCTCCTTTGCTCTTTTTATATAGATCTCATAGCCACGCAACACCTTCTCTTTGATAAGGATATAGTTTCTCATACATTTCATGTAAAATGTAAAATCCATCTGCTACCAGCGTCATCTTATTATCTGTTTCTTTATGAACTTTTAGATTTTTTATGATTTCCTTTAAGAGAAAGCACATATGTACTTTTTGTAAAACATACTTTATTTAAAGATCCATAAATTTCAAAAAATAGAAAAAACTTTAAAATAATGCTAAAATTATATTACTTGCACAATATTTTCATTCTATACTAAAGACTTAGTATAAGAAAAATTTCATGCAACATAATATTAAACACTAATGTCAAAATATGGATAAGACATACAAACATGAAAGAACTGATTACTACATTGAATATAATAAAAATTCAGACTTTAAAGTTCACAGAATGAATATACAATGGAACCTCGACATACGAGCACCTCTACATACGAGAAATTTGAAATACGAGGAAAGCATGAGCAAAAAATTTGTCTCTAAATACAAGCATTGACTTGAGTAACGAGCAATGAGACAGGCTGTTTGCATGGGTGGCACCATTTTCCGACTCGGGTATCCCCTTGTCAGATCATTCGGTGTTCTTCTATCTACGTGTTCTGCGCTTGTGAGTCAATGGTTTATTACATTTAATGTGAAAATAATTATTTCATGATGGCTCCAAGAAGATTGTTGCCCCAGATAGTGCTGTAACGAAAATAAGGAAGCTATAGCCATTGAAATTAAGAAAGAAATCACAGATAAACAAGCGTGACGTAAGAGTAATGGAATTGACGAAGACCTGCTGCCTTTCAATGTCGACGATTTGCACTATTCTGAAGAAACAGGAAGAAATTAAGAAACTTGATGTAGCCAAAGGAGTTACTGTTACTTCTAAAAACCGTCCAAAACTCCTAGAAGATGTTGAGAAACTGTTGTTGGTGCAGATTTATGAGAAGCAGTGGAAAGGTCAGTGTTAAAAACTATCATGAAGGTAAACTATGTTTATATTATTTACAAGAGTTATTTATTAGAAAAATTGATTTTTATGTTGATATTTTTGTGGGTGCAGAACAGATTAACTGGATTTCCATTATTTTCAATGGAGAAGTTTGTTTCTAGATACGAGAAATTCGCTATACGAGCTCAATGCTGGAACGAATTAAACTAGTATCTCAAGGTCCACTGTAGGTTCAAATGTGTTAGATTTAACGAATTTCATCAGTTTCGCATTACAAACTTACATTCAAAATATTTTTTTTCTAAGCAGTCGCTTGGGATCCAAGAACAGATCAATTCGAAATTATTTCCGGAGTGGAACTATCTTCAGGAGTGAATTTAGTTAGTGAATCAAGTTTTGGCTGTATATATAAGAAGTAAAAATACTGGATTTGATAACTTTGCTTTTATTGATATACAATGGCTGGCTGAAAATTTTTAATTACATTTGCTAATTTGAAACACTGCATTGTATTGGGTTTTTGTGAAGGTTATTCATCAAAATGTTTAACCCTTTCTGGCACGCTACCTTTTAACCCTCTGGGCGGCCAGGAATTTCGCTAAGAAAGCACAAATTTCCCAAAACTACTATGAGAACAAATTATTTTTTTGATTTTAATGCAAAAACTCTCCTGGTATTTCATATCTGGATTTGTTTTCTTTTGATATATTGCCTTATTTTCGTTGACATATTTTAATACGCACGTATATATACATTCTTACAGATATCACAATAGATATTCTAAGCCGTATATATATGGCCTTGCCGCTTAGAGGTTAAAGTTGGCGTTTTGATTATATATATATATATATATATATATATATATATATAATGTTGTATGAACTTAAATCCATTTAGTGCGAATACAAGTTAATACGGTTTAGGAAATAATTTATATATATATATAAAGTAGGCAGCCTAATTAGGCTTAAAGGAGTACACAAGTAAAATTTTGTGAAGATAGCACTTATCGCTTTAATAGTGTGGGTGTGCCCAAAGTGGCACACTGATTGAATAGAGCTTCGAAAAAAATGCTGAAACGACCACTGTTGTCAATGAACTGACCCATGAGATGCAGAGAAACAAAGAATACGGATTCTCAGTTGTCCTAGATTATCGGTGAGCCCAGTCTGGGCACACCTAGGGTTCGCCATTTGATTTTAGGCAAGATTTCAATGTCAAAATTTAAAACTAATATAGAATAAAGAGATTAGTATACAGCCAAAAAATAATATAGAAATTTCTTTTCAAAATTCCTTTTACCCTAAAAAAAATCTGAGATTTCTGTGAAAAATAGGGTCTTAAAAAACTAAACATGGCTAAAATATATGGACTGGTTTGTGTTGAGCTACCATCTTCTATAAATAAAGAAGGTTCAAAGTAACCTATAAATCCTTTTTCATTCAATTTTTCTGTGCGTACAGAAGAAAATTTTTAGGTTTGTCCAGACCGGACACACTGAGGTTAAACCTGTAGTTCCAACAAGCATAACCTCCAGTATTTCATCACAATGAATAAACACCTAATATATTTTGTCATGACAGATGAGAATAACATCTATGTACATATATGAATAACATCTATATACTAAAAGTACGATTCAGTTTTGTACTAAACATGCGTACAGCTACAACAAAACACTTTGAAATTTCGTAGCATGCATACAACAGTGAAAATAGAGTCATACTTCAGCATTTTAATAGTAAAAGCCCTTCAAAGAGTGTGTATGTGATAGACATAGTTGTTTTAACTCGTTGAGGAATATTGTTTACAGATTGTAATATTGTCATTTCAAAGGTAAAGGTAGCGCAAATAACATGTGTGATTGACAAACCACATCTTTACAAGTCATCAATTGCAATCATGATTCAGCATTGCTGACCAATGAGCAAGTTGTGAATGGAGACTGTTAAATAGACACCTTAAAACCTATTTGCATGGAGTCATCAACATGGAAAGAACAGATTTACTCAAGAAATAGTGGCTTTTGTTTTAGGAAAATGCCCAGCTACATGTTGCCATAGGAATATCTGAAATAGCTAGGATAGCACTAGAATATCTTCATATGGTCATGGCATAGCTCCAGCATATTTCTGGGCAATTTCAATGCTGAAAAGACAGCTTTCCAGAAAGAAACTTTCTTCAGATGAAGAATGAAAAACTTCAGATGAAAACATTGTGACCACAGATCTAAATGAAATAGCATGAAACAATATTTTTGAATTATTTATGAAGTGCTCTAAAGAGTATAAGTCAGTATGAAGGACTCAGATATAAAAAAGGGAAAAATATAGGATCCATAGTCATTTGATTCTGAATAACAAAATCAGACTATGAAACAGAATCTTAAATTTTTTCCCTATGTTTTGCTTTATAAAATACAAAGCAAACATTTCTATATTCATCAGATGAACATATATATATATAGAGAGAGAGAGTATACATTTTGATTATATATTTATTTGTATAAGTTTGATATATATATATATATATATATATATTATATATATATATATATATAGTATACATTTTGATGTATTTTTTAAAAAATAAAAATTAGTTTAAGTAGCATAGCATTATAATAAAATAATTCCTAAAAATCACAGAAAATCAAATTTCATGACAAATTTACATGAAAAATCATGTATATACACATTATAAAATTGCAAAATTATTATTTTTACAAATTCTGAAAGCCAAATACAATGTTTATGTTGTTAATGTTATAAAATATCTATATTAAATTTTGACATCAAGTAACATATAGCTTACGGGGGAAAAATTAGAAATTTTAAAAACTAATTGATGTTTTTAAAAAAGACTGAACTTACATTTGACAGATTTTCTCTCTGATGAGTTCCAGAACTGATATTTGTTGTGTTGTGAAATTTCATAATTTCTTCTGAATCAGGTTGTGTATTTGTTGCCTGAAAGAATGTAGATATGCATTTAATTACAAAAATACCAGTCTTTGGCACAGCAGAATCTATATGGAATTTAGTGAGTTATTACCTCTTTAAAAAAAATATTACATACGTCCTTAATATTAGGTCTCTTCTACCATAATAACCAGCACAAATAAGACATCAACTCTGCCAGATACCAATGGTTTGCTAGAGAAATTGCAAGAAATTAATCTTGCAACATTAATTCCTAGATAATTAGCTACCCTAGACATAGATATGACGTATTAAATGTTTTGCTACATACACATCCTAAAGAAGTTATTAGACCTTAAATACAGAATCTCACAAGAAACTAAACATAGTTTAGATCACATTATTTTTCTCAAACCATGATTGTGCAGCAAGTTGCCCAGTAAATGGTGCTCTGTCCTGCTAAAATAAATGTTCAATGAATGAGGCGTTCAGGATTCAGCTAGCATATTCCAGCACACATGCAGCATTTAAAGACCACTTCAGACACCAAAAAAGACGTAATATACCCAACGAAAAAACTTATCGCACCATCATCACTATCTTAAATTGAACTAAACCTGGCAAAGATGGCTTTTGACTTTAAGTATCAGCACCTTACCTACATTATCCCTTAAATTTATACAACAAGAAATAAAGTTCATCTACTTAATATTAAGAACATGCCATCACTTGACAGTAGTTTAGTTTTAATGTTCCCGACCACAAAGCAAGACGCAATATTTAGTAGCATATAAACGCCTGTGGCACATGAGTAGGACATCGGATTTTGTAGCCCAGTGATTGCAACAAGTTTATCTTTACATTCATTTTCTTCAGAATTTGAAACAGGTGTGAGCTATGCTGCTGCTGTGTAGCCAAACTAGCTGAACAGATGACTAACCTTATTATTAATGACATAAGAACGCCAATCGATTGAGCGCTAGAAAAATGATATTGTAACAGACCTCTCATACGATGGCCCTTCAGATTCTTGTCATTTCAGAGACTGGATGAATGATCTGCCTTCATATTTAACAATATAGTTACACACAAATATTTTATTACAATTCAGATTCATTCATTCTGAACATTCAAATCTGAACAGATTTGAGAAGTCTAAAGGTTCACTTATAAATAGCTTATGTTTTGTTCAAGTTGTTCCACTCGTTTTAAGAAACAAAAGAATGAAGTTCTCTCCATTATTTATAATTCTGTGGTCTTTCAATTTACTTATACGTGTATTTATTTCACAATTTAAAAAAATGTTTTAAATGATTCTTCAAATAACAGAATTACTTTTTAAGTCATAAAAGGAAATCTTAACTCCTTAAGGACCAGGGTCAGAAGAACGAAGCGCAGTCATGGGAACGGACCTGCTGAAATGAATCGGCACCACCGGCCTGTGCATTTTAAGCAGTTAAGCCTAATTTTACAACAAAAATCATATAAAATCAGCATTTTGATATTATAACTTCAATTTTTGAAGGTGCGTATTTAATGTACTTGTTTTTAATGTGTATTAATATAAAGAATATCACATTAATAGAAATAAATTAAACAGGCAAAATACTAAAATCTTAACTATACACACAGAAATAAATACTATAAATATGAAAAAAATTACAAATATGAAATTTTAAAAAAAAACTGAACAAGAATTAGCTGTAGGTAATTATCGTTTCGTTGGTTTTAGCACACACAACGCATCTTCTCCTACCTTTATTACTTTTCCATCAACATAAATTTTTGAAAACTATCTTCCAGTTAAACGAAAAGGTATAGTGTCCGGTGATTTTGGACAAATTTTAAAGTTTTTAAGTAAGATCTCTTAGCCATGGCTAACAGAATGAAACTGAATATAACCCCGACACATGTTCCAAAACTTCTTCAAAAGACATTCAGAAATATTTCATCCTCAAACCCTGTGTGACATCAGGTTTATATCAGAAAACTTCCTGTTTTTCTAAATCGAAAACAGCGTCCACGATGACCGGAAAGTGCTCAAGGAAAGACCCCCAGTGGCGGGATATCCGTTACTGATCACATCAATATATATGCATTATATGTAAATTCATTATATACCAAAATATAATGTCTGCATCATTATACATAATGACCGTTCAAGGCATTATATATAATGACCTATTAAATCGAGTAAGAAAAACAAAAAACACTGGCTCTTTCCTGAGAAATGCGAGCAAGACGCATTACGCGTCAAGAATGCTGATAGTCTTTCCCCTTCTGTAATAATGTTGTAATGTTACTGTAATAATGTAATAATGTGAATTAACCAAGAAAGCTTATGTTAAGTTTCAAAATAAATAGAAAAAAAAAAAAAAACTAACGAAATAAACAAAAACGCCAGTGCCCCTTTAATTCACAGGTTCACTTATAGAGAGTCGTGATTTCTAGTTTGTTTATTTCAATAAATCTCACAAAACCAGAAGCAAAAATCAGAAACTAATACCAGTACAAGAAGGTCAAATGCTGTATGAATCAACCCATGTGAAAACAATTAAAACTTAGCTCCATTTACTGGCTTTTAAAAATTTAAATAAATCGTTCTGTTTTAATGTCACATATATGCAATGCTGGGCTCGTAGGAGCAGAATCATTGCATCGCGTATATGGGATGATGTACTGGTAGGAGTGGAATTGTTGCGTCACGTATATGCGATACTGGTCCTGAACAGGTTAAGGAACATGCAAAATCGAATTAGCATTATCATGGAAATTGTGCACTAATTATGCAAGAAAATACAGTAAACCCCCTAATATGAGCTCATTTAAGGCAAACAAACAAAATTTTGGCTCAGACTATGATGTATATGATCTGATAAGAAGTTTTAACAGTTCATGTGAATTTCAACTAGCACAAATTACAAGATTTTTTTTTTAGTCCAATGCATCATTAGATTTTGTCTTAATATGAATTTTCAAAATTTGTCATGTTTTCCCCCTTTGTTTCTCTGTTATGGCTGCATTCAGAAATGTTCCATATCTTTTAATTGAAAACTTCTTATGACACTGGCCAGGTTTATAGCCCATAATATACATGATCTGAATTTAACCAAGTTAAGGTTCAGTTTTTTTTTTTACCGAATGCAACAAGCCTTCTTCAACCTTTGGATCAAAGCATTATTGCACAATACTGCCTTGATCCAAATGAAAGAAATTTTGAATGAATGAAGTTTTCAGGATTAACAAAGATCATGAAAACTGTAAATGATCAGCTAACACATTCAAGAAACATGCAGCATCTGGAAGACCACTTCAGACACAGAAAAAGACATAATATGCCCAAAGAAAAAAATTTATCACATAATCACCCCTTTCTTGAATAGAACTAACCTGGCAAGATAGCTTCTGGCTTCAAAAACAGGTCTTATCGCAAGCGACTTGTGAAGATGCAATTTGCACTGATGAAAAGAAGGTGGAAATGCCAGCTTGGAGTGTGCTTCACGCAATAAAAGCTATCACTGCAGCCTGAAAATCCACATCATCACAACATGTACAGATTTGTTTTAGAAGAGTTTGGATATGTAAAGATGTTAATTCTGTTAAGAAGTTAGATGGTGACAATGATAGGACTTCACCTGACGAATGGAATAGTCGACATGACATTCTGAAATCCGAAGTTAGTTTTGACATGTTTGTTAATGCAGATGATAAAGCTGCCATTTGTGTTCCAGCGGAATCTGATGTACAAACAGTGTTATCTGAGGTGCAAGAAATGTTGTCAGAAGAAAGTAAGGAAGACAATATCATTCTGCCTATATACCTAGACAACATCATTCTGCCGACAATATCATTTCACCAAGAAATACTATACACCTTGGACACTACAGAACATTTTGCAGCAGCATCCGAATTGACAGCTTGTGTTACAAAAACCATGAGTACAGCTGGCCAAGAAATTATCAGGCATTTTTGTTCCAGACTGTGCTAGTGCAATATACAGGAATTTTTCATGAAAAAATTATCTGCGAGTGCAGTTTTTGATGTTAAAGTACAGAAATTAATGTAGTACTGTAGTGTTTCCTATGACGATATGCATAATAATATATCACAGTACTTATGTAACTATACACTGTAAATGATTAAATTCCAAAAATCATTAAATTATTCCAAAAATAAAATTTGAGTCCCCACTTAATACAATTTTTTTTTAAATATGAATTCTTGATTTTTTCCCCCCCTTGAGATTTGTGTTAAGATTTGTGTGTACTTACGATTTTTGCTACAATCAAAAAATCAGATTCAGATTGACGTTCTAATTTTAAAACATGCAAAGGCCCAACACCAACAATAATTAAAAAAAATTGAGAAGGAACTGATACATACAGCAGAAATTATGCCATAGTTATTTATAGTGCATATCAGTAATTTATAGAATAAATTTTTAAATAATAATTTAAAGAAAGCTTAGCTTACTTTTCAGATATTTTCTCCTCGAATAGTTTGACTCCGACATGTTCAGATATTTAATAATTTCTCCTTGGATAGCAATTAAATTTAAAAACATATTAGAATGAATTGGTTAATCATTTGTCACCTAAAAATATTATACAGTCAAAAGTCGTTAATTTGGACACCCATAATCCGAAATAATCTATAATCCGGACCTCAAAGCTACAAACTTTCTGCGCATGCATCACGTTCACGCATGCGCACAGGCGTTTACGAGTGTGCCTAAGACCTTTACGGCTGCAAATATGTGTGTGTGCATGCGCGTTTAATGTGTAACAGACGGTATAAGCTAAGCTAAAATTATCTAATTCAGTTAATGTTGCAGATTGCGTTGTTCCTTAATCTTCGAATTGGATCCGGCTTATTATTTTTTGCAGACTGTTAGAGCAATTTTATAAAAGTAAGCTTGAACTTTCGATTATGTCAAATAGAATTTCTGATATATATTTAATAATATGTAAAGGATATACAAAGCAAAAGTATGTTTCAAATCCGAAATCTGTTTATCAATTTCACGCCGCGGCGCGCAAAGAATTGGAAGTTGATCTGTCAGCACTATCCTTATCTTCAAGGCAGATGTTTTTATTTTATTTGGCTTATTAATTCCTTACAAAATGTAGTATTTCATCTCGATGTACTCCGTCTTTGATATGATTTAAATCAAGTTCCTCGTCATTATAATTCGCTTCCGATAGTGAAGAAAGTGACCCAAAGGTTATTGAAAACGAAAAAATTTCGATTGACAAATTAGTCGATATTCTCGACACAGCAATTACAGGACTTGAACAGCGGAACTTTGTAACTGAACAAGAAATTATGTCTGTTTATAGAATTAAAGAGAAAATATTATCACATAAAACGAAGCAACTTAAACAACTTATATTGAAAGAAATGTTTAATAAAGTAAACAAATAAATATTAAGCTTTTTCTTTTTGTAAATTTCGATACCCTTTAGATCATAATTGTTCTTTATTTCGTAAATTACAGTTTTATATTTTTAATTTTGTAATTTCTGCATGCCATCTTACCAGATTTAAACTGATGATCTATAATCCAGAAAAATCGATAATCCGGAATCGCCGAAGTCCCGACGAGTCCGGATTAACAACTTTTGACTGTATATTCATATAATTTCAGGGTGTTTGTCATGCATGCATAAGGTTCTTATGTTAATTAATCATTTATTATTATTCTGATCTTTAACTTCTTAATACCATATTCCTTACCAGAATGCAAATTAGCTTTTATGTGTATTAAGCTAAGGGTTTTGGATCTTAGACAGAGACATAGCTTCTAGCACTTGTGTAGCTCTGTTAAACTTTTGCCAGTTCTATCCAAATGTAATTGCTTTCGTCTTTCATTCTCTCACACCTTATTGCTTTAACACTTAAAAAAAAAAAAAAAAAAAAAAAAGATAAAGATAGGTGAGCTAGCTTATAGATTAGTTTACTGCCAGTATAGTCTTAGATTACCTTTATCAACACTTAAATTTAAGTATCTGTTGCTGATTAATTTACATTGCAACAAGTAGTGGTTTATTTGTAGCACAGGCTTGCCATTTCCAGTTAAAAGTTCAGTTAAATAAGAAGATTGTTCAAATCTTCGCAAGTCTCAGTCTGTAGTACTATTTTCAGAAACAGAAATAGCTCACTAGTTGTCTTGTAGGGTTGCAGATACAAATTCAAGTACATCTCAATTACAGCCTTACACATGATTTACAGAAAATACCTGATTTGGAGTATATATTTTAAAATTATCCACTTTGGGATATAAATTTATGTCTTAGTTCACCAGCTTCTTAGTATGGTCTTTTTAAATTCATGAAACAAACTTAAAAGGACAGTAAAGTAGTACATCAAAACAGATATTTTTCATAACACAATACATGACTGCAATTGAAGAAGGAAAACAATAGAGAGCACTTCCCACTACTTTTTATAAGTGAAAATTTTTAAAAGGCAATGTGGATTTTGCTTGTGGTGATAAAAGCTGAGAAAGTAGATATGTATCATACTTATGGAGTTGGTAATAGAAAAGTAGTGTGCTTGATTGCACCCAGAATAATTTTCGCAATTTTTTTTTTTTTCTTTTTTTTTTTTAAGCAAGTATTATACCATAAAATATTTGAGCACTTTTGATTTGTAAAATGAGAGCTTATAATGTCGACAGTAAAACTGTAAGGATTCTTAAATTTCAAGACTGGATCTATATAGGGTTGAAGTATGTCCAGAAACAAAACACAAGAAATTTTTCAGGAAGTATGGAAAGCAGTCTCAGGTTATTTTAATAAAGTGAAGCCACAGGGGCTATCCGTCTAACAGAATGGGTGCATTTTTGAAAGACTTTCAGATGGAAAACTGACTCGTATTCATGCTATGCATGCAGAAAACTCCGAAACCCATCCACATAGCTGGCATGCTCACATGGGTTTAAACTTAAGTCAGGTCGAACTAGCAGTGTTCAGCAGTCTTAACCACTGGCCATTGGCGAGATGCGTGGTAAGCAGAATTTTGCATGGAGAATAACTAGCTAGCATTTGTAGAAAATTCACGCATTGAGATTTGAGAATTATGTTTGTTGCATTGAATATGCCTGCTGGTTTCTGCAGCAGAACAGGCCATATTGACATGCTCTCAGCACAGATAAAGCCACTTTTCTGTTCAATGGAATATTTAGTATGCAACACTGAATCACATCATCTCAAATTTGGGCAAATATGAATCCACATTATGTGACCATGTGCTGACCAGTAATAATACTTTATTAATATTTCAGAGATATCATAATGATATTTGGTGGCTTTATCTTTTATCAAAAAGACTGGGAGAGAACTTAATGCCTGTTTTTGAAAAAGGTCTTACCAAAATTGCTGCAGAATTTTCCAATAGCTATCTGATGGAGTATAGTTTCAGCACGCACAAAGGTGTGTAACTAATTGAACATTACTTTTAACAGATGATAAACTTTTCAAAGAAGATTACTGCGTCATGACCACTGGATTTGTCATGCCTGCATTTTGTATAATAACATTTGAAGTATCTTGTATATAAGACTTCCCTTGACTCTGTTAAGGATATTTTGTAGTGATACTTTTTTGGAGGGGTGCTATTATTATTTGCAAGATGACTAGCATCAAAATGACAATTAATGCATGAATGCTATAACATTTGTATTATGGTCATGCTTATGAGCATTTATTGAAAAATAAACATCCAATCAATCGATGGATGAATACTATAGATCATTTATTGACTCTTAAATCATTTATTGAATAATAAGTAGTACAAAAATTTGTTATTTTCTGTTTGTGTTAAGATCCTTTCACACAAGTTCCAGTCATACATTACATTACAAAAAATTTTTGTAAATAAATAAATAAATAGTATAAATAATATACAGCATGAATTTATTAGTTACAAATGGATTTTACTTTTCAGTTAAAATGGATCTAACCATTGCCTTTTTTATAAAAAAAAAAAAAAAAAAAATTAAAGAGAAAAGGTTTACGACTTAAAATTAGAAATCACTTTGGCACCAAAAATTGTCCACTGTTTTCCTAGATACCAATTAAAAAAAAAGTTTAAAAAACGATTTTACATCCGGAATACTCTCTCTTCAATATTGCTTTAGACATTAATAAAATTACAACATTAAATAGCTTTTAACAGTTTATTCCTTTAATGTCATTCTGTCACATGTCTCAACTTTCAGACATGCAGTGATAAACCTAACCAATTATTTTTGCTGTAATTTTTGCCAAATATTGCTCTGAATGCTTTTGTTTTAGTATTGTCTTATCATTATAATGTTATTTTTTGCAGAATGAAAATTCACAATTTTCATGAAACTATTCTTTATCATTTATTTGGATTTCTGCCTTGAGAAATTTTATTAATATTTTTCACACATTTCTCCAAAAAGCATTTTAATGTGATTTAACAACATTTGAAAGATTTATAATGACATTGAATAAAATTATGGAATGATTTTTTGCCATTTCAGTTACTTCTATATGAATTAAAATTTTTGTCAATTAAATTTGGAGTTTAAATGTACACAAATAAGAAATCAACCATTTAGAAATAATAGTAAAAAAAATCTAAATATCTTTTTAGAGTAAATATATATAAGAAACAGGTTTATATATGAAAAAAAATTACCTCTAAGTCTTTAACCACTTTTGAAATTTTTGGTTTTTCAAGTGATTCAGCTTTTTGCACTTCATTCAAAGATTGTTCGTTAATCTCGGTTAAATTTTTATATTTCTCTAATACACTAGAATAATTAGCAATTGTAGACTGAAACAGAAAAATTATACTCATTTAGTTTGCAAAGCAATTAGAATAGTACCATTAATATAAATTTTAAATTGGTTACTTTAGTTATGACAAATCATGACAGCAGTATGTTAAGACAGAGATGCCCATGTGGGAAAAATCATCCAAGTAACCAATATGTTTTTTCATTGAAATACATATCCAGAATGAAAATGTCAGTGTTTTGCCATTTAGCCATTCATCACTAGCAGTTCAATTGACTTTCGATTTTTTTAAAATTCAACTTCATTTTACACAAGTTCGTTAAAATATGAGATTACAATAAAGATAATTATGAGAAAAAATAAATTGTACATGCAAAAAAGGTAATAAGCTGCAAATGAGTTAAAGCTTGTTAATATCCCAAATATCTTTAACAACCCTACAGATGACTTTAGTTTTGCACATTTAAAAAGCAAAATAATGTCTCAAATTTACACTTCATTAATATAAACGATTTGTACAATTAGAAAGTATAAATGATACATGGACAAATTTATAGTTTAAGAAGTACTGATTCAAATTAAACCCAAAATTCCTATCTTATGATCATAAACAGAGATCCTGGCCTGTAGCATTTAAACAACCAGCATGAGTTCAGGTTGTTAAGACCATTTTGGCTCTTTATGCTACAAACAAATGATGCTCACATTACAATTTTGCCTTTCATTGGGATTGAATGAGCCTATCTTGAACTCATTGATTTTGCTTCAATGGGGCATGATGAACTAGACTTCAAATTCCTGGAATATTCCTAGCTTTCAGTGCATACAATATGAATATTTAAATCCCAAAACATCTTTTTCCGAGCCATATAGATGGACGCACTTTACCAACCCTTGGAATAAATACCAAGCTTGGTTTATAATGGTGTCAAGAGTGTCTTTTTCTGATTTTTTTTATTCTTCTAGTAATTTCGATGACAATACTATAATTTATTCTGAATATGATTCAGGACTTGACCAGTTCTATAAAGATATATTTTTAGAATTATGATTCTTTAGATCATGATAATTAAGATCTTTTATCTAATTCAAGACTGGTCTCAATTACCTTCTCAAGGTTTTTTTACCAACTCTAAAAACATGGTAACAAAGGAATGAAATTTATGTCCTATATCCATGTTTCAATAATAGATGACCAAGAGAACCTATATTTGAAATATATGCACCATTATTCTTCAACTAAGTAATGGTATAACTTCTTTAGATTGCAAAGAAGCTTTGCTCAATGTCATATGGTCTTTTCTATATACTTGCATAACCTGAGTCCTGTTTTGTGTGTAGTAACATGGAAAAAATAAATTTGTTAAGGAGCACAAAAAGTTTTATGCTCATTTAGACAAATGACAATGGAAACGTTACCCATTACCTGCAACATTGTTTTGCATCTCTTTCACAACATTTGCAAACGCCAGGGATGACTACCCTATCTCTGAAATCTTCTATCTCCAGCTACAAATCTCTAGGTACTCTGGGCAAGGGTATTTCGTGATTCATCAGCAACATTATTCTGCGGGAAAATCTCCTTTTGCCATTAATTGTATAAATTAATACCCAACATTTGTACATTTTGTACCAATAATTCACCTTTTACCAAAAGCACTATATACTTAAATTTCACGTCTTAAATTTGAATACTCATGCTTATTAATATTTACAGTTATCCTATAGCTTTAGCACCGTATGGAAAACATTATTTTATAAAGACATCCCATAAAAAGTGTTTATGCTTCATTACATCAAAACCTTTTTTTTTCCAATGGCAGACTGTAAACAGTTACAGTGTAACACAGTCTATTAATCTGTACAAGGTCAGATGTGGTGGTCTCTTTATTATGGAGGCACCTAATAGGTGGGCCACCATCGCCTCCTATAAAGGAACAGTGCTGTTGAGGATGGAGTGGACCCTGACCTATCTATGAAGGGACAGACTCACCTGCTCTGCAAAAAGACTGAAATTCCCATAAGAGGGATCATAATTTGCAATCACACTAGCAAACATGTCTTGAGAATTGGATAGCCAGCCCTCTGAGGATATGCTATATGCATATCTAGATTGTCACTTAAATACTTTTTGGCATTATGGGTGCCATATAAATACTTTGGCATGATATGTTGCTTCATCAATACTTTTTTGGAGCTTCTTAGAAAGCACTGAATATTTCTATTTGAAGTAAAACAGACTTTGAATTTTGACCAGTTATTTAAAAAATTGCATATGTGACCATATATCAATAACAAAACATACTTTATTTAAACACAGCTAATCATGACTTAGCAATTATTAAGAGACTGATATAAATTATTGTTCAGTAATAGAAATCATTAATTACAGAAAATTTTTTAGTCTTTTAGACTTCCTCCTTTTGAATGTTAAGCATATGTTATATGATAATGTTTAAAAGTTATTAATTATTTAAGTTTTATATTTAAAGAAAATACAGTACCTGCTGGTCAGTAAAATCCCTTCAATTCCTAACATATTTGAGTTTATTAAGCTTCTCAGTTTAATAAACAGTAATTTCAATATTGAAAATAACAGTATGAAATCTGAACTTAGTTATGAGATAGTAACTAACAGTTAATTTAATAATTAATACCTAAATTATAATAAAAAATTAATGCTAAAATTAACTATTTGTGAAACTATGACATTTATTTAAAATTTTTTTATAAAAAAAAATTTATAGTTATATATTTGATGATAACTTTTACAAAGAACTGCTTGATCCATATTTGTTTCGTATTGTTCATCAACAGTCATTCAGTAGTATTCACAAGTTCATAAAAACTGGTGATATTTTTTTTTTAATATATATATATATATATATATATCCACATTTTTCAATTCAAGACTTTAAGAGTTTGCAGTAGTTTTCTCAATTTAGCTAAGGTTGGTATATAGTCAATTTTTTTCATGTCTATTTCACCATCAGTTTCAGTTTCTGCAACTCTTTTAACACTTTCTATAATACTGTAGTCAGTCCCTTCACATGCTATCTCAGTCAGTAGCAACATATCCAAAAAACAAATCTTCCTAATTCCCACCCTTGATGTCTGAAATATAAGAAGTAGCTTGCATTTCCTCTGTTGCTTCTCCGAAATAAAAAAACACATATTCTAAAGAAATTTCTGTGTTTTGGGAGACTGCTTCCCATGTGTTAAATATAATATGCATAACCTCTAAAAAGATATGGATTTAGTTATTGCCTTCGAAGTGCTTGTAGTTACATTTTAAATGGAAATCAGCAAAAATTCTGCTTTTCATCCAGGAATTCTTGCTATTATGATAAGCCAAATGTAAAATTTTGACTCCTTTTAAAGAATGAGGCTTTCTGCTTCTGTCAATAACCAATGCTGTCTTCCAAGTTGTTGAATCCCCATTGCATGTTAATAGCAGAGTAACTTGTTCTTTTAATTTTTTAAAACTAGCTGCTGTTTCACTAAGCATTAATGTATGCTCTGTAAAACAGACTAGTTTCAGCTGTGATATAAATTTCACATGGCTTAATATTTCTTTATAAGCCCAGGTAAAATGTCTTTTGTTCAGTTCCAAGCCGAATGATGATCCAAATGTTTTGATGCCAAAATGCTGAATGTTTCTCTCCATGTAGTTTCTGATAAACAAATATTTCACTATTTCCATCTTGTGAGCCATCCATCAGTTGAGACAAAATTTTCTCCAAACATTTTAGCAAATTTTACAGTTTTTGTTATCAAAGAAGCTCTAGAAATAAGAATCTTTTTTAATCTCATAGCTTTAAACTACTCTAGAAGAGCAGCTTCAATGTCTCTCAGTTTTCTCTTCCTTCTGCACATGCTTGAGACTGCATTTTTTAATACTTCTTTATCAGTTTTATTCCTTTGTTTAAATAAATTGCGCATGCTCTTTGGAAAATTTCCATTTTAAATGCTGCTTCTCTTTGGTTGCATTAAAAAAACATATCATAATCTTTTAGCAATTTATCCTTTTCTTTCAGACCTAAACCATTCCATTTAAGCATTTTTAACATGCTGCAAGTCATGCATATAGTAAATTAAAAATGTTTCTTCCAGTAATTTATTCAAATCAAAATTCCCATTAGACAGCAAGAAGATTGCACTTTATCTGTCAAGTTGATCTCCCATTTCATGGTTATTAATAGTTTAATCAATGTTTTCGTTTATTTTTTCTTCAGCTTACATTGACTGCCCCCCTTTTCGAATCAAAGACTAATAATGTATAACAATGCAAGGAATCATTTCATGAAGTTTTCTGAGAACACCCTGCAAACTTAATATGTGTATGCACTCCCAACCCTTTTCTGCTTATATTCGAGAAAAGGAACCAATGCTCACTTTAGCACAATCTTTTCTTTAATATTGAGAAACACTCATTCGTTAACAATCAAAGAACTTGTTTGTAATATTTCTAGAGAACTGTTTTTGTAAGTCATACAATAAAGGTATTCTGCTGCTCTCAGCCCTAGTCAGGGCAGAGATTTACAAACAGTATCTGACAAGGGACTAGGTAAGATTACCCAACCACCCAGGAGGACTTGGTTTTAATACACTGACAGAAATTTCTTCTAAACCCATATTATTGAAGCACTACATAGCTGAAAGATAAATGAAATAACTATAAATAGCCTTTATCAGCCACATACAGTTTATTCTGGATCTGAAGAATCAGTCTTGTGCAAGTTTAAGTTTTATATTTTATGCAGACGAGTTTAATAAGTGATGTTTTCCTACTGATTGGTATACATATGTTTTAATTATTAGAAATGTCTTCCTACTGATTAGCATACATTTGTTTTAATTACTGGAAATGTGAATGTAATAAGCAGCTGAGTTTAATAAATGGTGGGTACTGTATATGAATTTTTTTTTTTTTTTTTTTTTTCTGAAAACTTCTTCTGCTTCACATTTTAAAGTAGTACTTGGCCATAGCTTCATGAAGGTTATTGTACAAGGTCTGAGATCCAGAACTGTTGGGACTTTGGTGATTCCAATTTTGAACAATTTGCAAATTTTAGATCATTAGTTTTAATCTAGTAATACGACATGTATAGCATGGCAACACTGGAACTTCGCCTATTGTCTAGGTCAGATAGAAAAATGCTACATCCTCCTTTCCCACAAACAGGGCTGGTGCCAAAGCAAGTGTAACTGATGCGGTTATACTGTGTCAGAATTTAGGGTTGGAATATTTTTTATTTAAGAGAGACATTGGACAATAAAATTTAGAGAGATATCAAACAGCAGAATTCAGAACCCGCAGAGATTACACTGGATGGTAAAATGCATAGTGCTGGCCCTGTCCCCCGCCCCTTCTCACAACCACACAAGGGACAAATGTGTGATCCTGGCTAACATTAACACAATGTCAATCAATACACTGTTGTGCTTATGTTGCGACTTTCCCAGCCAGCAAGTGACAAGCAGAAATTTTAGCTTGTACAGAGAAAGGTAACAGTTACAGCACAACTGCTTCTTTTTATCATTATATTTTCCATTCCTATTCCTAGACTAAATGGAGGTCAGGACTTTTTTTTATTATAGTTTTTGGGGGAAGGGGAGTTCAGATATCTGAATATTAGATCAATCCGGATATTGGACATCCAGATTTCAGATTTTGTAATGTAAATTATTCCCCATACCAAACATGAAGTGTTTCTAATGCATTGCAGAGCATAATTTGTCTCAGAATTCAGTTTCTCTCATTTTTCTTCCACTCAACCTTTTTAAGAATCACATGAGTTGCTATCCACTCTCTGTTCATCACAAATTTCTTCAACAGTAAGACTTAAAAAGATTCAAAAAAGGCTTTCTTTCAAAAGAAGAGATGGTAGAATATCCCTACACCATCTTTTCTCTTGAAAATTTGTCAAAAAAGTATTAACTTTTTCAAGAAAAAAATTTAAATTATCAAAATTAGAAAAAATATCAAGATTTCTTCAAAAAAAATATAGAAAGATATATGTGCCAAAGTACTTGATATATGCAATTTGATGTTTACACAAATTCATATGGGAATGCTGGAATAAAAGGAAAAACCTATTTGAATGGGTCTGAGCCATACTTTTAAATCAAGGTTAGGCTACTTGTGAATATTAAATTTATGACTGCAAACTTAATGAATATTAGTTCATAAATTAAATTACATAATTAATTTAGACATTTTCTAACATAATCTTTATGGAACTTACTTCAATTTCTTCAGCATACTTTTTGAGCCTTGGGGAGCTGTACATCTTTAATGTTGCTTTACAGTTTTCTAAAGAAGCTTCAATATGGGATAATTCAATTGCAGTCTGCTTAAGTTTTCTAAACTTTACTATACTTTCTGGTGTTAAATCTTGACCACTTTTAGATATATGTTTATCTGATTTCTGCAAGGGACAAAAAAGGAAAACCATTTGTTTTATAATAGTCTTATTCTAAAATAAACATAAAAAAGTGAATATATTGAATGAAAATAAAATATTGCTTTGATCATAACTATATGCTTGACTCAACCATTATCTATGAATACAAATACATAGTAAAGACAGAATTTTAGAAAAAATGCGAGCAAAAGAATTTAGCAAAACTTGTAAAAGACTTTTCTCCTAAAATTATAATCAAAGTTCTTCTCTTAAAATTAATTCTTAAAAAATACATATATTTCCATTATTCCTCAAATAATAGTTTAGATAATTTAAAACAGCCCTTTCAACTCTCAAAATCGCTAAATTTTTAAAAACCAAACATTTTTCAAAATATTAACATTGCTTAAATTAAAAAGTCCTATATTCTGCTATTACCGTAATTATAATAATCCTATTTCCTATAAAATTAGTGAATAAACACATATTTGATGAAATCAGACACAGTAAATTATTTTAAGATTAAGAATTTTAAATTATTAAATTTTAAGATTAAGAAGAAACTTGCAATTCTACCTAGCAAGAAATATAAAAGGAAAATTAACCTGCATCATATGATTTTACTTAGTGCTACAATGAAAGTATGGGAAGCACTTCCGCAGAGAACCCAGTAAATGTAAACATCGCCAACTTTGGCGATAATAGTTCAAACCTGGTAACCTAGCTAATTCATCCTATTCGCTTGTGCGAAGGTTGTCGTTGTTCGCATTTGGAGATTTATATTATTTTTCTCTTATTTATTGTTATTTTTTCTGAATTTTTTAACAACGAATAGATAGAAATATTTTCGCATAATTAAAGAAGTTTCGTCGAAAGATGCCGGTTCTCGGCTCATCAGTTCGGGATCAAAGGAAAAAAATGGCGGGAGGAGTGAGGAGTGAATGCTAATTTGTAACATGCTGTTCACGTTATGTTCTTAATTATTAACAGTTGTGTAAGCACGCAGAACCATGAGGTTTCCAAATCCTAAATAATTTTAAAATGTTTAAAAGTTCTAGTTTATTAACTTAACAATGCTACTGAAGAAAATTTCATTACTGTTGAAGGTTATTTGTATTGTGAAATATATCATGAAAAGGACAGGTATTTGTTGCAACGTAAAATGCTTTAAGCGTATGCAAGTAACTTGAAAGAAAAAAAAAATACTGAAAACTATGTAAAGTGGATGTAATTAAAGGTCAGCATTCATTTAATTATTCATGGGCATGGCTCTTACCGAAATACATCAATCAACAGGCCAAGTACTTAATAAGAAAAGAACTTGTAAAAGAAATATTAGTATTCTATATGAATTAGAGAAAATACATATAAGTATAACGTAAACGTAGTATAAGAATACTATTTTATTTTTAAATGAATTTCTATTCCCGTTATGCTTAATACACTGTTTTCTGAGCTAACTTGAATTTAATACAAATTTATTTTGTATATCACGTTTAACCTGTTAGTTTTACATCTACACACTATTATCTGTGAATTTTACTACATGTCTGCTAACTTGAAACATACACTAAAAACCACGTTTACGGCTCGGCTCATCGGAGCTGGGCGAGTAAAAATGCAACGGCGCCAATGGGTTCTCTGCGGATGAAAACCCAAAGTATGTTATAGCGAATAACTTTTTTGAGAACCAAAACTTCTGACCCTTTTCCTACGCTTTCAATTGTCAACATGAAACGACTGTTAGAGCAAAGTTCAAAATTAGCATCAGATTTTAAATGAAAATAAGTATTGCACCCCACTTTGGAATGTACACTTATAATTCAATACCCTATTTAAACAGAAAAGAATATTTAACTTACTCTGATATTCTGAATTTCACCAAGAACACTGAAAGAACCATACATTTCATTTGACTCTTTAAATAACTTCTTTGTATTGGGATAATTAAATCGCCTCCCATTTGGCTCCTTGAATAATCTGCCTGAATAGTTACAGTAAGATTTTCTTTCAAATTTCTCATTATGAGAAGTGCGAGACACATCACTTAAAACTTGATTTTTAGTAACTACAGTATAGCTTGCCTCTTTCATGTTATTTTGTTTAATAGCATCCTATAAAATATTCAAAAAGCTTCAATATATTAAACAATCTTCAAACTAAATAAAATAATGAAAATATTAAATTTAATTAACAAAACAATAAATTTTACATAATAAAAAAGCACATTGTAATTTAGATTTGATTTATGTTTTAATCAATGCCAAAAAAAAAAAAATGCAGCACTAAGACGTCAAGGTGTAATTGACATATAATTTAAAAAAATTCCCATTACAGTAATGTGAATGCCCTTGGAGTAAGCATAATTTTGTGTTAACCTTGGATACCATCTCTGATATTACCTTGCATAATTGGGAGCCAAATGTGTTTAGCTTTAAGTACTGTATTATTTTAAGTCCAAAGACTTCAAAAACATATTATAAGGTTACTTTTCAAATTAATGGGTATCCGAATTAAGGACATGTTATCCCAAATAAGCAAAGAAAGCATTTTGTTTTCCTGCTACTTTCTGATTATCCATACCTCCAAGACAGAAATGTTTGTTTGGATGTCTTTATATCTATTTCAATAATGCATCCTCTGCTTCCTGTTTTTCATATTCTTCTATTTTCATATAAGACAATTCACACTTTTCAGTTTCTTTGCACTGCTGCTTTTCCCATGTATGCAGCAGTATATTTTCACACACACACCTAAAAAAAAATCCTAGAATTGCACATTATCTTGGCACCAAAGTTCTAAAATAAGAAGGAAAAAGAAAGGTGCATGGTGCCTTTAAGCTAGAAAAATTATGCTCTATGCGTGAAGAAAGCTAAGTCCAAGATGTCACCAAAATGACAAAAACTGCAGTGAGCAGCTCATTACTGTGCTAAAACGCTGAAATTCCAACAAGAAGAATCATTATCTGTAGTCACACTGATAAAAATGTCTGGAAGAGACATTACACACATAAATGGACTGCCACATAAACACTTTTGGGCAACATTATGGGCTGCCACATAAATACATTTTGGTGACTTGGTGAAACCTCATCAAAATCTTTCAGTGGCTTTTCAGTAGGAGTACTCATAATCAAAAAAGTACCCTTTCCTCTTCTGAAATTTATCTAAAATCTTTCTTCCAAATAAACTACTGTGTTCATTTACTAGAATGAATTATATTATGCATCTAACTGTAATTGTAATGGGGCTTGCTCAGTAACTATTCTAATAAACCACAAATGTTCTTATCATACCCTAGTCAGAAAAGACTATATGGTTATAGTCACAATAGCAATGCATTTAAAACATATCATTATTATATCTCATTCTATTTAAAATTACTCTAAACTTTTGATTTTTGACATATCTAACAGTTAGCTGACCTTGAAGTAATATATAAAAAATTGCATGTTACATAACATTAAGTAGATTTCAAGAAAGCATGCTTAGTACGTAACAATATATCCAGCACAGGAAAGGATCTACAATTATCTCTTTTCCTTTCTTCAAAGTTGCCTAATTTAAATGTGGTAATGTAACTAATATGAAAGTAGAAAACTAACCAAGATATTTAGGATATAATTCAGCAAAAATCATTTAAAGCACAGTGTCCTTTGCCTATGCTTTTTTCTTACTATTACAACTGTCACTAATAAAAACTTAATTATTAAAAATATTTACACCATACTGATGTACATTAATAAATAGGGTCGGTATACCTATATAAAATCAAATGAATTACAATTACTGCCATTTCTAAAGCATGATTCAGAAAACAGTTTTTAGCAGGTTGCAAAGAAATTCTAAATATATTTATAGCATAAGGTCGAAGATCTGGAACCATCGGGATACTTCAGTGATTGTGGATTTTAGAAATTTCCAGATTTTAGATCATGAGTTTAGATCTAGCAAGATGACACATAGACATGGAAACACTGGGCCTCATGTGTTCCTTACGTCAAATAACAAATTTCAACCCACAGTAAAATTTCTTCCAAGTGCAAACTCTTTCAAGAACTTTTTCTTCGTGAGAGAAGAAAGACTTGTGGGAAGAAGTGGCATAGCGACTGAAAAAAACCAGAAGGATGAGTCTACTTATATTTTATAAAATGTGCTGTGAAATCATTTTTATAATTTCCATGTTACTTCTATTCATGGGATAAATGCAAGTTATCTATTAATTTAATAATTTTTAAAGGAAAATAGATTTTTTGGCAGCATGGTATTTCCTATTTAATTTTAGCAACTCTAAAAAGAAATTCTAAATCTGAGTTTGAAAAACAAATGTATGAGAGGTAATGGCTTAAAAAAAAAGAGAGAGAGATGTTGTAAATAATAAATTAATGTCAGACAGTGTATTCTATTTAGTAGCGCCAACAACTTATCTACCTATCTATCTCTTGGTCTATTTACCTCTTTATTTTATTTATTCTTTATTCTGTTCATATAAATGTGCAGCTAATTGTCTGCCCACCTATCTGCCTATGTATTATTATTACACTCCTGAAATTGCAACACAAAGAAAGAATGCATGTACCATCATACAAACTGCAGGAGCGAAAGTTGTGAGGTGGATATGCAAATGATAAAAGTTGTGCACGCATTGGATCACGTGGTACACACATGCAAGCTTTAAAGGTCAGCCACTTTCCCTTCTCATAAACAGCATCTCAGAGTTTACGGAGCATTGGAGACTTTAGAAGAAGCATAGAAAATGCATCTGAGATGTCAACGAGCTCTATACAATCAGTTATCGACAGGGGAACATGACCCTATTATCAAACTCCATGAACTTGGGGCCCACCAGCGGCCGAGCGGTAAAGTCGCTGAACACTGGTAGTTCGGTCCGAGGTTCAAATCCCGCGAACGGACCGGCTGCATGGGTGTTTTCGTGGTTTTCCCCATGTGTAACGTGTATACGAGCCAGTTTCCCTTAGAAAGTCCTCCACGAAAGGCATCCCTCCCTCTTAGGCAGATAGCCCTAGTGTGCTTTGCCATAATTAAATACACCACAACACACACCATGAACTTGGTTTGTCGCTGCGCACAACAGCCCCTCGTGTTGGGCACAACCTGAGTACCATCCAACGTTGTGTCACACAATGGTTTCAGGAAAGTGTACGTGCACATCAAAGAGGAAGTAGTGCGCTCAGGCGCTATGTCAGATTGAACAGACCGGCGTATCCGGCAGTCAAATATTAGAGATCCTTTCTCTGCATTACGTAACATCCGAAGCTGGTTGCCTCTAGGAGCAAGTGAATCTGTGTCCACCCAAAATATATTGCATGAAGTACACTTACGTTCATAGGTATCAGCCATAGGGATACCATTGAATGCTGAACACAAAACAAAAGCACGCAAGACCACGCACTATGCCAGTGTCATAGTGCATGGACCATCAAATGGCATTGGGTTTTGTCCACAGATGAATCTCGTTTCTGTCTGTGGAGGAATGATGGCTGTTGACGGATATGGCAGCGACCCAGAGAATGCTACGGAACAGCCCATTTTGGCAAGTGTCACACTGGTCCCGCACCAGGCATTATGGTTTGAGTGGCATAATGTTTGATCACAAGATGCCCCTGGTACACATTAACGGCAGATTGACATTGGACCATTACATCACGCAAGTTATGGAGCATGTTGTTCTGCCCTGGTTGCAGGGCACACCCAAAATGGTATTCCAGCAAGACAATGCCAAGCCACATGTCGCATGTCGTACTCTTAACAGCCTGACAGGATTTGACATCCTACCCTGGCCAGCAGCCTCTCCAGATCTGAATCCCATCGAATACTTGTGGGATGTCTGTAGACGTGACCTACCTCGGGCAACCATCAATGAACTCACTGATGGCATACTTCGCTGGATTGTGGCCTGTATCGCTGTCTGAGGTGGGCACATTAGACACTGAATAAATTGGTTTGTAATGATTTTATATGTCTGTTTTTTTAATCATTTGCATATCCATCTCACATTTCTCAATCCTGCAATTCGTATGACGCTACGAGCATTCTTTCTTGGTGTCGGAATTTTACTTTTGAGAAGTGTATTTACATGTTCCACCTTAAGGCACTACATGGAATGGAGGTATACCTTCGTGGAGGACTTTCAAAGGGAAACAGGCTCGTATAAACACATCACACATGGGGGAAAACACAAAGTCGCCCATGCAACCAGCCCGTTTATGGGATTCGAACCTCAGACCTAACTACCAGTGTTCAGGGACTTTACAACTCGGTCGTTGGTGGGCCATCTGCCTATGTAACTGTGCATTCTTACTGTAATTGAGATCCAGTTGAAAGAACTAAGACCTAGAGGTCAAGACCACACCCTCCTCCCAACAACCATTCAGGAACTGAAAGTATAAAGCTAACCAACATCAATACAACGTCAATCAGCGTACTGTCACTTGCTACCTTGTGACTTCCTAATGAGTAGGTGTTTGAAAGTAGCAGGTAGGAATCTCAGAAGCATGCTGTAAATTCAAAATGCATGATGTCAATTCAAACTTCCTTTTGTTAGATACTATATTCTCCATACCTAAATTTAGTAACAGAGAAGATTTTTTTTTTTAATCAGTTAGTAAGTAAGATCATGGGTGGGTGGTTCGGATTGGATGTTCTGATTTCAGACTTTGTATTGAACATGTATTTAAGATATAAAATTATGAAAGAAAATTACTAATTTCAATTTAGCCTCAATCTTTCTAACTCCTCATTTTAATTTTGCTATATTGCCTTCCAGGAATCTAAAAAGTGTCATATCTGAAAACTAATCCACATTATGTACCCTTAATTCTGCAGTGTGGTAAATTCTTGTCCAACTGTAGTAAAAGATTTAACCAAGGATTCAACGCTATAAATACCTATTTGCTAACATGTGCAGTACACACAGCATACCCTTTCTGCTCATTAAAACACTGCTCAACTATAAGAACTCTAAAAGAAACATAACAGCGAACAGCTTACCAATAAGGAAACTGCACTAGTTAATAAGTTATGAGAGGAAAATGCACAAATTATTAAATTTTGGAAAACCTCTTTAGTAATGCAGATGCCAGGTATTCATTCCATGAAGAATCTACCTGATTGCCAGGTGATTTTAGAAAGGTTTCTCCACCACCCAACAAATCCCTTTTTAATAGAATATATCGGCAATGCTTTTAACAAAAAAGAAACAGTTGCAGGCATCTGCTTTGACACTGAAATGGCTTTTGATGAGATTCACTATGGCCTCCTTATTAAAATGATGGAACTTTGTTTTTTAAAGAATAGTTAAGCTTCTTGTGCACCACAAAATATTACACAAGAGTTAAGTAAAAACAAAAAAACAAAATTAACAAATACAACAACCCAAAATAAAATAAAGTTACAAATTCACAGAAAAAATCTAAGAAATAAATATATAGAAAGAGGAGAATGCTAATTTGTCCTGAATAAACACATGGAGAAGGCAGGAAATGGATAAAGTTCTATTATCAGGATCGGATTCAGACATGTATGTATGCATGTAGATATGTAAGCACGAATGCATATGCATGTATACATATATGTGCATATAAATATGTATACATACGCATATATTCACACATTTCTGAATCCGATCCCAGATAAAATTACATGACAAGCCTACTACTACTTTTGATATTCAAATTTCATCCATTTTACATCTGTATGCTAGTAACATCTGTAATCATCTCAGCCATGATTAAAAAGTAACAAGTGTTTCCTCTTCCACTGATCCAAGAATATTACTATCTTGAAAGCCTCAAATCGTTGCAGATAATGACTTGTGGATAATTTGCAGTGAAAATTTTGTAGATCTACAAAATTATCACAATATGCAAAATTTTTAGATTAATCCTATCCTATGACATTGATGGTGATGTAGCCAATTCAGAACTTAAACCGAAACCTTTCTCCTAATACGTTTCCATATCAGATAACTACAGTAACAGCTTTAAATACTGTTGGTAAAATCTTGTACAATTGAAATAGATGAAGAATAATGTATATGTTACTGGCAATGTATGAAATGCAGGCTTGAGAGCCCCATGAGGTTCTCGTACAAAGAATGTAATTAATTTATGTTTAAAAAGTTATAATATCTTTTCTCTTCTTGTTTGCATGTCACTTTTTTTTTCTGAGTGTACCTTTCATCTTGTAAAATTAGTGTTAAATAAAGTCATTGCTGTGTTCCATCAATGGAGTTTACTTCAACAGCGAAATACAGGGGTTGGACAAAAATATGGAAACACCTTTAAAAAAACATGTTTCTTTGCTTAATATGAGGTAGGAAACCCGTTGGCATCCAAAACAGCTTGCAGTCTTCTCGGAATGGATAAATACAGTTCCTGTTTGTTTGCCAAGGGAATATTATACCATTCTTCCTGCAAAACGGTGGCAAGTTCAGATAACGATGTTGGCGGTGGATAACGAGAACGCACTTTCCGTTCCAATGTAGACCACAAAGGTTCGATAATATTCAGGTCTGGTGACTGTGGTGGCCAGGGGAGATGGGACAACTCATCCTCGTGCTCAGAAAACCAGTCCTGGACAATGTGAGCTGTGTGAACAGGGGCTTTGTCATCTTGGAAGACACCATCACCACCATCGGGGAACAAAGTTTGTACCATGGGATGAACTTGATCGGCCAAAATGTTCACATAAGTCTTGGCAGTCATGTGCTCTGACACAGTTATCATGGGGCTAGCAGAGAACCACGATATGGCTGCCCAAACCATAACAGAAACCCCTGCCATGTTTCACTCTTGGCAACAAGCAGTCTGTATTATAGGCTTGAGATGGCGTTCTTCAGACGTAAACTCGGCCAGAAGTGGGAAACAATGTGAAAGAAGACTCGTCAGACCATATTACTCGCTTCTTCCACTGCTCTGTAGTCCAGGCTTTATGACTTAAACACCACCTTTTCCTGTTACGGGCATTAGCATCACTGATGAGTGGCTTCTCAATTGCAGCACGGCCAGCAATTCCCTGTTTATGAAGCTCCCTTCTAATTGTTTTGGTACTCACAGGGTTCGGTAAACACAACATCATTCATTTCAGCAGTAACTTTTGCAGCTGTGGTCTTCTTATTTTTCGTCACAATTGCCCTTAATGATCGTCTGTCACGATCACTCAGGACACACTTTCGTCCGCGCTGTGATTTAGCAGATGATGTTTTTCCGCTTTTCAAATATGCGGAATAAATCTTTGATACAGTACCTCTTGAAACACTACTAAACACCTCGGCTACCTTGCTTACGGAAGCACCTACCATACGTGCTCCAACACTTTGCCCACGTTCGAAGTCTCTTAACTCTGACATAATGCAATGACAACCTCACATAACTACTGTACTCCGACAACAACTGAACTGTTTAGCACATTTACGAAGTTGTATAGGTGGCGTCAGTAGTCAAAAACGCCAGCGCCACCTACATATTTCATTAAAATCAATCTTTCTTTTCAAACATGCATTTCATAAGGTGTTTCCATATTTTTGTCCATCCACTGTAAGTATCGCACTATGCTGATGTGTTTTGCATTTTGGCTTATATGGACCATTGCTTGCTGCTTTATTCTTCTTAGCACAATAGTATAAAAAAATGTAAATGTGTTGAATTAGGCACGATTAGACTGCCAAGTGAACTGTGGCCCCGAATGTCAATTGAAATAAAACTGAATACTTAATCTAACTAAGCTGCCAAGTCTGCTCTTCATCATGGATCTCAACAACACAATCAACTTTTTTACATCATACATCCGAGTCTGCCTATTATAGACATATAATATATACAAGATAAAAATACGTAAATCAGAATTATAATTTAGATTAATGGTAACCCTTAATTCTTCCTCTCCATTCTAAAAATGCATTCTAAAAATTCTATGGATTACATCATTTCTAGATCAATCTATCTTGCATGGCCTGTGCAATGCTGATGGCATACTTATTTCGGAACTTAAACTCTGAAAACTGAAACCTTTCCAACTTAAAAACAAAACCTTTCTCTTAACAGACTGCCATATTGGATAAATACAGTTTTAGCTTCACCCTCTGTGATCTGTTTCTGTCACAATTGTATTAAAAATTGTAAATGTTCTGAAGATAGCCATGATTAGAGTGCCAAGTGAACTATGGCTCTAAATGGATTTAAATAAAAGTGAACTTAAAACTGCATTGACTGTCAAATTTCTTATTCATTGTGGATCAGCATTTTCAGTATTCTTCCTCTTAAATATGGATGAAGATCCTAAGCTTAACAACAATACTACATCTTATTCTCTTTTTTAACACATATACATAGAGAGAGTTAGATTTCTCATTTTGAATTAATCTGTAATTTTCAATCAGTCATAAATGAATCTTTTACTAGTTTCTTATTGCATTATTTTCTGCTATGAATCTCCTTTTTTTCCTCTCAACTAGTGGGTCCCGATTAACCAGAACTATATGTATGTCACGAGGCTGAAATTTTCAGAAACACTGCTATACAATATATGATCTAACTCAGTGGTATTCAAAGTATGGGTCACAACTCCATTACAGGTTGTAAGGTGGATAAATATTTTGAATTGACAGCATATAACAAAAGAACAGTCCCCTGACTAGGATTGTGAAACTGTTTTTTTTTGGGGGGGGGTCGCTCACATTTTTGTGGGACTGTACTGAATTTGTAATGAAGTTTGGAGATAACTTGTCTAACTGATAAGTTTTTCTTATACACCCAAATTCATGTGAAATTTGGTCATTAAAAATTTACATTACAATAAGTATAAAAACAAGTTATGCCATACCTTCAGTTTTTTTATCCTTAGTAATACTTTTGGAGTTTCACATATTTGTCTAGCTAGTTCAAATAAATGCAAAGCATCATAAAGTTTCCCTTCAGCTGCAAATTTCTTTCCACGATTCTGCAAATCTGTAAATTCTTCTAACTGAGCTTGATTCAAATTACTGCATTTATCTGAAGACATTTCTGAATAAAACCAAATGCACTTTTTTAAATTGTAAATATTTTAATTTTTAGCATCTATAATTAAACATTTGCAGGTACTCTTCTGTTATCAGAAAATGGATTCAGATATGTCTGTATACATATATGTATGGATGGATGGATGTAGGTGTTCATGTAAGTACACATATATGCATATACATGCATATATGCATACATATTTGAATCCAGTGCCGATAACAGAAGAGTACCCAGCAATACATTACAACAGAAACAAATAAAAAATCTTAAATTGATGATTAAAATAGCATGAATTATTCTTGAATTTATTTCAACATGCTTCCAACCGCTTGCAGTAAAATAATCATTATGCATTTAAAAATGAAACTTTTACGGAAATTGAATACACAGCTTAATATTGAAAAACTGAAAAAGCATAAAAAATAAGAAGAAATAAAATTTAAAAAGTAAGTGCAACTTTTACATTATTAAAAAAAACTAGCACAGAATCTGTACTATTTTCCTGCCTATACTGTTAAAAGTAAAGACTTTTTGGTACTATTCGGTTTCGAGGGCCGTAAAAAATCGCCAAACTATTGTTGATGCCAAAGCTGCCAAAAATAATTGCGGCAAGAAAGGAAGTATAATAGTAAATAACTATCTACTAAGATTGATGTTTAATTTAGAATGAAAGGTTAATTTTATATAATAATACTTTTTTGTATTATTATAATTATAAAAAAAGGCTAAACATGACTGAATGGAAGAAAAAGAGTAAATAACTATTTCAGATCATAATTATAATTATTTATAATTTATATAAGAATTGCTAATAACTGAATGAATGTGTCTGCATCGCTATTTCGCTACCGACTTATCGCTAAAGCATAATTTCATCTCGTTGGTTGTTCAAACGTAATTCTCTATGATGAATGCCCTTTTCTTGAAAATATTCTCGTTAAAGTAACGTGCAGAATCGCCCACTTATTTTGTTTGCCGCTTTTTACAAGGCTAAAAACAATTGGATTTTTGTCAATTTTCTTTGACATTTCAAGTGCAAATAGGTCGATGTGTGCATGGATAAAGTCAAGGGAATGCACAATGCCATTTTTGTGCAATTCTGGGATGTTTTTTTTAAGTGAAAATAGGTTGATGTATACATGGATACCGAGTATGTGCAATTCTTAAAAACGCGTCAAACAGTGGGTGATTCTGCACTTTGCCCAAAATTCTATTGCCGACTTTTCGTCATGGGCAATTCCCAAATTGTTAAATCCATAGGATATTAAAAAAGGATTTAAAATTAAAAAAAAGGATTTAAAAATTAAACTAGTATTTCAATGGCGTCTTAAGAAATATAAAACTATATAAACTTACGCAATCTGAAATCAGCGGGTACGCTAGATTTGGCACGCTGTTAAATGGACGCGTTTGCTAGATTTGGCGCTTTTGCGCATATATTTTCGCTGCAATTTTTTACGGTCCTCAAAACGGAATAGTACCGACTTTTTCAACAATCTGCTTGTTTTTAAAGAAATTAATTCTCTTTAAGTTACATAATAAGAATAAACACCATATTGCCAATAGATTACTGTCTTCATAAATTGACTTTTCGATTATCTGTCACTCATTGTCACCATGCATTGGCAACTTCGGGAATTTGTGAAAAATGTTTAACTAACCTTTGGATAATCACAAAACTATTAATTTTATAAATAATTATAAAAAGGTGAAATTTATTTTAAAAGCACTGAAGTAAAAAAAAGTCAAAATTTTATATGACCAATATTTACACAATTACAATTAGTGGATAATGTACAGTTAAATAATGATTAAACATAAAATATGTAAATTCATGTGCACTTTAATACTACATGCATGTGTTGGTTATTAGCTCCTATAATCTTGAAATTAAGCTAAAAACCAGGCAGCTCAATTTAACATTGAAACCCGGGATGCAGATAATTACAATGTACTACTATTAACTTTTAAAGGCTGACTATAAAAATTGATTTACAAGTATATGATTAATAATTTCAAGGGCTAAAATATTTATGGAAAATCTTCATATTTTCTTTCCTCCAGAAATTTAAGTTATTTCAAGAATTATTTATATATATATTTATAACACAATATATTTAAATATTTACAGCAAAATAGAAAAGAACTCATATGATTACCCCTTTCCCAAAAAAAAAAAGAGTATAGGAAACCACTAGAATTATCTGCATTAAATAAAAAGGCTAACATTCTTCTCATCTACTTAATCTCTCTGAAAGAATTTTCTTTAAAAAAATTATTAGAAAATTAGGTACCATTCGGTTTTGAGGGCCGTAAACAATAGCCAAACTATTGTTGATGCCAGTGCTGCCAAAAATAATTGCGGCAACCCCAATGCAAGAAAGGAAGTATAATAGTAAATAACTATCTAAGATTGATGTTTTAATTTAGATGAAAGGTTCATTTCATATAATACTTTTTTATTATTATAATCTATATAAAAAGGGCTAAACATGACTGAATGGAAGCATACGAGTAAATAACTATTTCAGATCATTATTATAATTTATATAAAAATTGCTAAACATAACTGAATGGATGACTGCATCGCTATTTCGCTACCGAGTTATCGCTAAAGCATAATTTCATGCCGTTGGTTGTTCAACTATAATTTTCTCTAATGAATGATGCCTTTTCTTTGAAAAAAATTCTCGGTAAAGTGCAGAATCGCCCATGTATTTATTTCCGCTTTTTACAAGTAAAAACAATTGGATTTTTGTAAATTTTTAACTTTTTAAGTGAAAATAGGTCGATGTGTACATAGATAAAGCCAAGGGTGTGCGCAGTGCCATTTTTGTGCAATTCTGGGATTTTTTTTAAGTGAAAATAGGTTGATGTTCACATGGATACGGAGTATGTGCAATTCTTAAAAACATGTCAAGCCGTGGGTGATTCTGCACTTTACCCAAAATTCTATTGCCGACTTTTCGTCATTGGCAATTCCCAAATTGTTAAATCCATAGGATATTAAAAAAGGATTTAAAAATTAAACTAGTATTTCAATGGCGTCTAAAGAAATATAGATCTGTATAAACTTACGCAATCTGAAATCAGCACGTACGCTAGATTTGGTGCGCTGTTAAATGGGCGCGTTTGCTAGATTTGGTGCTTTTGCCCATACATTTTCGCTGCAATTTTTTACGTTCCTCAAAACGGAATAGTACGAAAATTATTTATTATTATTTCTCAAGTATAATTTACATTGTATCTCCATCCTATCAATGTACTCCAGTATAATTACATGCATAATTTACATTTCTAATAATGGCAAGTAACAGCAGACAGATTAAAATCTCAAAATACTGAAAGTAAGAAACTTTTCCAGTATATGCTAAAATGTCATTAATTGTGATCAAAATTTTATATACCTTATGATTCCAATTTCTATAACAGAAAATTTTCTTAGAATATTTGAAAATAGTATGACATATTCAAATTACAGAAACAAAATAAAGAAATCTGAGGGATTTATTTTAGTCTACGCAGTGGCATAATTAGAACTCTTGGGCCCCAATGCAAAAAATTTTCCTGCCTCCCTAATAAATTTGTTATGCTTAAAAAAAAGGGGGGAAATTTGAAAAGTTAAAAAAAAAAAAATCAAGTACTCCAGGAGCCGATATTTTGACGGTCATTTTTATCAGACTGGAATAATAAAAGCCCTTTCTTAGGGAATCAGCTGAAAGGCACGTAACATGAACAGAGAAAAAAAAAGAAAATATCTTTCCTTGACTAAAATGACCACACGTCCCTATTTTGACTGGACAGTCCGGCTTTTTGGAGGACTCCTGCGTCCCACAGATTTTTAAAAATGTCCTGCTTTTTAGAAAACATCTGCATTTCTTATTTTAAATGTACTGTAAAAATATATTACCTATTATTTATTAATTATTATAGTAAACATAAAGAAATAAAAAATACACAAATAAAAAAACGCATAAAATGCATGCAGAGTAAACTAAATTAGGCGATGTAACAAGTTAGATTTACTCGGTGGTGTTTCATCATTGTCGTTACATCTCGTCAAGGAATATGTATTATTACCGGAGGAACAGCTAGCGTTAGCTAAAGGGCTATTTGCTTTCCACACCATAAACCACAATCAAAGTTTCGGATCAATTGATTGTACATCGCAAATGACATTGTACGACAAAAAATCTACATGTGCAAGGACAAAAACCGAAGTAATTATTTGTAATGTTTTCCACCATATTCGTTTTCACAATTGCAGAAAGAATTAAGATTAAATGTACATTTATATCCATATATTATGATGCTTTTAACCAGAAAGATTTATAATTATTTCCCACAACTGTTAACTTTTTGATCCAGAAACAAGAATTAAAATTAGAATATTAGATTTTGTTTCACTGCCGGGTGAAACTTCATAAATAATTTTTGATTCAATAAGAACTATTTTAAAAAAGAATAATTTGAACAATAATATTATTGCCTATTGTGAGGATAACACTAGCACAAATTTTGGTGGAAAAGCTAGAGGAGGCATCAATAACGTTTTTACGAAACTTAACGAACATTTGAACCAAAAAATTATTGGAGTAAGTTGTGCAGCGCACATTCTACAGCATCTGACTTACTTCCAGTGGATCTTGAAAATATCATTGCAAAAATTTATTCGAATTTTTATATATATACTGTGTGTGTTAAAAGTTTGAAGGATTTTTGTGAAAGTGCAGAAATCGAATATTAAAAAAGGAGATTTTATGGGAATATGTGAAAAAATCTTTTCAATTAGAATCCATTTTCCGAAAAATAATATTTGCGAAAACGATCATTTTGATGAGGTGTCATTGGTAAAAAAATATATTACTGAAGAAAAAATTAAATGTTGGCTGTCTGCAAATGTGGAAACAGACAAAAAGTGGACGGAGTATTTTCTTCATTTTAAACAGAATAATATTCCTTATGAAAATATTTTGAAAATTGTAGAACACGCGCTGTCCCTT